AAAAATATAATGGGAGGGAGAGAGGTGTTTCAGGGCAGGAGAATAGGATAAAGCAAGCAATGTGATGAAGTAACTTGAAAATAAATCTGAATTTTGTCTCCGGAGAACTCCCAATATCTCCGCAACGATTTTGTCTAGCTCTCCAAATAATTCTTTTTCAAACCTTTAGGTCAGTGGTTTCCAAAGTAAGGTCCTTGGACAAGAAGCATCATCAACGATCTGGGAACTTCAACTGCAAATTCTGAAGCTCCATCCGAGATCTAATGAGTCAAAAGTGGGCAGCGGGAGGGAATGAATGGAGCGGCCAGTTGAATTTTAACAAGTCCTTAGGACACGACTGAGCGGTTAAGCACAGCACAGCACAGCACAGTAGGTAATTCTGAGGCACACCCAAGTTGGAAAACCACTGCTCTAGGACAACTTGCTAAGCACAACTCTCCGCACGGGAAAGTGATGATGTTCTTTTCGAGTGCCGAATTGAGCCACTTTGCTGCGTGCAGGAAGGGAACTGATGGCTGGTCCCAACCCTCTCAGAGTTCAGTCTCTGGCCCAATCTCGCTTTCTCCTCCCGTACACCCTGTTCCAACACGATCCTCTCTACCGTTGCCTCCCATATTACTTTACCCTCACAGGGCCCCTCTGTCGCCCTACCTCAGAGTCAGAGGGAACGTGGTGCCGGCATGGAGGAGAACTGCGCAAGGAGACAGGAATAGATGTGGTGCTTGCCCGGAGCCCACCCAAAAGAAGTAAAACGCCTCGGAACCATAAAGGACCGCTCCAGTGCCACCGGCTCAGGCCCAGGCCTGAATCCGAGGAGCCCGCTCTTCTACCCGACTCGGCCGCCATCTTCAGGCCGAGCGTCGTTACCATGGAGTACGTGACGCCTCCGCGCCCAGCGCCAGCCCCGCCCCTCGCCTCTCCAGGCAGGTGGAGGGACTTGGCGGCTGAAAGTTGCTTTTTCATTGGCTGGCGTCACCGGTAAGAAGTTCAATGTGGAAGATGAGTCGCATCACGATAATCGAGTCTCATTCGTGTGAAGCCGGCCAATAAATGCAACCTAGCGTCCCACGTGAGTTGCGCTGTGCGATTAGTCGGTGTTGATGGTAATAAGATGGTGATAAATGTGTGTCCTTACTGAGGGAGTTTTACTTTTTAATTCAGTTATCCAGTGAAAATATATGGACCCACTAGGGGCCAGGAGCTAGATACAAAACCTTACGATTTAGCTCTCTGTTTAAAAGGTAAGTGGAATGTACTTTTCAATTTTCCTTATCCTGAATCACCGATTTTAGGACCTACCTTTTTTTAAGTTGAAGGTAGTTGATTTATAATATCGTGTTAAATCCACTTAAAAAAATTTTTTTTTTGTCCTCCCCCTTGTGGCTCAGCTGGTAAAGAATCCGCCTGCAATGCATGAGACCTAGGTTCGATCCGTGGGTTGGGAAGATCCCCTGGAGAAAGGAAAGGCTACTCACTCCAGTATTCTGGCCTGGAGAATTCCATGGACTGTATAGTCCATAGGGTCGCAGAGAGTCGGACACGACTGAGCAACTCTCACTTTCACATATGTGGAATCTTGTTTCCTGACCAGGGATCAAACCCCGCCCCCTGCATTGGAAACGTGATTTTTTAATCGCTGGACCGCCAGAGAGGTCCCAGACCCACTTATTAACTAAAGTCATTTTCTGTACAATCAATGAATGTTAAGAGTTGCAAATGCGTTAACCCCGGTAGCTTAGGTGGCAAAAAATCTGCCTGCAATGCGGGAGACCCGGGTTTGATCCCTGAGTAGGGAAGATCCCCTGGAGAAGAGAATGGCTTACCTACTCCAGTACTCTTGCCTGGAGAACTGCATGGACAGACGGTAACAGTCCATGGGGTTGCAAACAGTTGGACATAACTGAGCAATTAACACTTTTAACCCTGGAGGAAACCTGGTAGATCCTTGCTATTAAAAGGTTAAAAGCTGAGCTGTGAGGAACTATAAAAAAAACTAATCTTGTGGCCCACAAAAGAAACCAAAAAGCTGGGAACTAGAAGCACTGAGCTTGTAACAGTCACTTCAGGAACTGAATATTGTAAATTACTATACTAGGAACTGTAGGTTAAAAAAATTCCCAAGAATTTATACTTCATTGGATAAGATTATGTACTTAAAAAAAGAAAAATGGGTGGGAAATCCTACACAATAGTGGCATTAGATGTGTCTATCATCCCACTAGTGGAAGGTGGGATTTTAAACCAAATTTATCACTTTTAGTATGTGCTCGCTATACAAAACCACAAAGAAATTCCGGATTGTTAATAAAGAAAGAATGGTACCAGTTATCAAATTCCTAGAGATAACAGCAGTGTCAAGGTTGTGGAGTGGCAGTTTTAATAGTTTAAAGGACAAGGTGCTAGCCATTTTAGTTCATTTCTGTGAAACAAGCAATTCCTCCAGTGTAACTTTGTCTTGAGTATAGTCTGCATTAAACCAAACCTCGCTATGGGAGCAGATAAGTCTAATACATGTTCTCACAAGTGCTACCATTACATCAGTTTAAGAGTATGCATGAATTTGTGTGCAAGGCTTACTTCCAACTGCATTTACTCCGGTTATCCTACAAAGTCTCAGCTTGCTTTCAAGTGCCTATCACTTCTTGTTTATCCACCTCATTATTCTACCATCATCCCCAGATTTATCCATTGAACTCCTACAACAGAGAGAATTAAGATTTTGTCTCCTCTGTACGCCTAATCCAGACCCCACTACCTGCCTTCCTAGACATGTTGACAGGTGGGCATTCTCCAGCTTTCTCAAACTCATGAACTCTCCCTCTCAACCATCTCCTGGTCCCCCAAATTTGTGAAGTTACCTGTTCAGCAACCAAAGCTGAGAACATTACTTTTGAAGACTCCTTTCCACAACTGGTTTTAAAATTTGGTTAATGTTTATAATCTATTTCAGTGTGCAAATGTCTTAGTTAAGACTGCAAAGCCTACCTGGTTTTCCCTTCCTGGTTTATGCTGAGTTGCACAGGGATCTTTCTAAAATATGAATTTTGTCACCTGTCACTCAAGCTCTTCAATGACACTCTGAGAATATTGTTGGGACATCCTTGGTGGTCCAGTGGTTAAGACTCCACACTTTGGAAGCACACAAACTAAAATTGGGATACTACGAAAATTAGCATGGCCCCTGCACAAGGATGACACAAATATGTGAAGCATTCCATATTAAGAAAAAAAAAAGTCTTGTTTCCACTGCAGGGGGGCATGGGTTCAACCCCTTGTTAGGGAACTAAGATCCCATATGCTATGGGTGACAGTCAAAAACAAAATTAAATACTAATATCCTGGCATCTGGTCTAGTTTTCTAGACTTTCCAGTTACTCCAAATAGGTTTTAGTCACGTTACATAACCCAGTTAATTGGCTCCTCAAATGCCTTTTGCTTACACATCAAATCTTTGTGCCATTTCCCTTTTGAAACTGTAGGAAGAGATGCTTGGCAAGTGATATTTCAAGCATCTTCTCCTCTATATGAGGACCCCAAGAGTACTACTTAACAAAGTAGTTACTTTATGTTGGTTACTTTTTTAGGATAACTAAAGCTCACTGAAAATCCCATGGACAGAGGAGCCTGGTAGGCTGCAGTCCATGGGGTCGCGAAGTCAGACATGACTGAGCGACTTCACAGCTCACTGAAGGTCTGGTATCTGCTCTACCTTGCCTTGACCCAACTTTCCAAGTTCAATTTCTTTAAGATTCTTCTCAAGACATTTGAAATGTGGTGGCCTTGAAAGGGTGAGGAGAGCATGGTTGCTCAATGACCCCAAACTGCTGCTTCTTAAGATCCACATTGTTTCCCTTACGGCCATGCCTCCTAACAGTTGCTTCTGGACAGCTGCTGGACAACAAAGACTGGCAGTACAAACACATACCCAATTTCCCTGACTCTTCCAACAATTTTGGCTTCAGGGCACCCATTAAACTAAGTGAAATGTAGAATGGCTCTGTGCTACTCATTTTTAAGAGCTCTTAGAGAAGCCCACAAACAATTTTAAGTCAAAAGGGGCTGTTTGTCAAACTCCCATTATGTTATGCCAAAACATCTCAATTTTGCACTTTACTATATTAAGACATAGATCAAAGAAAGCAACACTGTCCAGGCAATCCTAACCACCCTGTACTAAGATTTTTTTCTAAGGTTTATGGCATTTTGGAGACACTTTCAAGTTACATATTATTCCCAACTAAATGTTATATAAATACTGCAATGCTTTGTCCAGTCACAAATCCCAAATATACCTCACCCATGTTTGTTCAAATAAGCTGCCAAATACCATCAATATATCCTGCAAATTTCTCCCATCTGCCATTTTTAATTCCTAAGTTTCCCAACCAATCTATATCAAAGTGCATGCTATTACAAGGTACTTTAGATCAAAACAAGGTTATTTCAGTGTAATGAGGGAGATAGCTACCAATACCACAGTGCCAGAATTGAAATAAAAGAATTATAGATCCATTTGATGTGGAAATCTGGAAAAGTTTTACATATATATCAATACTGGCTAAAGCGACTTCCCTGGCTGATTAGTGGTTAGTACCCTGCAGTCTCACTGCCAAGGGCCTAGGTTTGATCACTGGTTGGGGGACAGAGAAAACCCATAAGCCACACAGTGATGCCAAATTAAAAAATGTTTCCATAGGCTAGGTTCCAGTGCTCCATCACTAGAAACCTTCCAAGATACTCCTTTCCACTGTTTCTAACTAAAAATCACTTGTAATCTTCCCCCTACCATTTAAGGTCTTGTATTAAGATACAAGATACATCCATCCTCATCAAAACCCTCCTATAGTCCTATATTCTCTAGGCTCCTGTGTACTCTGTTTATGCCTGATAACCACCACCATTTTAGGACTTAGCAAATGTATTCAGGACAAAGAATTTTTTAAGCCATTTAACAAAAGCACAACAGGACAAATCCACACTTTTATTTATTTTCAAGAAGTTTAAATCCTCGAAGGGTACAGCATCTGGAAGGGAAAAGAACACAAGGTGCATGTTATATACAATAGTTACTGAATATAACAACATAAATACATCTCTCATCCCATTACCTATCTCTCTGAGAGGCATCCAATGACTCATACCCTCATGGGAAGGGAACTAATGTTTATAACCTTCAGTTTTGAATATTCACTGACTAAGAATCAGTACTGGGAACACAGAGTCCATTTAATTTTGTCTCCTCTAACAATATGGGGGCTTCCCAGGTGGTGGTAGTGGTAAAGCATCCGCCTGCCAGTGCAGGAGACAAGTCAGAAAGATACCCTGGAGAAGGGCATGGCAACCCACTCCAGTATCCTTGTCTGAGAAATCCCATGGACAGAGGACTCTGGAGGGCTTCAGTCCATGAGGTAGCGTTTGGACATGACCGAAGAGTCTTCACTCACATGCCTTAACAGTAAAAACCTGTTCTGATAAAAATTTCAACTGCTCAGCAGGGTTCAGTAGTGCCCTGTGTCCCCAAAGATGTAGCCCTGTCTATTAAAAATGCATCCTAACTAAAGAAAACAGGGGCTATCCTGTTAGAAAAACCACAGAATCTGGAGTTAAAGGTTTTGGCTGAAGCCTTGGGATGTGAGCATCTGTTAGCCTTTATACCCATTTCAAGACTGTCATGATGAAGAGATGGGAAGTATTAAGAATTATGTCAAAAAAGAAAAAAGAGAGAATTATACCAGGAAAAGGTATCCTGAATTTTCATTTTCTAGCAATTACTTCAGAGTCCAATACATGTGCCAGAAAACTGTTCATTTAAATAGCTGACCCTTGAACAACCCAGTTTGAACTGCACGTGTCCACTTATACACAGATGTTTTTCAGTAAATACATACACAATCTGAAGCTGACTGAATCCACAGATGAAGATGCCAACTGCAGTCATAAGTAATTTCCCACTAGCCCCTAACCCCTGTGTTGTTCAAGGATCAAATGCTATTCCCCACCACTTCCAGGCAGCTTTAGCAATTACCTGAAATCTAGGCACAATCCATTTGAACCCTTTGCCTTCGCTTTTCATATAATGCCAAGAAAATATTCCATAATACATTTTCACAGTAGCTGCTAATTTTACAGCCTGAGCTACTGGTGACATTTTATTATCACAATAGTCCTTAGTGGTCCAAGCCGAACTCGTTGCACTCAGTTTGATTCCACAAGGTTCCACAGTTAGCAATGTACTTACCACACGGATTCTGTGTCCAATGGCCTTAGCAGGAAGGTTACTTCGGAATTTGGCACGAACCATGCCACTGTTTCCATGAGCTCGAGTTATCTTTCCCCAGATCACTCTGGTTTTGTTAGGTTTTCCACCAGGAGTTACTGTGTTGCTGATTTTCAAACGATTAAAAATAAAAAAGGCATGAGAACCCACAGGACCAATATAGTGGTGAAAATCAAGGTGACTTCTAGATCAGTGGCCCTCAACCCCAGTTAACGACTTAATTCGCTTGAGAAATAAATGCTAATAGCTGTAATAGTGGAGAAGGCAGGGGGTAAACGAAAAAGGGGACAAAAAACCTGAGTATAGGGAGAGAAACTTGTTTCTAATTGTGAACAGCCAGGGAAGGCCTTACTAAGAAGCTAATGCTGGAAAAAAAGACTGGAAGGTAAGGGAACAGCTTGTGTTAAAGAACGGGAGGTTGCGTCCCTGGCTTGGGGGGAGGCAAAATATAACCAAGGTGAATCTTAGCTGGGTTAAGAGAAAACACGGGGAGCCCTAAATGCATAAAGTCTTAGAAGCTCCTTAATGACTTCAGCTTTTAACCATATGAGATGGGGACCAGCTTGGACCTTCAGCAAAAGTATAGACGATTTGACTTATAATTAAACATCTCAAAGGATCTCTCTGGTTGCAGCAAGAAAAGGGGCTGAGGGAGATGAAAGCATTCCCCAAAGATCTTTTTTAAAACAATTAAAAAACAACAGTCCACCCATTTCTTCCACCTCTCCCTCAGCCTCTATCCCAAAATTTTAACTGAGTTGGAATGGGTTTAAGAACCAATACTCGAGAGAGACTATCTTTAAGCATCCATAAAAAATATAACCTCAAGAGATCAACAAAATGAATTAAAGTACATGAAAAATGCTCTACAAAACCTTAAAATCATATTATAAGCTGACTCCTCCTTTGAAACAATTAACAGCTGTAAAACAGCTGTAATTTTTCTAAGTGCAGTAGACATCTACATCCAACACTACCCTAAAGTTGCTTACAATCCCAAAGTAAAAACCACAACAGTATCAATTACTTTACCAACTTAAAATGAGACAAACCAAGTAAAAACTCCAGAAAGTATAATACTATAAACTTACTTCTTTGCTTTGTACACATAAGCACATCTCTTGCCTAGATAGAATTCAGTTTCATCTCGAGCATATACACCTTCAATTTTCAGGAGAGCAGTGTGTTCCCTTTGGTTCCGTAAACCCCGTTTATAGCCAGCAAAAATGGCCTTGGACCACAGCCTAAGACAAAATACAATGTTAAAAGATCTCATTTATGACCCCCACCTAAATTTACCTATACCAAACATCTAATCTTTTTTTTCCCCACCAGACTTAAACTCACATTTACGATCACGCCTAATAAACAAGTACACTATAAGTACAAAGCAATGATATTTAAAATACATACCTTCCAGACATATTTGTCGTTTTAGAAGTCCCGTTCCCAGCAGGCCTTAAAACAAAAATAATCAGTTTAAAACATTGCAACGCCCGGTTCCTACTAGCTTCCTGTGGAACAGCATCCCAAACTCAGAATGCTGGATAAGTAAGCAAACGCCAAAATGAAGATAAAAACTAAAGATTCTACACTACAAGGCATAACTCCTAGAAACACCAAAATTAAGTCTTAAGAAAAGTTATGCTACGATCACTGGGAAAAAATGAAGGTCAAGAAGCCAGAGAAGAACGCAGAGAACACTTTTACACACTGAACAGGAAAGAAAACCTAAGGGAAGACATAGTAAACATGCAAAAAAAAAAGGTTTGAGGTGGCAGTAAATGGACAAAGAACCCTGCCTAGAGATGCTGCTGTTGCCAGACAAAATGCATCTATTTTGTATTTTACTCCGCTAGGGCGCGGAAGCAACTGGGGTTACCGGAGCACCCATTCTCGGAGGTCAGTGTACCAGAACCATCAGTCCCATATCTCCTCCATCCTGTCCTCCCTGTTGCTGGAAACCACAGAAATCGTTAGCTGCTAGAGCCGCGGAGTCGCACCAGTGCCTCGTCCGAGGGATATAGCCGAGCCTACCCCTCTTATTTGCCCCCAAAGTTCAGCTGCAGGAATTCCACACACCTCCACAGGGTCCAAGATGGCTGAAAGAGACCTGCGAGGACCCGCCGCGTAGCCTTGTGGGTAAACATATCTCCGCCCCGCCCCCGTTTAGGTAACTTCCGCGACCGCCAAAAAAGTAAGCCTCAGAAATCTCCTTCTGACTGAAATAAACCACGTTCAAAATCACCTGTACAATTCTTTCCCTAAGTCCTTTTATCTTTGTAAGCTGCAAAATGTATTATTTTTGGAACACAGGGAGGCAAAATGGTAGCCAGCTAAAAGAGAAGAGAAGGTCCTCCGAAGCTGTCCGTTGCCATAGAAACACCTAAGCTTAGTTCCGACGGCATCAGAAGGTGTAGTTGGCAAAGTGAAGCCGGAGGGGAGGACGACCTACGCTTCGAGTACCCCAGCACTGATTCGCCAACAAGGGGGTATATTTCTTTCTTACCACTTAGGAGTAGGGCAAACGTAAGCTCTCGGATCCTAACCTGGAAGAGAAACCCCGCGAGCAAGAAAGCAGGAGGAGAAAGCTCTTACTTCTCTATACCTTTCCTACCCCTTTGCATGCACGTGTACTCAGTCGCGTCTATTTGCGACTCTATGCACCGTCCTCCGCCAGGCTTTCTGTCCATGGGATTCTCTAGGCAAGAATACTGGAGTGGGTTGCCATGCTCTCCTCCAGGGGATCTTCCCCACCCAAGGAGCTTACCCGCATCTCCTGCATTGGCCGGCGGGTTCTTTACAACCAGCGCCACCAGGGAAGCCCTCTTCTCCCTTTCTGCGTCCCTGTTCAGTCGTGTTCGACTCTGCAACCCTATGGACTGTAACGCGCCAGGCTCCTCTGTCCATGGGGTTCTCCAGGCAAGAATACTGGAATGGGTTGCCATTCCCTCCTCCAGGGGATCTCTCCGATCCAGGGATCGAACCAGCATCTCCTTTGGTTCCTGCATTGCAAGCGGATTCTTTACCCATTGAGCCACCCGGAAACCACCCCCACCCCACCCCCGCCTTTACCACCCGTTTAATCTTTTCCTCCTTTTACTCCTTTATCTCTTTAGAGAAATGACTTAAGTTCTTACCGCCATTCTTCGTTTTGACTACGAGGGTGAAGAGCACAGCCCTGACAAAGCCTTGTTACCTTTTAAGGAGAACTCAGCTGCCAAAGGGCTTTCCTGGTGGCTCAGCGGTGAAAAAAAAAAAAAAAAAAAATCCCCCTGCCAGTGCTGGAGACCGGGTTCCATCCCTGGGTTGGGAAGATCCCCTGGAGAAGGGAATGGCAACCCACTCCAGTATTCTTGCTTGGGAAATCCCATGGATTTAATTTGGAAGCTGTTAGAGTAGTTCAAGCACGAAGCAACAGCTAGATTCAGCAGGGTACTGGGGGAGATAGAAATTGAAAGTAAAATCCACAGAACCTGGTGATGATTTGAATTGGGGGAATGCTGATTACAGGATGCAGGAGGAAGCAGAAAGGACTCCTGAGTTTCCAGTGTTGAGGAATGAGCAGGCAGAACTTGAAAGCACTGGATTCTTCATAAGCATAGGCCTATATTACTTATGTGAGGCATACTTACTGATGCCCCAGGCCTAAAAAATGGAAAAGTAAAGAACAAAGCAGCAAAAGAACAAAATCTTAACACCATATTACTTGCTTCTAAGTCTGCCCTTGTACTGGAAAATTTAGCTAATTTGGAATATCTTTTTTTTTTCCAGTTTATGTAAAGATTCTTTCAGTTCAGAGAGTCACTCAGTCATGTCTGACTCCTTGCAACCCCATGAACCGCAGCATGCCAGGACTCCCTGTCCACCGACTCCTGGAGTCCACCCAAACTCATGTCCATCGAGTCTGTGATGCCATCCAACCATCTCATCCTCTGTTGTCCTCTTCTCCTCCTGCTCTCAGTCTTTCCCAGCATCAGAGTCTTTTCCAATGAGTCAGCTCTTTGCATCAGGTGGCCAAAGTACTGGAGTTTCAACTTCAACATTAGTCCTTCGAGTGAACACCCAGGACTGGTCTCCTTTAGGATGGACTGGTTGGATCTCCTTGCGGTTCAAGGGACTCTCAAGAGTCTTCACCAACACTACAGATCAAAAGCATCAATTCTTCGGTGCTCAGCTTTCTTTATAGTCCAACTCTCACATGCATACATGACTACTGGAAAAACCATAGCCTTGACTAGATGGACCTTTGTTGACAAAGCAATGTCTCGGCTTTTGAATATGCTGTCTAGGTTGGTCATAACTTTCCTTCCAAGGAATAAGCGTCTTTTAATTTCATGAGTGTAATCACCATCTGCAGTGATTTTGGAGCCCAAAAAAATAAAGTCAGACACTGTTTCCACTGCTTCCCCATCTATTTGCCATGAAGTGATGGGCCCGGATGCCATGATCTTAGTTTTCTGAATGTTGAGCCAACTTTTTCACTCTCCTCTTTCACTTTCATCAAGAGGCTCTTTAGTTCTTCTTCACTTTCTGCCATAAGGGTGGTGTCATCTGCATATCTGAGGTTATTGATATTTCTCTCGCCAATCTTGATTCCAGCTTGTGCTTCTTCCAGCCCAGCGTTTCTCATGATGTACTCTGCATATAAGTTAAATAAGCAGGGTGACAAAATACAGCCTTGACGTTCTCCTTTTCCTATTTGGAACCAGTATGTTGTTCCATGTCCAGTTCTAATTTGCTTCCTGACCTGCATACAGGTTTCTCAAGGGGCAGGTCAGGTGGTCTGGTATTCCCATCACTTTCAGAATTTTCCACAGTTTATTGTGATCCACACAGTCAAAGGCTTTGGCATAGTCAATAAAGCAGATATAGATGTTTTTCTGGAACTCTTGCTTTTGCAATGATCCAGTGGATGTTGGCAGTTTGATCTCTGGTTCCTCTGCCTTTTCTAAAACCAGCTTGAACATCTGGAATATTCTTTCAGTTTTTCATATAAAATGTTTGTTGCATGGGACATACTTGTACCACCCTCCTAAGGATCACTTTATTGTAGACAAGATCACACTGGAAACTTACTTTTCACTCTTTGCTCTGTATATGGCAAAATTCTCCATAGTCTGTTCTCATTGTAAAGCTTATTTAACCAGAAAGGACTCCTTTACTGAGGAAGGATAACATATTGATAGCAGTATTAAGCTTATTTTCAGGATAAATAGTTTTTCCAGGTATAATGGCAATTGTTTTTCTGGATGCAATAAATTCTGTTAATCTAGCAGATCAGGGGAATGGGACCATCAAATATTTTAGTAATCAGAATAACAGAAAAGTAAATCTGTTGTATATGAAGATTACCAGTTAATACTCAGAATATAATTTAAAAACATACAAAAGACATATTGGACATTGGTCGTGGTGTTTGAGTTGCTAAGTTGTGTCCACCTGGACTGTAGCCTACCAGGCTTCTCTGTCCATGGGATATCTCAGGCAAGAATTCTGGAATGTGTTACCATTTCCTTCTGTAGGGGATCTTTCTGACCCAGAGATCAAACCCATATCTCCTGCATTGCAGTCAGATTCTTTACTGCTGAGCCACCAGGGAGGCCCTACATTGGCATTAATTTACCTTAAGAAGCACGAAGATTGCATTTATCTGCCAGTAATTAAGCTGGCTACTAAATAGACCTGTGTCATTTGATGGCAATGTTTCTTCCGTCTCTGAGACTGCTCTGCAAAGATAGAGGGGATAAGCCACAGCTCTTGTACTTCTTTTTCCAATTCCCTGGTGGCTCAGAGGGTAAACCATCTGCCTGCAATGCAGGAGACCCAGGTTCGATCCCAGGGTTGGGAAGATCCCCTGGAGAAGGAAATGGCAATCCACTCCAGTATTCTTGCCTAGAAAATTCCATGGATGGAGGAGCCTGGTGGGCTACAGTTCATGGGGTCACAGAGTCGGACACGACTGAGCAATTTCACTTGTTGTTGTTGTTGTTAATGTCACAGTTTAATGTCATAGTTTATAGAGATAAATGTCATTCAACACTCCCTTAAACTAATCTCAATGTTTTTTCCCACTTTAGGTGATTGCATGTCTGTGAGATTATAATGTACCAAGGAAATTAAAACTAACTCAAGAAGAATGGAAGGGTATGTTCCAAATTCCATTTTATTGTGTATATATTATAATGACTTATATTAAACTTCTGTGTATTATTTACCCTAGCTGTGTAACAAATTACTCCAAAACTTAGTGACTTAAAATATAAATGTTTATTATTTCACGTAGTTTCTGAAGGTTAGAAATTTGGGAGTAGCTTGGTTATATGGGTCAAGAATTGAGGAACAGCTTAGTGGGGTGGTTCTGTTTTGGGGTTTCTTATAAGTGGAAGTTGGTCAGGGCTGCAGTCATCCGAAGACTTGACTGGGGCTAGGATATCCACTCCAAGATGGCTCGTTTACAGAGTTGGCTGTTGATGCTGTCTTTTGTCGAGAGGCCTTAGTTCCTCACTCTCATGAGACTTTTCACAGGGCTTCTGGAGTATCCTCATGACAAGGCATCTGGATTCTCACAGAGCGAGAGATTTGAGAAAATGATAGAGAAGCTAATGTCTCAAAATCACCTAGCCTTGGAAGCCACAATATCCTTTTGGTTATATAAGTTAGTCCTATTCAGTGTGGGGAAGATCACAGAAGGGCATGGGTATAAGAAGGTGAGACTCGTATGGGCCACCTTGAGAATGGCTACTACATTCCATGTTTTGGGAACTGAAACGGAGCAGGGCCCTGTAGGGCTCCCAGGCATGGAGGCCTTTCTGTCTCCCATTTCTTGTAGGCAAGACTCCAGCATTATAACTTTCCGTGAGTTCCAAAGGGCAGATTTGAACAGTTGCTAATCAAGGGTGTACGTGCTAAGTCGCTTCAGTCATGTCCAGCTCTTTGCGACCCCATGGACTGTAGCCTGCCAGGCTCCTCTGTCCATGGGGATTCTCCAGGCAAGAATACTGGAGTGGGGTGCCATTTCCTTTTCCAGGGGATCTTCCCTACCCAGGAATCGAACCAGCACCTCTTACACCTCCTGCATTGGCAGGTGGTTCTTTACCACTACAACAACCTGGGAAGCTAATCAAGGGAAAGTGAAAATGGAAAGTTGCCCAGTCGTGACTGACTCTGCGACCCCATGGACTGTACAGTCCTTGGAATTCTCCAGGCCAGAATACTGGAGTGGGTAGCCTTTCCCTTCTCCAGGGGACCTTCCCAAACCAGGGATGGAACCACTGTCTCCTGCATTGCAGGTGGATTCTTTACCAGCTGAGCCACAAGGGAAGCCCAAGAATACTGGAGTGGGTAGCCTATCCCTTCCCCAGGAGACCTTCCCAAATCAGGGATGGAACCCAGGTCTCCCGCATTGCAGGTGGATTCTTTACCAACTAAACTATCAGGGAAGCCCAATCAAGGGAGAAGCAGCCAAAAATCACCAGAGGCAAGATGAAAGGGACCAGAGAAGCTCATCAAGATTAGAAGACCCACCACCTAAAATGAGATTAAGGAAGTGCAAGCTCTGCCCTCACTCTAATCTTGTTAGAGACCCCACCTTTGACCCTCATCAAATTCTCTAGGGTTGGGACTCTGGATTTTTTGAGACAGATCATAGTTTTAGGTTCCTCTTTGCCTGGCAAAGCAATAAAGCTAGCTATCCTTTTCTCCGCCCCAAACTCTGTCTCCAGGATTTGATTTGGCACCTGGTGTACGGAGAGGCTGAGCTTTCAGTTAACATAACCATGAGACAATTTTGATTAGCATCTGAAAATGTTGCTAGAAAAAAAGTTTATCTGGCTCAAGTTCAAATTGGTTAAGCATAGTCAAATAGCAGGGGCTACCCATCCTTAATAAACAGTAAGTTGCTTTTCTTTGGGAAGTCAGAATGTTACTGGGGGTTATTAAGCAGAATCATCTGCAAAGTACTTTTGTTCATTCTCTTGAGTATATGGCAGAATGGACTTTACAGGAACCCATCTACATGCTGCCTGTGTTTTTGGATTTAAGTCATTTTAAACATTTGATGGCTGACTTATTTTTTCCTTCCTTCTTTCTTTAGAGGTCAACTGGAAGCCTTAAATCTTCCTCCAGAAGCTTGGCCTTCTGAAGTGACGGTGTCAGTGACAGGAGAACCACCTAATACTGCTGTAGAAGAAAAGGAGGAAACAGCCAAAGAAGCAGTCATAGAAATCAGCGCAGAAATCACGAAGCCACTCTCCATTCTAGATGTGCTGAGGATCTCTGCAGTTCTGGAGGACACCATAGACCAGCTCTCCATTCTAAACTATATCATGCCAGTTCAGTATGAAAAAAGACAAAACATCAGCATGGTATATACATTCACCATTACTTAATTTTTGCTTTCTCTTTATTTCTCCCTCATTTTCAGTACCTATGCCATTCAATTTAACTTGGGAAATTGCACCTTGTAGTCAGGTAAAGGGCTACAGTAATGATCTGAGATATGTACTCTCAGTTAATGGAGTGAAATAGACATAGCTCAAAGGTACATCTCACAAAATATCCTTTTCTCATGATATATTGGCATTATTCTAAAAAGTCTATAGATAAGTTAGTATAAATACAATATATATACTGAGGAGATAAATAATTGTGTTGTCTTATTTGTCTTGTATTTGTCAGCTGGAAACCCACTCCAGTATTCTTGCCTAGAGAATCCCCATGGACAGAGGAGCCTGGTGGGCTACAGTCTATGGGGTCGCAAAGAGTCAGACTGAGCAATTAAGTACAACAGCACAAAAGCTAACTGAGGGGCTTCCCTGGTGGCTCAGTGGTAAAGAATCTGCCTGCGATGCAGGCGACCTGGGTTCAATCCCTGGGTTGGGAAGGTTCCCCTGGAGAAGGAAATGGCAACCCACTCCAGTATTCTTGCCTGGAGAGAAAAAAAAACGCTAACTGAACACCAAGGGGGAGGAATTTCAACTGGACCCGTCAACATTGCTTTCATCTAAAATGACTTTGTCATTGCTAAATATGTTGCAATCTGCTTTTCTGAATAGCCAGCCACATTGCATTAGCCATTACATTTTCAATGATGCTACAGATTCCTCCCTCAAATCACCACTGAGTTATCAAAAAACTCAACTTGGTAGTGAGCAAAATCTTTCGTAAATTCTTAAGCCCTTAAACCATAAACAATTTTTAAGTAAAAATACATATTTATTAAGTTTAACAAAATTATATAATTTGTAAAGAATATATTATTTGCGATTCTGTGATAAATGCAACTTGCTATAAAAATGAGAGGGTAAAATAATTTTCATGTCTAATAGAAAAGAAGTCCATATTTACTGTGACTAGAAAATTAAATTTTCCTTTAATTTCCCCTTACAATTTTATAATTATTATTGTTATTATTACTACTGCTATATGTATAAACTAGATTCATAAAACTTTTATTAGAGTTTTAAAAGTGGATTTGAAGTTACAGGATCATTATGGTTGAATTGTGCAATAAGCAATTCATTTCACTTTCTCAGTCTTAGTTTTCTCATTTATGAATTGTGGTGGAGTTTTAATGAAATGAGCCCTTCTAATACTAATATTCCGTGAGTTTTAGGGTGATTTTAAAACATTAATGGGTATTATAGGAATTTTACAACAAATCAGTTTCCTTATTAATTTATGAAAAGTGAGGACATCTGGAAACCCAAGAACTAAACCTTTCATTGAGCTTAAAATGAGTATAATTCTTAAATTGTTTGTTAACAAATAGTACAGAAGAGACACTAACCTCACTAAATATCTTCAGTTAACAAGATAAAGTTTTCCCAATGATATTTACTGTCAGGCTTTAAAAAGGGTAATTTTCCATCATAGAAACTCAAGAGAGAAAGAAAAACACAAATTTATAAACAACATTCAGTAGTGGTCACCATTCGAGTACATAAAAGAAGAAAACTTCTCCAGTTTTATTCTGGTTTGTGATCTTCACCCATAGAATTTCCTGATGTAACAGAGAGAGGCCCTGCTTATGATTTTATAGAAATATAAATAGTAAAGGTTTGTACTCTTATTCTGATTAATAGAACTTAAAAGCCCCTTTCAGAATATGTTAGTTATATATCTTTAAAAAATGTAACTCTTAAAATAATTTTTCATTTTATAGTATTATAGTTGTTCTAACTCATAAATTTTTATAGTACCATTGCCCTGCATAAGATAAATATTTAAAAACCTTAGTACTAATGTAGATGTTTTCTTTCTTTAAAAGCTTCACGTTGTTGAGCTTTACAGTAACAACACTGTAATGAAAGTTTAGTTAGCATTATCCCTCTTCCACAACCATTTTTATAGCTAAAGAATCATGGAATGGAATGATGAAAAACATACTAATGTACTAAGTTCTACCAGAAGTGGGAGTAATTGATCTGAACTTTGGAAAGAGCTCCCTTGCAGGGAATACTGTTCTTATTTTTTCCCTTAGGATCTAACACCCTCCCATACAAGGAGGTGAATGGGCCAGAATATTTAGCTAGTTCCTTTAAGTACTCTTCTAAAAACTCATATTTCTAGTGATCTGTCCATCAGGCCATTTGACACATTTGCTTCCTTTTCCAGATGCCCGAGCACAAATGTAGAGGAATGATGGTTAGGACGATCAGAAAAAACAAACTTTCCAGGCCTTACATTTCCCATTCCCTCCCTAGTTTAGAAAATCTAGAGTAATAACCATCTGCATACTTAAAGCTTTCTTTATGCATAGCTAAGTTTCAGTTTAATTGTTGGAGTTCTATGGTTTCTGTTCTCTTTGTAGTCAGTCATATCAATTTTAATTTAAAGGAGTATTTTAAAATTTAATTCTTATTTAAGGTAGCATTTTGTTTTGTACTTGGGTATGTTTGTTTTTCTCAGATCTGCATCTCTTTGCCTGCTGTTGATAAAGGAAAAATGCTGTTGAGTCGGTGTTTATTAATCTTTATTGATAGTTTTTTTAAAAAACTAATCTAATTGAACTTTAGCTAAGGAAGACCTAGGCTTTTATGCAAATAAAATTCTCCTGTGCATAGGATCAGCACAAGAATTTAAGTAATCATATCAAATGTTGAACTTACATGGTTCTGTGTAGTGTTCTAAATGCCCTTTTTCTTTCTTTTTTTCCTTCTTTCCTTTCTTTTTTTCTTTCATCAGTAACTACAGGATGGCAAGTACAATTATTATCCCTATTTTATCAATGGGAAAATGGAGGCATAGAGATATTAAATAGTTGTCTAAAGGCAATGTGGTTTAGTAACAGGGTCAGGATTTAAACAAGGAAGTCTGGTTTCAGAGTCCCATATGAACTGCATAACCACTATGTTATATGGTTTCCCATTGGCGCAAGGTTTTAGCCACAGATTAAATAGGAATCATCAATTGAAAGATGTATCCTGTCCCAGTTGAAAGATGGTAATGCTTACCTCTTACTATTCCAAGTTTGGGTCTGAAAAATAATTTTTATTGGCTTTTCCCCACATGAACTTCGAAATCTATACCACACCACTAAAGACACTATTGGCTCCTACTCTTTGGTATGATTCTCTTTTAATTATTTATACAGTGGGCCCTCCATATCTGTGGGTTCCACATCTGCAGATTCAAGCAACCATAGATCAAAAATATAAAGAAAAAAATTCCGGTATGTTCCCAAAAGCATAACTTGAATTTGCTGTGTGCTGGCAGTTATATACATAGTATTTACATTGTTTTAGTATTATAGGTCATCTAGAGATGATTTGAATTTGCTGTGTGCTGGCAGCAATATACATAGTATTTACATTGTTTTAGTATTATAGGTCATCTAGAGATGATTTAACCCACTCCAGTGTTCTTGCCTGGAGAATCCCAGGGACAGGGGAGCCTGGTGGGCTGCCGTCTATGTGGTCGCACAGAGTTGGACACGACTGAAGTTACTTAGCAGCAACAGCAGCAGCAGAGATGATTTAAAGTATATGAGAGAATGTACACAGGTTATATACAAATACTATGCCATTTTACATAAGGGACTTCAGGATCTGTGGAGTTTGGTTTCCTTGAGGGCTGGGGTGGGGGTGTGGTGGTGGATCAGACCAATCCTCCACAGTTACCAAGGGATAACTATATTTCAGATTCATGTGTTCAGCGAACATTTGAGTCTTTGCTGTATCCTGGACATTGTTCTAAACAATAGGATTATAAAGATGGCCACATTTATTTAATATTATCTTGTTCCAAAAAGAATTTGAGGTGCACCAAGATCTGTAAGACACTGTCCCTCTCCTCATGGAATTTATAATTTAATGGAAATATTTAAACAAATAATTACAAATGGTAAGTGTCTGCTAATAGAGATGTTTCACAGAGAACTGTCTTAAAGTTTACCAGTTTGGGAAATGACAGAGAGTGGGAATGTATAAAGGCAGGAAGACAGAGCATGCAGTTTAATATGGCTGAAGAAGAGGATAATTTTCTGGTACTGATATTATAAGAGGTTTAAAATGTAGGAAGAGGCCCTCATATAGCATTGTTTCTTTTTGTTTTAAAAATCTGTCTTAACATGAAACATCATTTATTGTTTTTAGAAGAATAACAAAGAAATGCATTCAGAAGGAAGAAGCTCGGGAAAAGTTCCACTGGTATCAGAACCCTCAAAAATATCCAGTTCATTGGCACATAAAGAAGAACCCAAGTTGCCGGAAATCAGACAAGGAGGCCAGTTTAACAAAGTGCAAGATCTTATCTTCAAAAAGCCCACAAGGCAGACCATAATGAATACAGAGACACTGAAGAAAATTCAGATTGATAGGTAAGGAAGGAGAGCACATTTGGAAATGTAATAATGTATTTCTGGATGGATGAAGAGTGAGTACAGGGGTGGCTGACTGCTCTCTTCTCTTAATGGATTGGTCATTATATCCAAGTGACTGCAGATAATAGAATTAGCCAAGGGCTATCTAGGGGGAAGTGTGGTACAGTTAAAAGTATTAATATGGTGGCTATATGGTTGGGCAAGTTATTGAACCTTTGTTTACAGTTTTTAAAAATGAGAATAATGATAACTTTGGAGGGAGTTATCAGCCAAGTGCTTGGCAGAGATTGGTGGCTATTGTGATGCTTTATTTTCTAGTAAGAGATAGATACTATCAAAGTAGTCAAATTTTAAACTTTTAATCCTGAGGATTTCTTAAGCAGTCTCAATTTCCATTGTCTTATTGCTCAGTTTTTGATTGTCAACTGGCTTGCTGACAAAGAATCCTGTTAAGTTTAAAAGAAAGTATAACCTTATGATAGTAATTTTTGGTAAATAAAGGTTTATAGCAATTACCCAGGGCCACTAGCCAAATCCAGCCTGTAGTCTGTTTTTGAAAATAAATTTTTCTGGAATACAGCATCGCCCATTTTATATATTGTCTATGACTGCTTTCATGGGAGAGTAGTTTCAACAGGGAATTTATGTCCTGCAAAACCAAAAACATTTACTATTTGTCCAGTTACAGAAAAACTTGCTGACCCCTGCTTTAGACCCTCACCAGAAGGGTATCATCTCTTATTAGAAATAATCTGGTTTCACATTTGCATCCCTTAAAGATGGTGTCCTGTTTATAAGCTGCTAGTTAATGTTCTTTCATTCTCAGTGTTTGGGATCATAGTTTTTCAATTGATGTGACTTCATAGTATTTATTTTCTCAATATAGTTATTGAATATTTTGTGTGAACTATTGGTAATAATTATGTAAAACAGTAAGTATATTTCTTGCTGATTCTATATCAAAACATTAAATAACAGTATTTAAAATTCTCTCCCTAGAAGAGAATACTCAATGTACTAGGAGTCAAGAATCTGAATTAAATAGTTCTATCTCTTTTTCAAATTAGTTCTGTGAACTTGGGCAAGGAAGGCATTTAATCTTCCCGAGTCTGGATTCACTCATCTCTAAAATGTGTTGTATTAGCTCTTCATACAAAAATTTTTAAATGATTTAACTTTTTCAAAATTATGAAATATTTCAACAATGCAGGAAAATGTGAAGAATAAAATTATTAATCCTTATGTATATAACCACCAAATCTTAACATTTTACATGATAGCTTTAAGAGTTTTTTTTTTCAAATAAAATATGTCAGGTACAATTGAAGCCTCTGATTCTAGTCCGCTGACCTTTTCCCCAAATATTTCTTCTGAATTTGTTGTTTATTGTTCTCTTGTATATGTTGTGATACTTTTATTAGGTAGGTAAGTATTTTATTTAAACGATACATATAGGTGGCTCAGATGGTAAAGAGTCTACCTGCAATGCGGGAGACCTGGGTTTGATCCCTGGGTCAGGAAGATCCCCTGGAGAAGGAAAATGGCAACCCACTCCAGTATTCTTGCCTGGAGAATTCCATGGACAGAGGATCCTGTTGGGCTACAGTCCATGGGGTCACAAAGAGTCGGACATGACTGAGTGACTAACTTTCACTTTCACATTCATAGTTTTATATGTTCTTAAATGTTGCATACACAGTATCATGCTGTACATTCCAGGTCCGTTAGTCCTCAGTATGTAAACTTTTTCTGGTTAAGGAGTTTCTCTTTTTTGCCAAGAGTTGTTGTTTGTTTTTAAATGATGTGATGATCATTTGGCTTTTTTCTCCTTTTATCCTTATTAATGTGATGATTTCCATTAGTAGATTTTCTAATACTAAACTATTTCTGCCTTCCAAGAATAATTCAAATTTAGTTATGATGGTCCTTCTGGGTCTTAATTTGTGTGATTTCTGTAGCCCTTTGTGAATGTGGGGAAATACATCTTACTGATTCAGCTTTTTTGTTTCTCCTTACAGGCAATTTTTCAGTGATGTAATTACAGAAACTATGGAGGAGTTGCAAGAAGAAGGCACTTTCACCAATCTCCTGAAAGCTTTGGGCAAAGAGAGGGAAAGCAAAATGCATTTCTATGATATCATTGCCAGGTGAGAGTAACTTTAGGTTTATTTGCTTTGTTGCATTTTTAAGTGCTATAAAACTCTTACTGGAAGTCTTAGATTTCTAAAGCAAATCAAGTTTTTGCTTTTAAGGGGGAGATAACTAGAAGTCAGAAAGTTGGGTTCTATTTGGAGTTCTGCTGGAACAATAGCTCAATTTCTGGGCTTCAGTTATCTGTATCTATAATATAGATATTACAATATATGTACTACACAGATGGGTAGTGCATAATCTATGGTTTGTTTTGGCAATGACAATCTCAAGATTCTAGTTAGCAGGATTTCTCTACATGCTACTTAATGATAAGGGTTTTTTTGTTGTTATTGTTGCTGCTATAGCCTGAATGTTTGTGCCCCTCTAACTTCAATTTTTGGAATCCTAACCTCCAGAGTGATGGTTTTAGGAGGCTGGATGTCTTTGGTCAGTGAGTAGGTCTTAAGGATGGAACCCTCATCAGTGGGATTAGTGCCCTTATAAACAAGACCCAGGAGAGCTGCCTTCCTCTTCTGTCATGTAGATACAAATGAAAATGGGCAATTGTGAGCTGGGTTGCAGGTTCTCACCGGACACTGAATTGGATAGCACCCAGATCTGGTACTTAATAGCCTCCAGAACTGTGAGAAATGAATTTCTCTGTTTATAAGCCTTCCAATCTATGATATTTTTATTATAGCAGCTCATGCTAAGATAGCGATTATTTTGTTTTTTATTGTATTGTTCTGTTATTTTATTTTAAACCTAAATAGTGGGATTGCTGAAGATAAGCAGAATTCCATTTCTGAGGGCAAACAGAAACAACATAAAATAGTTAAATTCTTATTCAGACAGTACTGAGTTTGAATTCTGCTCTGCCATTTACTACTTGTGTGACTATGGCAAGTGTGTGAGTCTGTATCTTCTTGGAGATAGATGCCAAGATGAGATTTAAGATTTTTATCAGGGAAACTGTTACATGAGAGAAAATGGGGAGGGAGCCTTTGGACTCAATGCTGGACTCACCCTAAGTGAAGGAGAGGGAAGTTTGGGTGGATGAGACCACCCTGCAGTCAAGGATGATTTGGCAAGGTCATCAGGGAGTCCTTGAGCAAAAGTCAAGCATCAGAAAAGTCCAGAGTCTCCTAGGAAGGGATGGCCTTATCCCTGCCACCCTCAAAACTTGGCTGGGAGCAGTCTGTGGGAAGGATGACCTCAGAGCACACACAGTGGAGGAATTCAGAGCCGAGAGCTTGGGCCCTTATTTGATTACATTGCCTGTACTTGGAGGTCTGTGGGGCACATTCTCAGGTCCTCCGCAGCATGTTACCTCAACTATGTGCATTTTCCTCATCTGTAAAACAGGAGTGATGACAGAGATTATGTCATTAGGTTTTAAGAGGTGCTCAGAATAGAAAAGATTCTTCTTTTTCCTCTTCCTGTTCCTCCTCCTCTTAGCTTGTTCTCAGCAGCAGCAATTTTAGATACTACACTGATAAGCCAGAAAATCCTCTTCCAGTTTACTAAAATCACAGTCTTTTTAAAAAAATTAATTTATTTTTTATTGAAGGATAATTGCTTTATAGAATTTTGCTGTTTTCTGTCAAACCTCAACATGAATCAGCCATAGGTATACATATATCCCCTCCCTTTTGAAACTCCATCCCATCTCCCTCCTCATCCCACCCCTCTAGGTTGATACAGAGCCCCTGTTTGAGTTTCCTGAGCCATACAGCAAATTCACAGCTATCTATTTTACATATGGCAATGTAAGTTTCCATATTACTCTTTCCATACATCTCACCCTCGCCTCCCCTCTCCCCATGTCCGAAGTCTATTCTCTATGTGTGTTTCTCCATTGTTGCCCTGTAAATAAATTCTTCAGTACCATTTTTTTAGATTCTGTATATATGCGTTAGAAGACGGTATTTATCTTTCTCTTTCTGATTCACTTCACTCTGCATATGGGTTCTAGGTTCATCCACCTCATTAGAATGGACTCAAATGTGTTCCTTTTTATGGTTGAGTAAATTCCATTATGTATATGTACCACAACTTCTTTATCCATTCATCTGTCGATGGACATCTAGATTGCTTTCATGTTCTAGCTATTGTAAATAGTGCTGCAGTGAATAATGGGATACACGTGTCTATTTCAATTTCATATACCTCAGGGTATATGCCTAGGAGTAGGATTGCTGGGTCATATTGTGGTTTTATTCCTAGTTATTTAAGGAATCTCCGTGTCATCTTCCATAGTGGCTGTATTAATTTACATTCCCACCAGCAGTGCCAGAGCATTTCCTTTTCTCCACACGCTCTCCAGAATTTGTTTGTACACTTTTTGATGAGGGCCATTCTGACTGGTGTGAGGCGATATCTTATTGTAGTTTTGATTTGCATTTCTCTAATAATGAATGATGTTGAGCATCTTTTCATGTGTTTGTTAGCCATCTGTATATCTTCTTTGGAGAAATGTCTGTTTAGGTCTTTTTCCACTTTTTGATTGGGTTGTTTGTTTTTCTGGTATTGAGTTGTATGAGCTACTTGTATATTTTGGAAGTTAATCCTTTGTCAGTTTCATTTGCTATTATTTTTTCCCATTCTGAGGGTTGTTTTTTCATCTTGCTTATAAAAGCTTCCTTTGCTGTGCAAAAACTTTTAAGTTTAATCGGGTCCCACTTGTTTACTTTTGTTTTTATTTCCATTACTCTAGGATGTGGGTCATAGAGGATCTTGCTTTGATTTATGTCATCAAGTGTTCTGCCTATGTTTTCCTCTAAGAGTTTTATAATTTCTGGTCTTACATTTAGGTCTTTAATCCATTTTGAGCTTATCTTTGTGTATGGTGTTAGGAAGTGTTCTAATTTCATTCTTTTACATGTAGCTGTCCAGTTTTCCCAGCACCATTTATTGAAGAGGCTGTCTTTGCCCCATGGTATATTCTTGCCTCCTTTGTCAAAAATAAGGTACCCATAGGTGCATGGGTTTATTTCTGGGCTTTCTATCTTGTTCCATTGGTCTATATTTCTGTTTTTGTGCCAGTACCATACTGTCTTGATGTCTGTAGCTTTGTAGTATAATCTGAAGTCAGGAAGGTTGATTCCTCCACTCCATTCTTCTTTCTCAAGACTGCTTTGGCTATTCGGGTTCTTTTGTGTTTCCATATGGATTGTGAAATTTTTTGTTCTAGTTCTGTGAAAAAAGCCATTGGTAATTTGATAGGGATCGCATTGAATCTGTAGATTGCATTTGGCAGTATAGTCATTTTTACAATATTGATTCTCCCTACCCAGGAACATGGAATATCTCTCCATCTGTTTGTGTCATCTTTGATTTCTTTCATTGGTGTCATAATATTCTGTGTACAGTTCTTTCATCTCCTTAGGTAGGTTTATTCCTAGATATTTACTTCTTTTTGTTGCGATGGTGAATGGGATTGATTCCTTAATTTCTCTTTCTGATTTTTCATTGTTAATATATAGAATTGCAAGTGATTTCTGTGTATCGATTTTGTATCCTGCAACTTTCCTAAATTCACTGATGAGCTCTGATAATTTTCTGATACTATCTTTAGGGTTTTCTATGTATAGTATCATGTCATCTGCAAACAGTGAGAGCTTTACTTCTTCTTTTCTGATCTGGATTCTTTTTTTTCTTTTCCTTCTCCGATTGCTTGTAGCTAGCACTTCCAGAACTATGTTGAATAATAGTGGCGAAAATGGACACCCTTGTCTTGTTTCTGATCTTAGGGGGAATGCTTTTAGTTTTTCACCATTGAGAATAACGTTTGCTGTAGGCTTATTATTTATGGCCTTTACTATGTTGAGATAAGTTCCTTCTATGTCCATTTTTTAAAGAGTTTTAATCATAAATGGGTGATGAATTTTGTCAAAGGCTTCTTCTGCATCTATTGAGATTATCATATAATTTTTATCTTTCAATTTGTTAATATGGTATATCACATTGATTGATTTGAGTATATTGAAGAATCCTTGCATCCCTGGAATAAACCCAGCTTGATCATGGTGTATGAGCTTTTTGATGTGTTGCTGAATTCTGTTTGCTAAAGTTTTGTTGAGGATTTTTGCATCTATGTTCATCAGTGATATTGGCCTGTAGTTTTCTTTTTTTGGTATGTCTTTGTCTGGTTTTGGTATCAGGGTGATGGTGGCCTCATAGAATGAGTTTGGAAGTGTTCCTCCCTCTGCAATTTTTTGAAAAGGTTTTAGAAGGATAGGCATTAGCTCTTCTCTAAGTTTGATAGAATTCATCTGTGAAGCCATCTGGTCCTGGGCTTTTGTTTTTTGGGAGATTTTTGATCACAGCTTCAATTTCAGTGCTTGTAATTGGGTTGTTCATAATTTCCATTTCTTCCTGGTTCAGTCTTGGCAGACTGAACTTTTCTAAGAATCCCTCCATTTCTTCCAGGTTACCCACTTTATTACCATATAGTTGTTCATAATAGTCTCTTATAATCCTTTGTATTTCTGCATTGTCTGACGTAACCTCTCCTTTTTCATTTCTAATTTTGTTGATTTGATTCTTCTCTCTTTTTTTCTTGATGAGTCTGGCTAAAGGTTTGTCAATTATGTTTATCTTCTCAAAGAACCAGCTTTTAGTTTTATTAATCTTTATTATTGTTTCTTTCATTTCTTTTTTATTTTTTTCTGCTTGGGTGTTTATGAGTTATTTCTTTCTACTAATTTAGGTTTTTTTTTTCTTTTTCCAGTTGTTTTAGGTGTACAGTTAGGTTGTCTATTTGATGTGTTTTTTGTTTCTTGAGGTAGGATTGTATTGCTATAAACTTCCCTCTTAGAACTGCTTTTACTGCATCCCATAGGTTTTGAGTTGTCGTGTTTTAATTGTCATTTGTTTCTAGAAATTTTTGATTTCCCTTTTGATTTCTTCAGTAACCTGTTGGTTACCTAGAAGTGTGTTGTTTAGTCTCCATGTTTTTGTGTGTCTTACACTTTTTTCTTGTAATTGATATCTAGTCTCATAGCATTGTGGTTGGAAAAGATGCTTGATATGATTTTAATTTTCTTAAATTTGCTGAGGTTTGATTTGTGACCCAAGATGTGGTCTATCCTGGAAAATGTTCCATGAGCACTTGAGAAGAAGGTGTATTCTTCTGCATTTGGATGGAATGTCCTGAAGATATAATAAGATCCATCTCATCTAATGTATCATTTAAGGCTTGCGTTTCCTTATTCATTTTCTGTTTTGATGATCTGTCCATTGGTGTGAGTGGGGAGTTAAAATCTCCTACTTATTATTGTGTTATTGTCAATTTCTCCTTTTATGTCTGTTAGTGTTTGTCTTATATATTGAAACGTTCCTATGTTGGGTGCATAGATGTTTACAATTGTTATGTCTTCCTCTTGGATTGGTCCCTTGATCATTATGCAGTGTCCTTCCCTATCTCTTGTAATCTTCTTTATTTTAAGGTCTATTTTGTCTGATATGAGGATTGCTACTTCAGCTTTCTTTTGCTTCCCCTTTGCATGGAATATACTTTTTCCATCCTCTCACTTTCAGGCTATATGTGTCTTGAGGTCTGAAGTGGGTTTCTTGTAGACAGCATATATATGGGTCTTGTTTTTGTGTACATTTAACCAGTCTGTGTCTTTTGGTTGGAGGGTTTAATCCATTTACATTTAAGGTAATTATTGATATATATGTTCTTATTGCCATTTTCTAATTGGGGTTGATTTTATAGATCTTTTTTCTTCTGTTGTATTTCTTGACTATGTAAGTCCCTTTAACATTTGTTGTAAAACTGGTTTGATGGTACTGAATTCTCTTAACTTTTCCTTGTTGGAAAAGCTTTTTTTAAATTTCTGCATCAGTTTTGAATGAGATCCTTGCCAGGTACAGTAATCTTGGTTGTAGATTTTTCCCTTTCAGTACTTTAAATATATTCTGGAATTCCCTTCTGGCCTGTAGAGTTTGTGCTACATATGGGGTTTCCCTTGTATGTTACGTCTTGCTTCTCCCTTGCTGCTTTTAATATTCTTTGTGTTAAGACAGAAATATAGATCAATGGAACAGAATAGAAAGCCCAGAGATAAATCCACGAACCTATGGTCACCTTATCTTCGACAAAGGAGGCAAGGATATACAATGGAAAAAAGACAACCTCTTTAACAAGTGGTGCTGGGAAAACTGGTCAACCACCTGTAAAAGAATGAAACTAGAACACTTTCTAACACCATACACAAAAATAAACTCAAAATGGATTAAAGATCTAAATGTAAGACCAGAAACTATAAAACTCCTAGAGGAGAACATAGGCAAAACACTCTCCGACATAAATCACAGCAGGATCCTCTATGACCCACATCCCAGAATTTTAGAAATAAAAGCAAAAATAAACAAATGGGACCTAATGAAACTTAAAAGCTTTTGCACAACAAAGGAAACTATAAGCAAGGTGAAAAGACAGCCCTCAGATTGGGAGAAAATAATAGCAAACGAAGCAAAAGACAAAGGATTAATCTCAAAAATATACAAGCAACTCCTCCAGCTCAACTCCAGAAAAATAAATGACCCAATCAAAAAATGGGCCAAAGAACTGAACAGACATTTCTCCAAGGAAGACATACAGAGGGCAAAAAAACACATGAAAAGATGCTCAACATCACTCATTATCAGAGAAATGCAAATCAAAACCACAATGAGGTACCATTACACGCCAGTGTAATGTGCTATCCAAAAGTCTACAAGCAATAAATGCTGGAGAGGGTGTGGAGAAAAGGGAACCCTCTTACACTGTTGGTGGGAATGCAAATTAGTACAGCCACTATGGAAAACAGTGTGGAGATTTCTTAAAAAGCTGGAATTAGAACTGCCATATGACCCAGCAATCCCACTTCTGGGCATACACACCGAGGAAACCAGATCTGAAAGAGACACGTGTACCCCAATGTTCATTGCAGCACTGTTTATAATAGCCAGGACATGGAAGCAACCTGGATGCCCATCAGCAGACGAATGGATGAGGAAGCTGTGGTACATATACACCGTGGAATATTACTCAGCCATTAAAAAGAATTCATTTGAATCAGTTCTAATGAGATGGATGAAACTGGAGCCCATTATACAGAGCGAAGTAAGCCAGAAAGATAAAGACTATTACAGTATACTAACACATATATATGGAATTTAGAAAGATGGTAACGATAACCCTATATGCAAAACAGAAAAAGAGACTCAGATGTATAGAACAGACTTGTGGACTCTGTGAGAAGGCGAGGGTGGGATGTTTCGAGAGAACAGCATCGAAACATGTATATTATCTAAGGTGAAACAGATCACCAGCCCAGGTTGGATGCATGAGACAAGTGCTCGGGCCTGGTGCACTGGGAAGACCCAGAGGGATCGGGTGGAGAGGGAGATGGGAGGGGGGTCCGGGATGGGGAATACATGTAACTCCATGGCTAATTCATTTCAGTGTATGACAAAAACCACTGCAATGTTGTAAAATAATTAGCCTCCAACTAATAAAAATAAATGGAAAAAAATCATAGAACAATTGAAGAAAAAATATTCTTTGTGTTTAGTATTTGTTAGTTTGATTAGTATGTGTCTTGGTGTGTTTCTTCTTGGGTATATCCTGTGTGGGAGTCTTTGTGCCTCTTGGACTTGATTGACTATTTCCTTTTCCATGCTGGAGAAATTTTCAACTATAATTTATTAAAAAATTTTCTCATACCCTTTCTTTTTCTCTTCTTCTTCTGGGACTCCAGTAATTTCAGTGTTGGTGCATTTGATATCGTCCCAGAGGTCTCTGAGACTGTCCTCAGCTCTTTTCATTCTTTTTACTTTATTCTGCTCTTTAGAAGTTATTTCTACCATTTTATCTTCCAGCTCACTGATTCATTCTTCTGCTTCAGATATGCTGCTATTGATTCCTTTTAGAGTATTTTTAATTTCAGTAATTGTGTTGTTTGTCTCTGTATATTTATTCTTTAATTCTTCTAGGTCTTTGTTAATTGATTCTTGCATTTTCTCCATTTTGTTTTCAAAGTTTTTGATCATCTTTACTATCATTACTCTGAATTCTTTTTCAGGTAGTTTGCCTATTTCCTCTTCATTTATTTGTATTTCTGTGTTTCTAGTTTGTTCCTTCATTTGTGCAGTATTTCTCTGCCTTTTCATTATTTTTTTTTTCTAAGTCACTGTGTTTGAGGTCTCCTTTTCCCAGGCTTCAAAGAAAGTTGAATTCTTTCCTTGAAGAAAGTTGAATTCTTTCTTCCTTTTGGTTTCTGCCCTCCTAAGGTTGGTCCAGTGGTTTGTGTGAGCTTCTTGTAGGGTGAGAGTTGTGCTGAGGTTTTGTTTGTTTGTTTTCCTCTGATGGGTAAAGCTGAGTGAGGTGGTAATCCTTTCTGCTGATGATTGGGTTTGTATTTTTGTTTTGTTTGTTGTTTAGATGAGGCATCCTGCACAGGGTGCTACTGGTGTTTGGGTGATGCAGGCTCTTGTATTCAAGTGGTTTCCTTTTCCTGAGTTCTCACTATTTGATACTCCCCCGGGTTAGTTCTCTGGTAGACTGGGGTCTTGGAGTCAGTGTTCCCACTCCAAAGGCTCAGGGCTTGATCACTTGACAAATCCTCCCTCCTGAGCCCAGCATGCAGTGTGGGGTTCTTCCCTGCTTTGAGGTTCTGAGCCAGAACCTGTTGGGGGTATGGACAGCAGTCTCTGGACTGACCAGCCCCTCAACCCACTCCAGCACTTTCTGGTTAGGAAAGGTGCCTCCGGGTCCTGTCACCCCTGTGCACTGAAGCCAATCTATTGACACCTGGGAGGAGGCGAGAAACTTCTTTGGAAGCTTCAGCAATCAGCATTTGAGAAACTCCTCTCCACTTTAGCACTGTCTCCAGGATGCAGAGATGAGAGACAGTGCAAACTGCAGCGTGGTGAGAGAGCAGAGGGAGAGCAAAATCGTCTTTTTAAAAACGTTACTGAACAGCATGTATATTATCTATAGTGAAACAGATCACCAGCCCAGGTGGGATGCATGAGACAAGTGCTCGGGCCTGGTGCACTGAGAAGACCCAGAGGAATCGGGTGGAGAGGGAGGTGGGAGGGGGGATCAGGATGGGGAATACATGTAACTCCATGGCTGATTCATGTCAATGTATGACAAAACCCACTGCAATGTTGTGAAGTAATTAGCCTCCAACTAATAAAAATAAATGAAAAAAAAAAGTTACTGAAATTTTGCTCCATGGACCAGCACCATTAGCATCACCTGGGAACTTGGTACAGATGCAAATTCCACTGAATGAATTAGAATCTTGGATAGAGCCCAGGAATCTGTTTTTTAGCCTCCAGGTGAACCTGTGCACACTGAATTTTGAGAAGCACTTCCCTAAAATACAAATTACCTTTATTTTCTCTAGGGAGGAAAATGGAAGAAAGAAGATAAAATCTCTTCAAAAACAGCTGCTTAATGTCAAAAAAGAAAGGCAAGCTGAAGTACAGGTAAGAATTATCTGGACAACGCCAAAAGTTACTAAGTTAATAACAGCTAAGTAGAAGTCATCTTATCTTCTTCAAGCAAAAAAAGAAGTTATGTATAAGAAATTGTTGTTTTCCTTGGGTTGCCTTTAATATTTGTATTAAAAATAAAAGGAGAGCAGATATTTGATGGAATGCACAAACATGTCCAGAATCAAACTTTGAGAGACTCTAACCTGCTGGAGCTCTTAGTCTGTTCTTACCCCTCCCAACCAATCCAGCCGTATCACCCACTCCTTCCTTCCAGGAGACCTTGTCTCAGGCAGTCTCTTATATGCCAAGGTCCTAGATTGGGGAGATTATAGTCCTAGGTAGCACATTAAGCACATCACACTGCTTACAAGGCTTCTCTCGTGGCCCAAATGATAAAGAATGTGCCTGCAATGCGGGAGACCTGGTTTCAGTCCCTGGGTTGGGAAGATCCCCTGGAGGAGGGCGTGGCAATCCACTCCAGTATTCTTGCCTGGAGACCCCCATGGACAGAGAAGCCTGGTGGGCTACAGTCCATGGGGTCGCAAAGGGTCAGACACAACTGAGTGACTGAGTACAACACAAATACTCCTTACACCTGATGGTTATGGTTAATAATGTCATTTGTATTATATTTCAACTACAGAGTGGATTTATTGAGCTTTTCTGGTCATTAGGGCCTCTATAAGAAGCCCTTTATAATTTACCTCTATAAGGTAAATTTATAGAGGTATAATTTACCTCTGTAAGAAAATGCATCCCAAGTTTTAAGCAAGTGCTTACAAAACTGCGTTTGGGCAGTTAGAGATTAGTACCATGACTATTAAAATTAAGAAAGTTACCAAGTATGGCCTGATATATCAGCTTTTCATTGCCTAGCTATTTGGACAAGCTTATACTTCAGATGTGGGAATCTTCCTTATTTCCTACAAAGAAGTTAGAAGAATATTAGGAAAATATATTTGGAAGAATTGTCTAAAGAAGGTCACTAGCCTTTCTTCTGAGATATTATCTTTAGGTCTTCTGACTTGCTTAGCATCCTTTCTTATTTTCTATTATCAGTTTTAAAGTACCTTTGTTATCGATTTTTTACTTCATTATCCCTATTAACCCTCTGTTTATAGCTTACGTTCTTTGAAAACCATTTTTGCACCTCCCTCACCTCCAAAAGCTTTATAAAAACTGGTATACACTTAGGCTTTCTCTCCAATGAATAGACTTTTTCAGAAGTTTCTTTTTTTTCCCCTCAAAAACCCTACCATTATTTAAAACTTCCTCTTATATTCCTTGAGTATTAAAAAAAAAAAAGATATTTATATTAATATCCTTTTAAGACTCCAAACCAAATAGTATCAAAAGAGACCTCAGCTTTGGCCTCTGCCAATCAAGTCCCCTATGTTACTATCACAACCCCCTTTTTTCTCTTTCTTTACATTATATTGTTGACAATATAATTTTTCCAACAAGTAACACTTGCTTGTGAAACTTACCTTCTTGGATTGTAGTCTCAGCTGTTACGTTCAGGTGAAGTAAAACTAAAGTAGAATATCACTCATATTTTGATCATCAGCAAAGGAGTGAAACCAGGACTAGAAGACTGAAGGCAAACCTTAAACAAAAAACAACTGGAAAGATGAAATCAAGTAAAATCTCTAGAGTTACTGAAGAACTGGTGGTCAAGTCAAGGTTGGAAAACAAGAAGACAGGAAGTACATGGATATGGGAGACCTGTGGGTCAGAAAATGATGCCAGCAATTAAGGTGGCAGGCTTGAATGTGTGAAAGTATGTGTGGAGATCACTGGAATGTGAGGGAATAATTGAGTTATGAAGCTTCCTACTGGAAGTGAAGAGGAACTTAAGAGTCTCTTGATTAAGGTGAAAGAGAACAGTGGAAAAATTAGCTTAAAACTCAACATTTAAAAAACAAAGATCATGGCATCCAGTCCCATCACTTCGTGGCAAATAGATGGGGAAAAATTGGAAACAGTATCAGATTTCATTTTCTTGGGCTCCAAAATCAATGTGGACAGTGACGGCAGCTATGAAATTAAAAAATGCTTGCTCCTTAGAGGAAAAGCTATGACAAACCTAGACAATGTATTAAAAAAAGCAGAGACATTACTTTGTCAACAAAGGTCCGTCTAGTCAAGGCTATGGTTTTTCCAGTAGTCGTGTATGGATGTGAGTTGGACTATAAAGAAAGCTGAGCACTGAAGAATTGATGCTTTTGAACTGTGGTGTTGGAGAATACTCTTGAGAGTCCCTTGGACAGCAAGGAGATCAAACCAATCAATCCTAAAGGAAGTCAATCCTGAATATTCACTGGAAAGACTGATGCTGAAGCCAAATCTTTAAATACTTTGACTACCTGATGCAAAAAGCCGACTCGTTGGGAAAAAACCCTGTTGCTAAGAAAGATTCAGGGCAAGAGGTGAAAGGGGCGACAGAGGATGAAATGGTTGGATGGCATTATCAACTCGATGGACATGAGTTTGAGCAAATTCAGGAGATAGTGAAGGACAGAGAAGCCTGGTGTGCTATAGTTCATGGGGTCAGAAAGAGTTGGACACGACTTATCAACTGAATAACAACAGCAACCTCTAATGAAACTGTTGAAGACAGTTAGGTCTTTGTAATTCTCAACTTACAAGATTTTTCTAGCCAGAATCAGGACTTTAGTTTCACTTTGCTTCTTCTTAGAGTCAGTATAGTTCAGTTCAGTTCAGTCGCTCAGTTGTGTCTGACTTTTTGTGACACCATGGACTACAGCACGCCAGGCTCCCCTGTCCATCACCAGTTCCCAGAGTTTACTCAAACTCAGGTCCATTGAGTCAGTGATGCCATCCAACCATCTCATCCTCTGTTGTCCCCTTCTTCTCTTGCCTTCAATCTTTGCCAGCATCAGGGTCTTTTCAAATGTGTCAGTTCTTCGCATCAGGTGGCCAAAGTATTGGAGTTTCAGCTTCAGCATCAGTCCTTCCAATGAATATTCCTGACTGATTTCCTTTAGGATGGATCAGTTGGATCTCCTAGCTGTCCAAGGGACTCTCAAGAGTCTTCTCCACCACCACAGTTCAAAAGCATCTATTCCTTGGCTCTCACCTTTCTTTATAGTCCAACTCTCACAACCACACATGGCTACTGGAAAAACCATAGCTTTGACTAGATGGACCTTTGTTGGCAAAGTACTGCCTGTACTTTTTAATATGCTGTCTAGGTTGGTCATAGCTTTTCTTTGGAGCAAGCATCTTTTAATTTCATGGCTGCAGTCACCATCTGCAGTGATTTGGGAGCCCCCCAAAATAAAGTCTGTCACTGTTTCCATTATTTCCCCGTCTATTTACCATGAACTGATGGAACCAGATACCATGACTTTATTTTCCTGAAAGTTGAGTTTTAAGCCAGCTTTTTCACTCTCTTCTTTCACTTTTATCACAAGGTTTTTCATTTCTTCGCTTTCTGCCATAAGGGTGATGTTATCTGAAAATCTGATGTTATTGATATTTCTACTGGAAATCTTGATTCCAGCTTGTGCCTCATCCAGCCCAGTGTTTGTCATGATGTAGTCTGTGTATAAGTTAAATAAGCAGGGTGACAATATACAGCCTTGACGTACTCCTTTCTCAATTTGGAACCAGTCTGTTGTTCCAGGTCCAGTTCTAACTGTTGCTTCCTGACCTGCATACAGATTTCTCAAGAGGCAGGTCAGGTGGTCTGGTATTCCCATCTCTTTCAGAATTTTCCCCAGTTTATTGTGATCCACACAGTCAAAGGCTTTGGCATAGTCAATAAAGCAGAAATAGATATTTTTTTGGAACTCGCTTGCTTTGTTGATGATCCAACGGATGTTGTCAATTTGATCTCTGGTTCCTCTGCCTTTTCTCAATCCAGCTTGAACATCTGGAAGTTGACAGTTCACTTGTTGTTGAAGCCTGGCTTGGAGAATTTTGAGCATTACTTTACTAGTGTGTGAGATGAGTGCAATTGTGCAGTAGTTTGAACATTCTTTGGCATTGCCCTTTTTGGGACTGGAATGAAAACTGACCTTTTCCAGTCCTGTGGCCACTGCTGAGTTTTCCAAATTTGCTGGCATACTGAGTGCAGCACTTTCACAGCATCATCTTTCAGGATTTTTTTTTTTCATTCTTTTTATTTATTTTTATTAGTTGGAGGCTAATTACTTTACAATATTGTAGTGGGTTTTGTCATACATTGACATGAATCAGCCATGGATTTACATGTATTCCCCATCCCAATCCGCCTCCCACCTCCCTCTCTACCCGCTCCCTCTGGGTCTTCCCAGTGCACCAGGCCTGAGCACTTGTCTCATGCATCCAACCTGGGCTGGTGATCTGTTTCACCCTAGATAATATACATGTTTCGATGCTGTTCTCTCGAAACATCCCACCCTCGCCTTCTCCCACAGAGTCCAAAAGTCTGTTCTGTACATCTGTGTCTCTTTTTCTGTTTTGCATATAGGGTATCATTACCATTTTTCTAAATCCCATATATATGTGTTAGTATGCTGTAATGTTCTTTATCTTTCTGGCTTACTTCACTCTGTATAATGGGCTCCAGTTTCATCCATCTCATTAGAACTGATTCAAATGAATTCTTTTTAATGGCTGAGTAATATTCCATGGTGTATATGTACCACAGCTTCCTTATCCATTTGTCTGCTGATGGACATCTAGGTTGCTTCCATGTCCTGTCTAAACAGTGCTGCGATGAACATTGGGGTGCACATGTCTCTACCAGATCTTTAAGGATTTGAAATAGCTCAGCTGGAATTCCATCACCTCCACTAGCTTTGTCTGTAGTGAGGCCCACTTGACTTCCCATTCCAGGATGTCTGGCTCTAGGTGAGTGATCACACCATCATGATTATTTGGGTCGTGAAGATCTTTCTTGTATAGTTCTTCTGTGTATTCTTGCCACCTCTTCTTAATATCTTCTGCTTCTGTTAGGTCCCTACCATTTCTGTCCTTTATTGAGCCCATCTTTGCATGAAATGTTCCCTTGGTGTCTCTAATTTTCTTGAAGAGATCTCTAGTCTTTCCCATTCTATTGTTTTCCTCTATTTCTCTGCACTGATCACTGAGGAAGGCTTTCTTATCTCTCCTTGCTATTCTTTGGAACTCCGCAATCAAATGGGTATATGTTTCCTTTTCTCCTGTGCCTTTCACCTCTTCTTTTCACAGCTATTTGTAAGTCCTCCTCAGACAGCCATTCTGACTTTTTGCATTTCTTTCTCTTGGGGATGGTCTTGATCCCTGTCTCCTGTACAATGTCACGAACCTCCGTCCATAGTTCTTCAGGCACTCTGTCTATCAGATCTAATCCCTTGAATCTATTTCTCACTTTCACTGTATAATCATAAGGGGTTTGATTTAGGTCATACCTGAATGGTCTAGTGGTTTTCCCTACTTTCTTCAATTTAAGTCTGAATTTAGCAATAAGGAGTTCATGATCTGAGCCACAGTCAGCTCCCGGTGTTGTTTTTGCTGACTGTATAGATCTTCTCCACCTTTGGCTGCAAAGAATATAATCAATCTGGTTTCGGTGTTGACCATCTGGTGATGTCCATGTGTAGAGTCTTCTCTTGTGTTGTTGGAAGAGGGTGTTTGCTATGACCAGTGCATTCTCTTGGCAAAACTTTATTAGCTTTTGCCCTGCTTCATTCTGTACTCCAATGCCAAATTTGCCTGTTCTTCCAGGTACTTCTTGACTTCCTGCTTTTGCATTCCAGTCCCTTATAATGAAAAGGACATATTTTTTGGGTGTTAGTTCTAGAAGGTCTTGTAGATCTTCAAAGAAGACTGATCAAATTCAGCTTCTTCAGCATTACTGGTCAAGGCATCAACTTGGATTACTGTGATATTGAATGGTTTGCCTTGGAAATGAAGAGAGATCATTCTATCGTTTTTGAGATTGCATCCAAGTACTGCACTTTGGACTTTTTTGTTGACTATGATGCTACTCCATATCTTCTAAGGGATTCTTGCCCACAGTAGTAGATATGATGGTCATCTGAGTTAAATTCACCCATTCCAGTCCATTTTAGTTCGCTGATTCCTAAAATGTCGACAGTCACTCTTGCCATCTCCCGTTTGACCTCTTCCAATTTACCTCTATTCTTGGACCTAACATTCCAGGTTCCTATGCAATATTGCTCTTTATAGCATTGGACCTTGCTTCCATCACCAGTCACATCCACAGCTGGGTGGTGGTGTTTTTGTCTTGGCTCCATCTCTTCATTCTTTCTGGCGCTATTTCTCCACTGATCTCCAGTAGCATGTTGGGCACCTCCCAACCTGGGGAGTTCATCTTTCAGTGTCCTATCTTTTTGTCTTTTCATACTGTTCATGGGGTTCTCAAGGCAAGAATACTGAAGTGGTTTGCCATTCCCTTCTCCAATGGATCACATTCTATCAGACCTTTCCACCATGACCCATCCGTCTTGGGTGGCCCCACACGGCATGGCTTAGTTTCATTGAGTTAGACAAGGCTGTGGTCTGTGTGATCAGATTGGTTAGTTTTCTGTGATTGTGGTTTTCAGTCTGTCTGCCCTCTGATGGAGAAGTATAACAGGCTTATGGAAGCTTCCTGATAAAAGAGACTGACTGAGTCGGAGTCAGTACAGTGTTCTAATATCAACAGAGTTTCAAATTCTTTTAGCTTATGGAAGATATATCTCTATATCTATCTATGTATCTATCTATCTATATTTTCAGTTGTGCAGCATTCAAAATTTAAGGAAAATGAGAATTCCTAGGCCCAATGGGGGAAATAACTCCTTCTTGGAATCCTATTCTGAGAGTATCTTTCTAGTGCTATATACCTTAGTGGCAGCTCCAGCATTGGAAAACAGTATGGAGATCCCTCAAAAAATCAAGAATAGAACTACCATATGATTCAGCTATTCTACTTCTGGGTAGTTATCCAAAGAACATGAAGACACTAATTCAGAAAGGTGTATATACCCCTGTGTTCCTTGCAGCATTGTTCACAACAGCCAAGATAAGGAAACAACCTGTATTCACATTGACAGATAAATGGATAAAGAAGGTGTGGTACATGTTTACAACAGTATATAGACAATGGATACTTCCTAGCCATACAAAGATGGAATCTTGCTATTTTTGACAACATGGATGGACATTGAGATTATCATGCAAAGTGAAATAAGTCAGACAAAGAAAGATAAATACTGTATAATTTCACTCATATGTGGAATCTGAAACAAACAAAAATAGATGAACAAACCAAACAAAAACAAACATGTAGAACAGAGTAGTCGGTACCAGAAGAGGAAAGGGTTGGGGGTAAGAAATGGGTAAAGCGGGTGGGGGTGGGGATCAACTATATGGTGACAGATGGAAGCTAAATTTTTGGTGGTGAGCACATTATAACGTATACAGAAGTTGAAATATTAATATAATGTTGCACACATGAAGCTTATGTAATGTTATGTATGTAAACCAATGTTAATGCAATTAAAAAAGAAAAGAAGTTGCCAAGCACTTTGTAACCTGGGAAGAATTTTCAAACACATTGTCAATCCTTATAATTACTTGCTAAGATATTTCAGGCAGTGTGGATATTAATGTTTCTATTTTAAAGAAGGTGAGACTTAGAGAGTTTAACTGACATGTCCTAATTCACACAATTGGCGGGGCTTGGGTGCGAAGTTAGGTCTTTTGATCATTTAGTCCATGCTCTTTCCACTAAAATGAAATAGTAATGGGGAATCTGTGTGGATACAGGATACCCAAATAGTGTGCCTAGGGAAGAATCTCACAGTCTTAAACTACTTGTTTTTCATTTTCATTAATACTATCCATGATTATTGGGTAAATTTCTCCTAGTGTGATAGCAGAAAAACAGATCCAGTTCCCTGTTGATACAGAGAAGTTTTGTACTTTTGTAAGGCCAAAAGCTTAAGCTGCTGACTGAGCTGAGTGCAGGTAGAATGCATTTTAATTTAGAAATCTGATCTTAACCTCTACAGAATCGGAATGAATATATTGCTCACCTCAAGGACCAGTTGCAAGAGATGAAGGCAAAAACCAACATGGAGAATCGCTATATGAAGAGAAACACAGAACTGCAGATTTCCCAGACCCAGAAAAAATGTAGCAAAACAGAAGAGCGCTTGCTGGAAGAGATTGAGGTGATCACTGTTAATTAGGAATGAATCTAGTGACTGGCTTTCAAGTTGTCGCTCCCGATATTTCAGCTGACAAAGGAGGTGTGAGAGGGAGACTTCCCTGATCATTGTTCTCTCTCTCCAGCAACCCTAACATTTGAGGTTAAAAACAAAAATAGGATGAAGACTTGCTTTTTTACAAGCAGAGATTCTGATGGGGAATAGCCTACATCTCCTGATTTTTTGTAAGGACTTTGAAATTGGTTGTACTTTCTTCTCTTGGTCACTTTATCCTTATTTTATGAAGCCACTTGCCATTTCTTCTGGTAATTACAGGGAGAGGTCAAAACAAGGTACTCAGTAACTGCAGGTTTTTGCTGCTACTTTTCTTACCCAACCAGTATTTTTCATCCCGCCATTAAGAAATACAAAATTTAGAGAGCTGAACTTCATGCACACCTAAATTTATATTAATAGATATGAAAAGTCACATTGAAAAGTATCAGTAGAAAGAAACAAGGGTAGACCCTCATTTTAGAGGAGAAAGGCTATTTTCCCCCTTGCATGGAGCACATTCAGTTCATTCAGAGCAGTGTTTAAGAAATTTTGCCCTTAAGTCATAGAAATAACCTACTTCAAATAACATACATTTACATTAAGTAGACTCAAAACTTATTTCCAGATTTCTTTAAATCATACCCTCTCTTAAAGACATTTAATTTAAAATTTTAACATCTCTTTATATATCTCAGTACCAAACTTGTCGTATTCTACTTAGAACTGCAAATTTTCATTTCCAAATTACAAATAGTAACATGTTGTATACTTCCTGGAAACTTTTTCTAAAAAGAATCATTTGTGGAGGAGGCTAAATGGCTAAAAGAACAAGATGCTGGTGAGAAGGAGCAAACCTTAGTCAAGCATGTCATCTGCATGCAGTAGGAGGACTCCTTTCTTTGAGTCCCCTGCTTATCGGAAAGCTTATTTCCCAAGTGTGGCTTAAGACTAGGACAGCAAACATTTTTTTTTGCCCTCTGGAATATCCTTTTGTAGGACTGAGAACCCTGTGCCCTTGAAGCACTGTTTCTCTCTTTAAATGGACATCACTTTCCAGGCAACAGGATTATGGCCCTCTTGCTCTGGGCTGTTGCCTGTGCCTAGCACAGTGCCAGACATGACTCAGATGTGTTGTGAACATTAATTGAATTCAGGGAAACGGAATTGCTGCTCCGGAGGAATACCGTGGAATTCTTAGGATCCCAGCTGATAGGGAAAACTTGTACTACTGTCACAGCTATACCCCTAATCTTGAGAACTCATTTCCAGCCCTGTTGGGAAGAATTCTGATGTTGGTTTGTTATTTACAGAAACTACGGCTGAAAACTGAAGAAGAGAACCGAATTCATGCAGAGATTGAAGTGTTCCTTAGAAAGGAGCAGCAGGTGAGTCCCCAAACCTTTCTTATCCTCTGAAGTGTTTGTTTCCCACTTACAAAATGCCAAGGACAGCAAAACAATTTTTTTTAAGGAAAGAAAAATTGACCGTAATCGTACCAGCCTAATAAAAGAGCTATCTAGCCCATGTTTTCTGTATAAGTTATCCATCTGGATAAATGTTTTATAAAGCTGTAATTTGAGTATAGGTAAAATTTTGTCCTTTACCTTTATCACTTAGTATTATATAAGGCACTGTTTTCTTGTTCTTATATTGCCTCATAGTCATAATTTTAAATTTCCTGATTTTTTTAAAATTATAAAAATAGCATTCTTAGTTGTGTGAAGATTTTTTTTAATTGCCAATTGTTTTTTCACCCTTTTTTTTCATTTTACTATAGTCTCCTTATAAAATAATTTAAAATGGTTTTATAATGTTCCACAGAGTAGTTATTCTATAATTTATTTGTTACTCTTTGTTCTGGATATTTAGGTTATTTTCAAAGTTTCATTATTGTAAATAATGCAGTAGTGAAAAGTTGGCCCAAATTACTGTTTTCTTCATTGCAATTATTTGCTAAAAGTAAATCTCAAGCATGAGATTATTATTTGAGAGACTGTTATTTTGTGACTTTTGATAAATATTGCTAGTAGTCTGTTTTACACTGACATCAGCAATGGATACAGGTACTAATTTGAAGGTATCCTCAATGGAACTAACTGCTTTAGATTTTTTTTTGAAGTCTGCTAGTTTAATAAGTTGTTGTATTTTGCTTTTTTTTTTTTTTGCTTACTAATGGAATTGGCCATTTTTTCCACATATTTATTTATTCATTTTATTTTTTATTGTGTGAATTATGAAATTATTCATATAATTATATAAATTATGTGACTGAAATGGTTTGAATTAGTATTTCCAACTAGTAACAAAACAAGCTGAATGGAAGGAACCTTTCAAAGTATCTCTGTTGGCTGAATAAGGAAAAAAATTTCCAGCTTACTCATGGTATGGCCTCCCTTTGAGAAAGCTGATGAAGTTTTAGTTAATAATTCCAAATTGTGGTTAAAGAAAATGATTTCTAGATGTTGTCTCACAGGGCTTTACTGAAAAACGTATCAGTAGGCTATTAGAACCCATACCCCTGCAATTTCAGGATTATGAATCATGTTACCTACCTCAAATGTTAGATATAGAGCAAGTACTTGATAACAGTAAGATGAGTTGGTAGATAAATGGATGCTGGATGGATAAAGTTAGTGTTACCCAGATCTTCAGCCTAATAACATAAGCAATACATAGATACTTTTTAATGAAAAATTTGAAACAGTGCAGAAATATATAGATTTTAAAAAGCGAAAGCTCTCTTAATTACTCCCTTTTCAAGTATTTCTTCCATATATTTTTCTTTTCATGTATGTTCTTGTGTATATACCTAAATGGTTACTTAGTATTTATTTATTTATATTTGTTTTTGACATAAATTGGATCATAGTATATATTTTTTCCCAGACCCAGTTTTTAAAAAAATTTGCATTGTCTTTAATTTTTTCTAAAGCAGTATACTTGCTGTATAATATGCCAAAGAGGGGATATACCAAGGTTTAGGCAACCGTCTTTCTCTCAGTGGACATGCATCTAAGTGCATGGTATATGGAAAGGCTATTCATTTTTGTATATTGTTCTAGATTCCTTATGTCCCCTCATATTAGTCCCCTTATTCCTTATGTCCCCTCATATTAGTCCCCTCATGTCCATTGAGTCGGTGATGCCATCCAACCATCCCATCCTCTGTCATCCCCTTCTCCTCCTGCCTTCAATCTTTGCCAGCATCAGGGTCTTTTCAAATGAGTCAGCTCTTCTCATCAGGTGGCCGAAGTATTGGAGTTTCAGCTTCAACATCAGTCCTTCCAATCAACACCCAGGACTGATTTCTTTTAGGATGGACTTGTTGGATCTCCTTGCAGACCAAGGGACTCTCAAGAGTCTTCTCCAACACCACAGTTCAAAAGCATCAATTCTTTGGCGCTCAGCTTTCTTTATAGTCCAACTCTCACATCCATACATGACTACTGGAAAAACCATAGCCTTGACTAGACAGACCTTTGTTGGCAAAGCAATGTCTCTGCTTTTCAATATGCTGTCTAGGTTGGTCATAAATTTTCTTCCAAGGAATAAGCATCTTTTAATTTCAAGGCTGCAGTCACCATCTGCAGTGATTCTGGAGTCCCCCAAAATAAAGTCAGCCACTGTTTCCCCATCTATTTGCCATGAAGTGATGGGACCAGATGCCATGATCTTAGTTTTCTGAATGCTGAGCTTTAAGCTAACTTTCACTCTCCTCTTTCACCTTCATCAAGAGGCTCTTTAGTTCCTCTTCACTCTCTGCCATAAGGGTGGTGTCATCTGCGTATCTGAGGTTATTGATATTTCTCCTGGCAATCTTGATTCCAGCTTGTGCTTCTTCCAGCCCAGCATTTCTCATGATGTACTCTGCATATAAATTAAATAAGCAGGGTGACAATATACAGCCTTGACGTATTCCTTTCCCGATTTGGAACCCGTCTGTTTTTCCATGTCCAGTTCTAACTGTTGCTTCCTGACGTGCATACAGGTTTCTCAAGAGGCAGGTCAGGTGGTCTGGTATTCCCGTCTCTCAGAATTTTCCCCAGTTTATTGTGATCCACACAGTCAAAGGCTTTGGCATAGTCAATAAAGCAGAAATAGATGTTTTTTCTGGAATTCTCTTGCTTTTTTGATGATCCAGCGGATGTTGTCAATTTGATCTCTGGTTCCTCTGCCTTTTCTAAAACCAGCTTGAACATCTGGAAGTTCACTGTTCATGTATTGTTGAAGCCTGGCTTGGAGACTTTTGAGCATTCCTTTACTAGTGTGTGAGATGAGTATAATTGTGCAGTAGTTTGAGCATTCTTTGGCATTGCCTTTCTTTGGAATTGGAATGAAAATTGACCTTTTCCAGTCCTGTGGCCACTGCTGAGTTTTCCAAAATTTCTGGCATATTGAGTGCAACACTTTCACAGCATCATCCTTTAGGATTTGAAATAGCTCAACTGGAATTCCATCACCTCCGCTAGCTTTGTTTGTAGTGATGCTTCCTAAGACCCACTTGACTTCGCATTCTAGGATGCCTGGCTCTAGGTGAGTGATCACACCATCGTGATTATTTGGGTCATGAAGATCTTTCTTGTATAGTTCCTCTGTGTATTCTTGCCACCTCTTCTTAATATCTTCTGCTTCTGTTAGGTCCCTACCATTTCTGTCCTTTACTATGCCCATCTTTACATGAAATGTTCCCTTGGTATCTCTAATTTTCTTGAAGAGATCTATAGTCTTTTCCATTCTATTGTTTTCTTCTATTTCTCTGCACTGATCACTGAGGAAGGCTTTCTTATCTCTCCTTGCTATTCTTTGGAACTCTGCATTCAAATGGGTATATGTTTCCTTTTCTCCTGTGCCTTTTACCTCATCTTTTCACAGCTATTTGTAAGGCCTCCTCAGATAGTCATTCTGATTTTTTGCATTTCTTTTTCTTGGGGATGGTCTTGATCCCTGTCTCCTGTACAATGTCACGAACCTCTGTCCATAGTTCATCAGGCACTCTGTCTGTCAGATCTAGTCCTTAAATCTATTTCTCACTTTCACTGTATAATCGTAAGGGATTTGATTTAGGTCATACCTGAATGGTCTAGTGGTTTTTCCTACTTTCTTCAATTTAAGTCTGAATCTGGCAATAAGGAGTTCATGATCTGAGCCACAGTCAGCTCCCGGTGTTGTTTTTGCTGACTGTATAGATCTTCTCCACCTTTGGCTGCAAAGAATATAATCAATCTGGTTTCGGTGTTGACCATCTGGTGATGTCCATGTGTAGAGTCTTCTCTTGTGTTGTTGGAAGAGGGTGTTTGCTATGACCAGTGCGTTCTCTTGGCAAAACTTTATTAGCCTTTGCCCTGCTTCATCCTGTACTCCAAGGCCAAATTTTCCTGTTAGTCCAGGTGTTTCTTGACTTCCTACTTTTGCCTTCCAGCCCCCTATAATGAAAAGAACATCTTTTTTGGGTGTTAGTTCTAAAAGGTCTTGTAGGTCTTCATAGAACCATTCAACTTCAGCTTCTTAGTTAGGGGAATACCTGCATCCTTGAAAAGCCCTGTGATTGCTTTCTTATGTAGGCCATGTAAGACCATGGGTGATACCACTCCTGATTTCAGTGGAGTTGATAGGATCATGAGTGCCAAAGGACATGTGGCTGCACTTAACTACAGGGAGGTACTGGGATAAAGCATTACTTGATCTATACAACAGAGAAAAAGTCCAAATCTAGTAGCTAAAAACTTGATTTGAGTCACCACAATGAAGAGTCATGGCCTCTCACCCAGTTTCCAAACTAAATAAATTCACAGACCCAGAGCCCCTTAACTGAGGGCAGCAGGTCCCCCTGAAGGTGAACTCAGCAGCAATTGTTCACTTGTACAAGTAGTGCAAGTGAATCTTCCTCTAAGCCTTACCCAAGGGACCTACTTATTAGAGTGAGTATGACTGGAAAAAAGAAAATACCCAGACCTTTTGAGGTTACTAAACATTGGCTCTGAATTATGCTAATTCCTGGGGATTCAAGACAACACTGTGGACCCTCTCAAAATGGGTAATTATGATGGTCAGGTGATAGATGAAGACTTAAGTCTGATTTACTCTGGGCTCATTTTGCTGTGGATCCACCTTGTGGTTATTTTCCCCAGTTACTGAATATACGGTTGGAGTAAGACATACTTGGTAACAGAATTTTCACCTTGGCTCCTGATTCATGGAGTGAGGGCCATTATGATAGGAAGGGCCTAGTAGAAGCCTTTGGGCCTTCCCATCCCTACCAAGATAGTGAACATAAGCAGTACTGTAGTCTCAGTGTAACTGCTGAAATTAATGCCAACATCAAAGGCTTCAAAGTAGAGATAGTGACATTTGTCACATTCCCATTCAAGTCTGCTATTTGGCTTGTACGGTTGAATGATCTTGGAGAGTGACTGTGGACTAATGTAAATATAATCAAACGGTGACTCCAACTGCAGATACTGTTCCAGATGTCATATCTTTACTGGAGAAAATCTTGAAAGGCAGCTATTAAATTGACTAAACCCCCTGTCTCCAAACTCATTTGGAAAAAACTGCAGAAGCAGTTTACTTTTACCTGGCTGGGACAGCAGTACACACTCACAGTCACATTAGGGCTGTGTCATTTCTGCTTTCTCTGCCACATTATGGTCTGCAGAGATTATCGCTTGCTTTGACTTTCCACAAGACACCCTAGTAGTTTACTGCATTATGCTGATTGTATCTGATGAACAGAAGAAGCAAGGATTTTAGATGAGTTAGTGAGACACATGAATTAGAAGGTGAGAGACAAACCAGTTTTGATACTAATTCTGTATCATTATCATTCAGTTTGGGGACAGAAACCACATTGGTAATTTGAGCAGGGAACATATTAAAGAAGAATCATTAACTGCTAATAAGGGATTGGCTAAAAAGGAGGGATACAAGAGAACTCTAGGGCTGGAGGACAGTATCCAAGAGAGGAATAAACAGATATTTGCTTTGTTGCCTGGGTCAGAGCTGGTTTACAGCTAGTGGGGTAAAACTGGCAAGCAGGGAACTGTAGACTGTGTTTGGCAAGCAAGACTGTGTCTGTTGTGTTAGTAAAACTTGGTGAACAAGTGCCATCGAGTATGTGACATCCATGACACCATCAGCTGTGCCCAGAAACAAAGGAGGAAGCACATGGGAACCAAGGAGAGAAGCTCTTTTGTCATGTCCCTCTACCACCCTCTCCTGACAAAGCTGAATATTGTGCCAGTTTGCAGAAAGAAGTGTTGGCTGCAATCATCCAGTTTTACAAAGCTGGTCAGTGAAGGATGATTTGGAATTGAGAGGCAATAAATTGATAACTGACACAAATGGGGATTTTATGACATTTGGGCTGTAGGTTTGTGGTAGGTAAACCTTATCACATTAATAAAGTTTCCTTTTAGTCAAATCTTGCTAAGTTTTTTTGTTTTTTCTTAATCAGGAATGAAGATTGAGTTTTATGAGATAGATTTTTTTTTTAATCCATTGAGAAGATATGATTTCTTTTAATGTGTTAATAAGTTAAAATACATTAATAGACTTGTTGATGTTGAATCATCTTTAAATTTGGGGGATAAATCTACTTTGTTCATAATTTGTGATTCTTTTACTAGACTGTTAGAATTATAGATTTTTATTTTGTATTTATGTATTCCATAAATGAGCTTATTCTATAGATTTATTTTTTGTGCTTCTTTGTTTTACTGTGATCAGTTATGCTAGCTAACTTAGTAGAAATAGAACAAAATAGATTATTACCTGTTCCTTCAAACTGGTAAAATTCTGTCATAAACAGTCTGGTTGGGTAAAGGAGAGATGTTTGGCTCCCTTTTCTGTTTCTTTAATGATTATTGATGTCTTTACTTAAAAAACTCTTTTTGAGTCATTTTTGGTAAGTTATGTCTTCCTGGAAATAATCCATTTCATCAAAACATTCATTTTGAATTTATTAGTACAAAGATATGCGCTGTAGTCTCTTACAATTTAAAGTTTCTTTTATTTCTAAACTTCTCTTTTCCATCCTTTATTTTAAAAAGTTTGTGTCTTCTCTGTTTATTGCTAAGACTTGTCAAAGGTTTGCCCACATTTTAATGTTTTTTTCTTTTCCAAATAGAAGCTTCAGCATCCCTGAAGTTTCCCTCCCGCCCCATTCCCAATCAATAAACCAACAATCCCCCCCAAAGTAACCATTATTCTGACTTCTTTCCCTATAGAACAGTCATGCTTGTTCTTGAACCTCATATACATGATTTCATACAGCATATACTGTTTCATGTCTGGCCACATTTTAATGTTTGTTTTTTTTTTCTTCCAAATAGAAGCTTGAGGAGAAGCTAGAATTCTGGATGGAGAAATTTGATAAGGACACAGAAATGAAACAGAATGAACTAAATGCCCTCAAATCTGCTAAGGCCAGTGACTTAGCACACCTTCAAGAACTTGCAAAGACGGTAAGGAAGGGGGAGTCTCAATGGCATTAAGGCAGAGCATGGAGGAGTGGGTGGGAGCTAAGCTGCAGTAGCTGGGGTACAATCTTTGTTCACAAAGTGGATGTGTGCCTGTCAACCACTGGGATTCTTTTCTGATGATGATGATGATGATGATGATGATGTCCTCGTTGATGGGACAATAACAGCAGGAGCTGACACTTGATAGGGCTTAATCTGGCCTGGGCACTTTTCTAGTATTTTACTTTGTTTTTTTCCAGTCGTTCAAGTCGTGCCCAACTCTTTGTGACCCCATGGACTATACAGCCCATGGACTTCTCCAGGCCAGAATACTGGAGTGGGTAACCTTTCCCTTCTCCAGGGGATCTTCCCAACCCAGGGATCAAACTCAGGTTTACATACATAACTTATTTTAACACTATCCAAAACCCCTTGAGCTAGATACTGTTTTAATTTCTACTTTAAGATCTCTGAAGATAATTTATAAATGATTTGTAAAAACCTTCTGATTATGGTTTCACCATTGAATAAGTGTAGAACTTCTCAAATTTCTTTTAAAGGATGGTTATTTGTAGGTGTGCCTTGTTAGTTTTTTATTATATTATTTTGATGTCATTAGCCACATATCAAGTTAGTATTTCATTTTTATTAGAAGACTTTAAAACAAATTCAAGCTGAAAAAATTCGGGGGACAATTATAAAGCTTATGTGAATACTGACAATATAGGAATCAAGTAAATTTTTTCTTTTTTGGAGGGTTTAATTTGGTATGGTTCACTTTAAAGTTTTTTATTAAAAATGTAGCTCTGGGGAGTTCTCTGGTGGCCTGGTAGTTAGAATTCTGGGCTTTCACTGCCTTGGCCCTGGGCTCAATCCCTGGTGGGAGAACTGAGACCCTGCAAGCGATGTAGCGTGAACAAAAGCAGGTCTGGGTGGGCCACAGCTTGGCTGGGTCCTGTAACACACGATTAATGTCTACTTTTGCAGATAAGGGAATATGAACAAGTCATCATTGAAGATCGTATAGAAAAGGAGAAGACCCGGAAGAAGAGAGAACAGGATGACTTGGAACTGAGGAGCATCATAAAGGTAAAAAATCATACTTTGCATCTTGGGGCCTTTTCAATTCTGTAACTGACCGAACACTGAGGAATGCAAAGCACCTCTTGTTTATTATCAAACACAGAGCAGGAGATCTGTGAGGAAGCATGACCTAATCATTGGAATTTGCCGTAGTCCATGGTGCAGGGAGACAGGTAAGAGGACATGTCCCCCAGTTTTTAATCTGGGAAAGAAGAGGTGGTTAACAGTGGAAGCAAAGCCTAGAACTTGTGCCCAGAAGTCAAACTTATAAATACTATTTCTAATCAATAGAGCCCTTAGAAGAATTTTTTAATATCCCACTGCTTCTTAAGATCCTATTTATGTTAGCCCAGACTATCTGCTAGGTTTTGATAAGACCTTTTCTCAAAAAAGGCGAAAGGGTAAGTAGTAGTTCAGAAACAAAAGTTTTATATGAACTTGTATTTATTAGTGATGATGAAACTGGCAAGTCAGATTTTGGGAAATATTATCAAGCAAATATAACATCAGCTGCACTGAAACTGTACTGTTGAGGATTGCCCTTCTCTCTGAAAGAGTATCTGCTGAGACCCTGTGGTGTGCAAACTGTGGTTTGGGATGTATATTAGGGGGTGAACTAAGGAAGTAAGCTTTAAAGTGTAATACATTCAGGACCAGGTATTTAAACCCAAACTTGAGCTTCCCATTAGGAGAGAGTCACATGTATAGTTGGCAAGTGTTTATTGAGCTTCTATGGTGTTTTCTATTTGTTGAGTTTCCTCGATTTAGAGCAAAACTAAGAAAAAAAAGTAGCTGAAGCAGCTGAAGAACATTTCTGTTTTCATTAGTGGATTTGCTCCGTCTTTGGGGTTTAGTCTGATTTTAAAGCAGTTCAGTCTGTATTCAGAACAATTGTATCTAGTGACCAAGATATTCAAGGGAGTTAACTAAATCCTTTTTGAAGGTGAGTTTTGATCCTTAAACATCTGTTTCTGCTTTATTGACTATGCCAAAGCCTTTGACTGTGTGGATCACAATAAACTGTGGAAAATTCTTAAAGAGATGGGAATACCAGACCACCTGACCTGCCTCTTGAGAAACCTGTATGCAGGTCAGGAAGCAACAGATAGAACTGGACATGGGACAGACTGGTTCCAAATAGGAAAAGGAGTACATCAAGGCTGTATTTTGTCACCCTGCTTATTTAATTTATATGCAGAGTACATCATGAGAAACGCTGGGCTGGAAGAAGCACAAGCTGGAATCAAGATTGCCGGGAGAAATATCAATAACCTCAGATATGCAGATGACACCACCCTTATGGCAGAAAGTGAAGAGGAACTAAAGAGCCTCTTGATGAAAGTGAAAGAGGAGAGTGAAAAAGTTGGCTTAAAGCTCAACATTCAGAAAACTAAGATCATGGCATCTGGTCCCATCACTTCATGGCAAATAGATGGGGAAACAGTGGAAACAGTAGCTGACTCTATTTTTCTGGGGTCCAAAATCACTGCAGATGGTGATTGCAGCCATGAAATTAAAAGACACTTACTGCTTGGTAGGAAAGTTATGACCAACCTAGACAGAGTATTAAAAAGCAGAGACATTACTTTGTCAACAAAGGTCCGTCTAGTCAAAGCTATGGTTTTTTCCAGTAGTCATGTGTGGATGTGAGAGTTGTAGTATAAAGAAAGCTAAGTGCCAAAGAATTGATGCTTTTGAACTGTGGTGTTAGAGAAGACTCTTGAGAGTCCCTTGGACTGCAAGGAGATCCAACCAGTCCATCCTAAAGGAGCTTAGTCCTGGGTGTTCATTGGAAGGACTGATGTTGAAGCTGAAACTCCAATAACTTGGCCACCTGATGCGAAGAGCTGACTCATTTGAAAAGACCCTGATGCTGGGAAAGATTGAGGGCAGGAGGAGAAGGGGATGACAGACGATGAGATGGATGGATGGCATCACCGACTCAATGGACATGGGTGTGGGTGGACTCCGGGAGTTGGTGATGGACAGGGAGGCCTGGCGTACTGCGGTTCATGGGGTCACAAAGAGTCAGACAGGACTGAGCAACTGAACTGAACTGAATCAATCATTAGAGATTGAAATGCACAAGGAAACCTATTGAATCATCTATAGTTTATCTGGACATTTTTGACTGAGTTACCTATGGTTCAGGTAACTAGCATCCCTTCTGGAGCAAATGGTTTTTCGATTTGGGGAACTTTAATGTTCATAAAGAGCAGCAGTACAAGATAATCAGGTTTCTACATTGCAAAGGAAAGTCAGACCTAATCATATTCCTTTTTACTCCTTAAGAACTTGAGTGTAGGATTTCAAGCTGCAGATCAGACTAGCACTGCTCTACGGCATGCTTGGCCATTTGTGTGTCTCAGAGACCGTCTTCACATAAGTTAATGAAAAAACAATCCCCTTACACAGAAAAAAAAAAAATGCAGCTTGTCAGGCATACTACAAAGTATACTCACTTCCCTGTTCTCTTTCAGCTCCAGGCCTGGTGGCGAGGCACTGTGGTGCGGAGAGAAATTGGTGGTTTCAAAATGCCTAAGGACAAAGATGACAGCAAGGATGTAAAACGAAAAGGCAAAGAGAAGGACAAGAGGAGAGGCAAGAAGTGACCAAGTTATCTTTTCTGTTGGTGCTCTGGAGATGGGAAGGAGGACCTGAAGGGAGTTAAGAAATACCTTTTACCATCATGGATTAACTCATCTATGGGTTGTTTCTTATTTGGATACTCCTAGGTGAGGCTTGGTTATACTAGGTCACTTTGCCTGATATACTAGTTTTCAAACCCTGAATTAGGATTATACTGTGATTTAGGGCTTCTTCATAACTTGAAAAAAAAAAAACTACTGGTAAGAAGTATTTCTAGAAGTCTTGTGAAGATTCCTTTTGCTCTTGCCCACCAGAAAAAAAAAGCACATAATCTTAGTTATAGTGATGCATTAAAACGTCAGTAATTCCTGTAACGTCTCTGATTCTGACTATTCAATTTGCCTATTGTGAAAAATGATACTTAGTGTAAAAGCAAAAGTGAGGTGTTCAGTAGGAACTACAAGGTGACTTTTATCAAGGGTCTAGCATAACACATACACAGTAAAGGTTTAATAAAGGTTGGTGCTTGCCTTTTAAATTTATTATCACTTTACTGTTTTTTATGGGGAATGTCACATAAGAACATATATCTTATTATAAGCTGCTTCAGCTCCTTTTCTGGGAAATAGGTGGGGATATAAATGATAAATGGAAGAAAGAAATGAGATGTCAGGATATACAACCCATACATAGGAAAGACAGGAGATATAGGTCAGTGGGGAGATGAGTTTGGAGATATTTTTGATAAGTGAGATACTAAGGCCTATAGCTGCTTTGCTTATTACTCAGTGACTGTCATCTTATAGGGTATTAAGACTGAAAAAGGTAACGCATGTGAAAATCCTAACCTGTGCCTGGCACAACAAGCTTAGTCATGTTCTTTTAAAAGAACATGAGCCCACTCATGGGGTCACTCTTGGCTCGATTAATCAGGACAGAACTGTCTTAGAACATTAAGACAATTACAGAACAGTTGGAAATTTCTGAGAAAAGCTTTCCAGATATGTAATATTTCAAAATTAAGCCATATCTAACTCCAAATATAAGACAATACTTGTATCTACACTTCCTTAAAAAAGTACATTTTGATCTCAAGGGGCTATTACGAGTTTCTACCAATGTTCCATCAGAGAATTTACCCTTTTATTTTCCAAGGAAACCATGCTTTAGATATGAACATTTTCACATCAGCCTTTATTTCATGCTATTGAAGTGGTGTCTTTTATTTTAAAGTCAATATGTAAAGTGGCATACAGGCAATTTAAAATAACATACATGATATGGACATATTTATTCTTAGAACTTATGCATTATATTTACACAAATACAAATATAGGACAGTGTTTTACAAAATTTTTTTACTAATTACATGTTTATAACATTTTCAGAAATAAAATGAAATCTGCTATAAACCATTTTATTGCAATATGTATATAAAAAGTTTCTAAATATCCAATGTTTTCCTTCATTTCTATAACCATTTAAGCGCTTAGTTTTAAAAAATTCATCATACTCATCAGCACAGTCATATATCATTAGTCACTGCTGGACTGTTACCAAGTAGAGAAATCAGACTCCTTGATTAGCTGTGAAGCTATATTTTCAAAAGCTATTAAGGAAAGTGACCTACCGCTACTAAGTGTCCTACTCTATTCTAGTCAAATACAGAGGCCCCTCCTCTCATGAGTTGTTTCCAGAGAAAACTGTTTGGCATGCTAAGCAAGTATGAGTTTGAAAGCCCAGAAACCTGCTGGCTTAAAATCTCCACAGCTGACAGGGGCCCTGGTGGGCAGGCACTCAGCCTTTTCTTCATTCACTCTTCAGTGTTGGGACGCTTGTGCTTCAGTAGGAAGCTCATAAAAGGTCAGGTGGATGTGTTACAAAGTCATCTTCAGCTTATGTTAGAGTCTAGCAAGGCTAAATGTTAAATTTCCTTTCTAGCTTAAAAAAAAAGAGGTACATACAAAATACTGAGTACAAATAGTTTCCAACATGACTTGTTTTGCATCTTGACATAGAAAAGACATTTTATATATTTTATATTTTTCTTTCATTATTAACCAGAACTGTACACAAATATTTTCTAACAATTCAAACATAAATTTGAATTAGTTTGATAAAATATATGAGTAAGCTTTCATGCTAAGTATAAAATTTGAAATAAATTAAAAATTCCAATTATTCCCATGGGAAAATTAGTCACAAATGTTCCAAATGTTGCATTGTGTGTATTGACTGGGATTATTCCTTGCATAATATGTGACAAATAGTGGCCTTTGCTGAGTTTCATTTCAAATTGTTCTCTATAATCTGGAGATTATACTGAGGTTTAACACTGACTAGAAGTAAAAATACTTATAGTTAAATTCTAAACAAGCTGTATGATTGGTGAGTCTGTTTGGAACTGTAAATATAATGGGGTCTGGCTCTAAGCACCTAAAATACATTTTACTTTTGCAAAGACCCTGAAGGATTGGGCTTTGAGCTCAGATGTTTTGTATTATATAAGGTTAAACCTGTGATGACAAGGAGAAAACATTACTTTGACCAGAAACACAACACGATTTTATCCAAAGTTACTTTTAGATGCTGCTACATGATAAAAAAGAGAGAACATTATGCTTAAATGCATGCACTGGTAAAGAAACTCCAGAACAATTAACAACAGGAAAAATCCTAAATAACTAGTATCTTCACTTACTCTATTTACTTGGTTTACAAAGGCAGTGAATACCAGAAGATATCACTGACAACTAAAAGGGGCTCAAAATATAGAGGGAAAAAGACCCAAATGGCTTAGATTTGAATAAAGGTTTTGTGTTGTCTGAGCCTTGGGTCCTTTTACTGCATCCACAGTTTAGTAAATAAGGCACTGGTGGGGGAGCTAGATAAAAAGACAGCTGTTTTAAAATGCTACAAGTGCTTTAATTCAGCTACAGAAACTGGCTGTTAGCTGAAGGAAATGTAAGAGATTTGGCTTTTCCTTTATTTTCATAATCATCCATTAGTTGGGGAGCTAGAAGTGAATCTAGCGTGTGTGACTGGAAGATGTTCGCAGATCCAGGTATCCTGGGAGCAGCCTGCGGGGAGGGGAGAAGGGGTGTGCTCAGAGAAGTCAATACACAGGATGCAGAGTGTCACGCGCTACCAGCCTGAAGATCTGGAACCTGTGTGTAGAGTGCTTGATTAGAGTAACAGTGGGATGATATGTGGATCCAACCTCTAAGTGGTGCTAGGGGGAGACCCAGGACACTGGCCTTCAATACCACAGTATTTGTTTCATTGGTTCACTATGCAAAATCTGGAGTGTTTACATTTTTTTTTTGGACAGAACAGTCCAAGTATAATACAGCTTTTGATCTTAAATGTGGCAGAGAAACACAGTGGAGACATCACTCCCCCAAATTATACAAATATCTAGTTTGGAACAATGGTCTTCACTACATGGAACACCTGGAATGGTTGTTGAAATGCAGATACCCAGGCTCACTGTAGACCCACTGAATGGGAATTTGTATTTTAACAAATTCTCCAGGAGATTCTAATGAACAACCACGTTTAGAAACCTGTGGATTCCAGAGGGTTTGGAAACAGGTAAAAATAAAAGCATGTCTGTGCCTTCCAGAGAGCCAAATACCCTTCCGAGAAGTCAGTCTTCAGTATATAAAAGAGCCCACTCTAGAAAAGCACAGCCAGGCTGGGCATCAGTGTTGGGTTCTCAGTAATGAAGTTTCATTTGTGAAAACCAACCATGTCTTCATAAACAATTCAATGCAAGTGGATATAACCTCCCCTAAAATGGAGAAATGAAGTGAAATATTCCTGTCAGGAATCATGGAAACAGTCCCTTTTAAGAACACGTAAGCGCTTTGTTAAGCAGACGGCGGGCAGCAGCAGTCACGCTGTCCTGTTCCATTTTGGCCAGGCCAATGCCCAAGGTGCTGGGAGTCCTTACACAGCAGATAACTGGTGCTGCTGCTTGGGTGGGGCAAGTTCCAGGAGAGCCTGGACCGTCACGGCAACCTGGCTCAAACCTTTCTCTTCTAAAATGTGGAGAGGCAAACATAATTGCTCCTGAAATGGGACAACGTGACATAAAAACAAAAGAGAAAAGAGGATGAACGTTACAGAAGTGAAAAGAAAAAATAAGCATCTCTTCTCTCCCTCATAATAATGAATTGAGACATGAAAAGTCAGTAGCTGGGAATCTGAGCTCTGTTCATATGAGTTATACAGAAATGGTACCTGACACTCACTGTCACTTTTTTATTATTATTAATACAACTGAAAGTACATACAGATTATTTTGAATATAGGAAAATAAACAAGTCACATACACTTATACATACAACAGAAGATAAACATACTATGATGGAGTAAAAGCAACATCCTTCATTCCTGATGATTAAAAAAGCAATGCAGATCAGATCAGTAAAATGAGACAGGTGAAAACAGAAGAACAGTTCCAAGTTACCAGATGGCTTAAGCCTAAAGATACAGTATTGTAGGAGAAAGTGCTTTGGAAATTACAAACCACAGGAATGCAAAATAGTTTCATGGCATAACTCAAGACTGCATGAGACAGGAATGGCCACTATCTACATTATAGTCCTGACTACGAGAATCAGGGTTCTCATACCAGACAGGCATCACATGAAGAAACTGAAGTATATTCTTGAATTTTAGATGTATTTGAGAAAATTCCCCCCCACCCCCACCACACTGGGTAATTTATGGAAGGTCCAGTTTGAATTACTTAAAAATCTGAATTATAGAATTTAAATACAGTAATCATATCTGAAAAAGTGTTTCATATCCTGGTATTTAATGGAGTAAATTATGCTGGAGAACAATGATGTGAGTTTAGTCAAGAACATCTTAACATATATCTGAAAAGTGTTTACGTATTTGCTTAAGGAAGTTAAATCGCTTCTTTCTTATTTACCTCATTAATGTGTTTGGTTAATCCTTTCATATAAGAAAAAAAGACATATCATAATAACATCTATCACTGATTAGATGAAAGAATGATTACTCTCAAAGGAATGAAAGTGGAATTCTGGCTCTACTGAAGTGACTATACATATTTATTAAAGAAGATGTTCCTCAGCTTTTCACTGGCACTTAATACAGGGAGTTTTACAAAACCAGTTGCAATAAAAAATATAACAAGTACGTATTATGAGCAGTTATTGGTATTCTTGCTTTACTTTCTTTTTATTTAATACTTACCTTGATAAAACAAGATAAATGGAATATTTTGATCTTATATAACTAGCAATGTTGTGTAAATCTTTTGAGTACAATCGCAAGTACAGATTAACTATACTTAATATGAACCTGCAGAGCGTTCTGCTTTTGGGAGAGATATAGTTTCCCTGGTAGCTCAGATGGTAAAGTGTCTGCCTGCAATGCAGGAGACCCGGGTTCGATCCCTGGGTTGGGAAGATCTCCTGGAGACGGAAATGGCAACCCACTCCAGTATTCTTGCCTGGAGCATCCCATGGACGAAGGAGCCTGGTAGGCTACAGTCCATGCGGTCGCAAAGAGTCAGACACGACTGAGCGACTTCACTTTCACTTTTCACTTTCATATTTCCTCTGAGGCAGGTTTCTTGATCTCCACTTTAAGGAGTGCCCTGCGACCTGTGAGCCCGTGGTTTAGACATTCCCTCAGTGGCTTATGCTTTCCAGATGCACATTTGCCTTCTAGCTGACTTATGCACCATTACTCCCCCCAAACAACATACTACACCATGTGTGTTATCAGCGGTTTTTTAAAGGGACAAAACTTGACAAAACTGATCTCTGACTGAGAGACACCTTAAAAACATCTCCCCCAAACTCTGAAAGGCACTACTACTGTATAAAACTGAACTTTTCAACACAGTGTTCAATGTTTCAGCATTGACAGTAAATAGTTTTTAATGTATTAAACACTTTTCCCATTTAATATGAAAGAAACCAAAGCAATCAGATCCTCAGACTGACTTCCACATGATGTTATTATGTTCCTCACAATCTCCCTTCATACCTGAGTTCAGTTGTCCAATTTTGTTAACAGAGTTCAGGAGATTCCTGAATGTTCAGAAACACTGTTTATGAGAACCAGAATCTGAATGCAATATAAAGTAGTTTCAAGCATTAAGGCTAGAGGCTAATATACTAAACATTCTGAAAGAGACAATATTCTTTGCCTTGGGTACAAAACAGAGATTGCTGCCTAATACTTTACCTGCTAGTGTTCAGATATCATCTCAACAGCCTATCAAATACAAGTTCACCTATTAACATGGTTCAAATATATTGGAAAACACATAAATTCCAATTTTAAATTCTAAATAGGATTCCAGAAATGAAGTTTAACAAAACATAATAAATGTGCTGACAGGTGCCAACCCCTGAAAGGGCAGCTCCAGATAATTGGCTTGTGTACTGTTTTCAGTGTACACAATGGGCTCAGAATAGCAATCTAGGGAGCCAATGTTATGTTTGGACTGATCATCCTAATCAAATTAAAATTGTGCCTTCCAGATGTCCAGACAGCAAAAATGCTTATTAGGTGGGCCTGTGCCTACTAATACAAAGAAACTTCAGGATTTCAGGGCACAGTTCAATATGGAGATCTGGGTGACCAGGTGCCTTCCCAGAACAGAAAGAGTACAACTGTTTCCTTATAAACAGCTGCTGAAAAGTTCAGCAAGTCATAATTTTAATATTTCTCACAGTTTCAGTACTTAAGTACTTAAGTGCTGAGGCAGGGAAAAACTGCCAGATGGAAATTTTACTATGCCATTTGGAAACAAACTTATAGGTCATATTTTAACAATGGGCTCAGGATTGTATTAGTAGAACCTGCTCAACATTCATGATGAGAGAAACAAGGCCTCTCAGGTCAGGAGAATGGATGAATGAGCAGAAGAAAAAATGCTGATCATTTTACTCTTTGTTAGCATCAAAAATGCTTCCTAATGTCAGGAACTGCTTGTCTGGGCACAAGAGGACAGGATTCATCTACTTTATTGATTGGCTCTTTGATGGCCAGAAAAAAAAGCACATATGTAAATACTTTTGAATGAGAAACAAACCTCCTTTACGAAGCATAGGAATGAGGTGGAAATCACTGGAATGCACTCTTTTGGCTAGAGGGGTAAGATCCAGTAATAAAGCATACAGAGAGTTAACATTAAAGTACAATAAAATGCCACAAAACCCAAAAGCTGGATAGATAGAGAGACAAAACTGGATTCTTCTGAATGTGCCCCAAGAGAAAGTAGTGTTTCAACAGTTCTTTTTACGCTGAGGTTTAGCTGAAGGATGTCAGAAGGGGAACAAAGATTGTCCTGTCCAAAGTGTGAGCAGGAAAGGAAAACAGAAAAACAAAGTCAGTGGATCAGAAATACAGATTTGAGTATAGAATTCAATATGATCATCTCACTCATATTCAAAGAAACATGCCCTGTAACATTTTTTATTATGATGAATCAAAATAAAATGCTGAAAAACAAAACCACAAAGAATCCTCTACGTGCCGAGCTTGACTTTACTACTAAACAGCAGAATAAAATTGTTGGTGCCTAGTACGAACATTCAGGATAAAATAAACAGAGGTGGATGCTGAATTAAGGATATATGAGGCCTGAGGGTGGTGAGTGGGTGAGGCAACCTCTTTCTTGGCTCCTCCTTCCCCATTAACAAAAAAAGAATAGGTCAGAAAGCAAGGACAAAACCTTGGGGTGGACAGAAGAGGGGCAAGTTTTCAGAGAAAGCCAGGTGAGCCATGAAGGTTCAAGGAATGAACAAAGTATGATAATCAAAGGAAATTTATTACCTGGAATCAGGTTGTACTAAATGACTTGGTGTTTCTCTAAAAATCAAATTAAGTCCAGTTTACTAATTACTTATCTAGAGTTGTAAGGGGCCTTAGAGATTATCCAAACCCTCCAGTTCACAGATTAAGCAATTAAAAGCATTACTGGACTTGATAACAGTAAAATATTCTTTCACACATAACATATAATAACTCTAGGACTTGATATACTGGACTCAAAAGTTTTTACCACCCATTATAGTTTTTTGAATGCGTCATATGATAAAAGAGAACATCCATATCCCTAGCCTTATTGGAGGTTTTCAACAGTCACTGGTATTCTTCAGTGTTTCATAATTTAACTTGTAAACATATAAAAGTTATACTGAGAAGGGAAATCGTTCATCTTTACACATGTTTTCTGGACAGAGGATCTGACGATTTTTTCAATACTTTATGTTATCTATTTTCAAATGACCATTATTACATCCCTGATTTTATTTTACAAATCAAACATAGCAGGTGGTTATATTTAGGTAAAGGTCATAATGCTCAGAAGTAGGGGAGAACAAATGGAGAAGCAGAGGCACAGGTTTCTTCTTCCCTTCCACTGCAGAAGGACCTGAGAATGTGAGTGTAAAGCTATGAGTTTGTATTTATTCATTTTCGTCATTTTGTTTGAGGCAAACAATTAAGTGTTTTAGCAGAAGTAGCAGCAGAGTAGGAATGTATCTAAAAGCGGTAGTGATGGTGGTGGTGAGGCTTGGGTGAAAGGCAGAAGTGGAGAAGGACGAAGTGGCCCAGGTTGATGTCCACTTCCTCTTTCTGGTGGAGGAGAGGAACGGGAGGAAGGATGTGTCAAGAACTCCAGTCTAAAACCACCCTGGAGAAATATCCATTCTTTTAAATTCCAGTTTTTTTTCTGTCTCCGGCCTTCAAATAAAAATAGTTAACCACTGCTTGGCAAATAGTGGATTAAAATGCTTGCTTTAAAAGGCATACTGTTGCACTGTAAAGTGATTATCAGACAATTTAAAATAAATTTAAAAAATAAAAGGCACACTTTTTGATTTTGTTGACTGATGGCAGTTACATTCTGATCAGTGTATGGACTTTAAATCTGAGACAGATGATGGTTCTGTAAAGTTCAGAGTGCATGTACACAGGCTGACACAGGCTAAGTGTGCCCGTACGTCTAGCTGTGTGGGGTCGTTTTCAGCACCCTTCTCTCTAGGTGTGCACTGCCTCTTTTCAATCACTCCTATTTTCCCTCTGGTTCCCATTCCCTGCACCAACCCATGCCACATTATCTTGTTCAAAGACACTGTGCTAAGAAACTGAGGAAGCTACTGGGCATGCCTGTGATGGTCAGCTAGGAACAAATTAAGAGTAGACATAAGGGAAACCCTGAATGTTAAACTGTACACAGGAATATTAGGACCTGCCTGTTAATATGGAGAAATGTAGGCTATTTATCTAGAAATCTTATTAATGCTCTCAATATGTTTAAATATGGCTTGTTCTAAAAGAGATGATAAGCCTTTAGAAATCAGTACGATATGCAGATGACAAATTTGCTTTGAATTTGTCCACAGGAACAAACAAGATCCTTGCTATCACTAAATGTGCATTTCGGTTATTTTATAACTCAGCTTAATAAAACAAAAAAGAAAAAAGTGAAAAGTAAGTAGTAGAATCAAAATCTACTTAATAAAAGGAGAAAAAACACTCATGGGAATTCACGCTGCCTAATGCAGCTGCTTTGTGTAGCTGGGCTTGCTTCCCCTTTGTAAAAAGCTGAAAGGGAAAGGTGCCCATTGGACAAGTGATGCCATGACTTTCTCAATTCAGGTTAAAGAGAGGAATGGTGAATTGGGTAAAATGAGTCACTGTCAGTGAAAGCCCTTGGGACAAGAGCTTAGCTTTTGAGAGAAACAGTGGAGTTGTTGAGTTGAGGCCAATACTGGATTTCTGACAGCTAATTAAGAAGGTGATAGAGAAGAGTCATGTTTTTCTCTTTGAATACTGGACAAAATATGGTGACAAGAACTGTAATGGTTGTGGTTAATGAAAAAAGTATCCAATGGCACCAGTTTTTATTTCTTTAAATTTATCTATATATCATGTCATTATACATAATGTTTTTAAGAATACCACACTTAATTGTTTTTAAAAGGGTAAAAGTTTAACTATTTGTACCATTAAAGGGCAATAAAGCTATAACTGAGGAATCTAGAGGCAAAAAAAACCCTCAAGAGCAGGACCAGTGCCTAAAAATGGCCTCCTGTATATTCAATTCCAAAGAGCCTTAGTAGGAAAAACTGGTAAAATCTGTAACTTAGTCAACAACACTGTCTAGGTGTTTATTACTTTGGATGACATACTATGTTTATGCTTATGTTAACAGTCCAGGAACCTGTATATAGCTGAATATACAGGTGAACTGTATATTATGTTAATAGTCCAGCAACCTGTATACAGTTGAATTTACAAGTGAACTGTATATATCATCTCTCTCTGACATTTTTGCAACATTTCTCAAAATAAACATTTTAAAAAAGTGTTAAAGCAAGTGTTAAAAAACTGAAGCCAACTGAAGCATTCTTAGTCTAAGAAGCACATATTCTTTTTTTTTAACAGCACATATTCTGAAGCATAGCCTCTACTGTGTATGAAGTTGTCTACAAGTTATTGAGCAAGTGGGGTTACTTAGAAAATTTCAAAATAACTATTTTTGATTACTTGACACCAATTACTTACTATAACAAAATTAATTAACATGTATATTATTTCTTTGGTTCTTGGAAATAATTAAGGAAAACTGATCAAAAGCATAATGATTGACTCCAATAATACAATCATGTTAGTAATTATCAATTTAGCACAGAACTATCCTATAAGATATTAAATACTTTCATTTCTAAAAGATTTTAGGAATGTAATACCCAAATTTATTTAGCAACATAAGAAATAAAATTTATTACCTGAGGTACACCGATTTTTCTGCAAGCTTCTAGGAAATTCTCCACATTTCGTCTACATTTTGCCATGGTTAATTTAGGCTGCAAAAGAAAGAAAACACAGTATTATTAGCAAAGTTAATGGCTTCATAAATTCAATGTTCCAGACTGGAGGGTTAGCAAACTTTTTCTTAAAGATCAGATAATAAACATGTTAGGCCTCAGGGCCATATGATCTGTTGCAACCATTCAAATCTGCTAAGAGATTGAAAGCAACCATAGGCAATATATAAACAAGTGAGTGACTGTGTCCTAAAAAAACTTTATTTACAAAAATAGGTACTGGCCTATGGCCCACAATATGCCACTCCCTACTTTATAGACATTGGGCTTTGATTTTTATAAAGGAAGTGCTAAACAGAGAAATTTTAGGAGGATGGCTGTCTAACTTTTTTCCACTTTAAAATATACACCAAAGAAAATCTGAAGGAATAGCAAAATTAATTACCTACAGCTCAGTCAATCAAGTATAATCACAGTTAGCACTTTGGTTCATTTTCTTTCAGTCTTTTTAAAGAAAATAATAATAATAAAATCAGTAGCCTTTGCTCACAAATATACTACAGATGTATCATGTCACTATTCAATGATTATATTTAAATATAAATATTTTAATTTTAAAAGATTGGATTAAAGAACAATTTTCCAAAAGGTGAAAATCTCCCATAGGAAAATCACTACTAAACTTGTTTTTCTGAAAGTATCTCTGATGACTAGAACATAGCTGCACTGCATGACCTAAAGTTGTGATAAATTTTTTTTTGCCAAGTGGGTTATCTTGTAAGAAAGAAATATGAATCCCATTTCTCAAAGTGGTTAATAAACTCAGCTGTTCAAATTCATCTGCTGGTTTAAGCATCAGGCATGGAAGCCAACATCTCACCTAGAGCCAGACATTCTGGAGTCCGAAGCCAAGTGGACCTTAGGAAGCATCACTATGAACAAAGCTAGTGGAGGTGATGGAATTTCAGTTGAGCTATTTCAAATCCTAAAAGATGATGCTGTGAAAGTGCTGCACTCAATATGCCAGCAAATTTGAAAGACTCAGCAGAGGCCACAGGACTGGAAAAGGTCAGTTTTCATTCCAATCCCAAAGAAGGGCAATGCCAAAGAATGTTCAAACTACTGCACAATTGCGCCCATTTCACATGCTAGCGAGGTAATGCTTAAAATTCTCCAAGCCAGGCTTTACAGTACATGAACTGAGAACTTCCAGATGTATGAGCTGGATTTAGAAAAGGAAGAGGAACCAGAGATTAATTTGCCAACGTCTGTTGGATCACAGAAAAAAGCAAAAGAATTCTGGAAAAACATCTACTTCTGCTTCACTGACTTCACTAAAGCCTTTGACTGTGTGGATCACAACAAACTGGAAAATTCTTCAAGAGATGCAAATACCAGACACCACCTTACTTGCCTCCTGCAAAACCTGTATGCAGGTCAAGAAGCAACAGTTAGAACCGGACATGGAACAATGGACTGCTTCAAAATTGAGAAAGGAGTAAATCAAGGCTGTATATTGTCACCCTGTTTATTTAACTTATATGCAGAGTACATCATGTGAAATGCCAGGATGAAGTACAAGCTGGAATCAAGATTGCTGGAAAAAATATCAATAACCTCAGATAATGTTGATAACACCACCCTTATGGCATAAAGCAAAGAGGAACTAAAGAGCCTCTTGATGAAGGTGAAAGAGTACAGTGAAAAATCTGGCTTAAAACTCAACATTCAAAAATTGAAGATCATGGCAAATAAATGGGGAAACAGTGGAAACAGTGACAGACTTTATTTTCTTGGGTTCCAAAATCACTGCAGATGGTGAATGCAGCCATGAAATTAAAAGATGCTTGCTCCTTGGAAGAAAAGCTATGACCAACCTGGACAGCATATTAAAAAGCAGAGACATTACTTTGCCTACAAAGGTCCGTCTAGTCAAAGCTATGGTTTTTCCAGTAGTCATGTATGATGTAAGAATTGGATCATAAAAAAGGCTGAGTGCCAAAGAACTGATGCTTTTGAACTGTGGTGTTGAAGACTCTTGAGAGTCTTTTGGACTGCAAAGAGATCCAACTGATCCATCCTAAAGGAAATCAATTCTGAATATTCACTGGGAGGCCTGATGCTGAAGCTGAAGCTCCAATACTCTGGTCACCTAATGTGAAGAGCCGACTCATTAGAAAAGACCCTGATGCTGGGGAAGATTGAAGGCAGGAGGAGAAGGGGACAACAGAGGACGAAATGGTTGGATGGCATCACTGACTCAATGGATATGAGTTTCAACAAGCTCTGGGAGATGGTGAAGGGCTGGGAAGCTTTTCGTGCTGCAGTCCATCAGGTTGCAAAGAGTTGGACATGACTTAGGGAACGCACAACAACAAAATTTAATGTTATTTTCCCATTTTCTTTAATAAACAAGAAGGTCCATGTGTTTAATTTCTCTAAGTGGTTTAACATTTATAAAATAGTTTTATTTTTCCTATATGTATTTTACCTTCTTAAATGAAAGGCACTCTGTTTGAGTGATCAAGATAAAGATCCTCAGTCACCTGTACTCTCAAATTTCACTTTCCACATGAGCTCCTTGCTACTTCCTAAGTATTTCCCTGGAACATGAAGAATGACAGATTTCTTTTTTATTATTATTAAAAAAAAAAAAGTATGTTTCTTAACTCAGTTGACAGAAACTAGGAAGAATGCAAAGTATGAATAAGCCCAAGGCACTGCCAAATAGTGTGCCAATTCCTATTCTCTTAATCACCACCTCAGGACCCAAACCAAGTCTTTCAAGTCTTGGAAGCATAGTTGACTTGGCAGTACTGCTACTCCTCTCTGTCTCTTCTACACAAAGCTGAAAGCCTGTTTTCTGAGGTCACTAAATAAAAACTGGCCACCTATTTTCTTTAGAAACAAATGCATGAGGGAAAAGGGTCATATCAGTCTCCTGGGACCTTGGTAACAAAGCGGCTTTTATAATTAGACTAAAAGGTCCTTGGGAGGCTTAAACGATTTGCACCTGGAGAGGCAGTAAGATGAACGTCCAGAGTGGCAATCCAGAGGCCTGGATACAACTGCAGTAAAGAGTAAAGGATTTGTATCAGGAAGCATGTGCTAAATAACAGCAAATGACCAGAAAAGGAGATTCTGAAAAGGTTACATACTGCTAAGCATGTTACAAATGCACACTATCCATTTAGACTCATCAAAAGAGATGTCACAACATCAAATAATAATCAATGCAATGTGGAAACCTTGATTATATCCTGCTACGTGTCTGTATATTTGTGAGGGGTGAGGAGGCAGAACAGCCATGAAAAGATATTCTTGGAACAACTGGAGATATGCAAATATAACCTGTGGATGCTACTGGTGCCTCATCCAGTGTCTCTCCTCAGCCTGTGCATCTATCCTCCTTTCCTACCCCCACTCCCTGCTGGCTGCTAAGGGCTCATAGCTGTCTCTTCTCAGTCTCAGGCTAATCCCACAGGGAGCTCTGTGAAAGAATCACATCACATCCCCACCAACAGCGTTCAATGCCCACATCCTACAATTCCCTGGCTTCAAGCTATGGGTAAGAGCAAAGTGGCCTAGGACATTCTCAGAAATATTTAGGGTAAGGTGTTAGAAAATCTGCAACTTTTAGATGGTGCAATTAAAATATACAGACAAAGCAAGACAGCAAGATGCAACGATTGTCAGCTCTAGGTGGAGGCTCTAAGAGTTTTCCTTATGTTGTCCTTTCAGTTTTTCTGAAGGTTTGAAATGTTTCTTAATAAAAACTTAAAGAAAAAAAAAAAAGGAAAGTTGTGTCAATCCAAAACTTGCTCTTTCTCTTGTGGGTTGCCATCCTGATATACTGATGTTCATATCTGATCAGCAGTCTTAAGAAAACCTGCTGCTTATCTAGAATGCACATTCTGCACCTGAGGTTGGTCCCTGAATCATGTCATTTCTAACTCCGACATATTCATCTTTCTAAACTGCAGTTATAATCCTATTATTCCTCTCAAATTCCTTCTGTGTTTCCTGGTTGTCTACACTAAGATAAACTTTTATCTCCCTGACATGGGACATGAGGCCCTTGCCACATGGCCCGTGGCTTACCTCTCTAGCTACATCCTCTGCCATTTTCACTCACAAACTTGTAAATAATCTACTTTAACCAACTTAAGAATTCCTTTAATATTCCATGATCTTCCTTAGCTTTTTAATCTAGGAATACTATGTCCAGGATGACGTTCTCCCTCTGTAATGCTGCCAAATTTCTATTCATACTTAAAGAATTAGTTCAAATTTTACCTCCTCCTTCACTGGCAAGGCTTTCCTGAACCTTCCAGGCAGTGCTGAAGTGGTCCCTTTTTTGTATTCCCATAGTATACTTCTGACATAACTCTTTTATAACACTTACCACACAGCTGTAAGTTACTGTTTACAGGCCTGTTTTTTCTCTAGTAGAAGTAAGACCCAGAAGGTAGGGGCTAGACTCTATTCATATTTGTATCCTTAGCACTCGCATAATGCCTGCCTCTTAACAGATGTCTGGTGAAGAGTCAACTTTTTTTTAAGCATGAAACTTACTACAGCTGGTGAGGGAACGTGAATGCTTGGGACAGATCGAGGCCGCACGTGATTGGCTAAATGGCAAAGAACGACACCATCGGTTAGAGCTGCTCCAAGATCACAAGGCAGAGATACCTTCAACCGGTACTCAATATGCTAAAAATCAAGATAAAAAGCAAATAACTTAAGTACCACAATCTCTTATTTTATTTTTCAATCCTAAGTCAATAATTTAAGGAGACCCAATATATATACACACACATATACATATATATGTGTATGGTCAATATATGCATGCATGTATGTATGGCAGTCAGGAGACTGTGCTGCCAAGTTCCACAACAGAATTCATTTACAATTTTCTGATTAAAAAACAAAAAACTAGATGCAATTTTAAAATAAACACTACATATAATGTAAGTGTGGTATGTATATGTGCATATATACATTAAGTTTTATTAACTCTAACAAGATTTCTTTACATTGAAGCAGAAAAAAATTTTAAGTAAGTAGGGCCAGGGGTTGAGCTTTATGGAGTAACCCATCTCATTTTCCTAGTAAATAGCTGAAAAAATTTATCACACAATGGGTATCACAGCACACAATGGACAGTTGTTGATTCTATTAAAAATGTGTAAGTCAAATGAACAAGTGATGCCAGGATTATGGGTTACAGCAATATCACTTAAAAAAGTGTAACTCAAAAAAAAAAAGTGTAACTCAAAGTCAATGTATATACTTTCCGTAGTTGATCTATTAATTCTAGCTCTTCTTCTCTCTGTCTTGAATTCTGTCTTGTTACTGGATCTTTCAAATCAGTGGTTGGTACAGAAGATGAAAGGAGGGGTGAAGCATGACCTAAAAAATATTGATATGTGAGACAGAAAAGTGATCGCTAGTGTTGCAAAAATACTCATATCCACCTGATCAGTTTCCTTGAAAGTACAGCACTTTCAACATCTGTATTGCCTTTTTAAAAAACGTTTTTATAATGGAATTTTAAAAATATGCACAATAACAGGGAGAACAGTATGAAAAACTACCAGATGTCCATTATCCATTGGTCTCAACTATTTTGCGTTTTATCACATCCATTTAAAAATGTTTTTATTGAATATCATGCCCCCCCAAAATTACACAAATCATAAGCAAAGAGCTCTCAGTAAATTATCATCACAAAGCAGACACAAGCAAGTCAATAAATGGAAAATTACCAACACCCAGGAGACCCTCTCTTGTTCTCTGCCCTTGGTACCAAAGAATTATTTCCAATACCATGGGTTCTAACTATGTATACTTTCTGGCTTCTAATACCACAGATTAGTTTTGTCCATTTCTGAACTTTCTATAAATAAAACCATATTATATGTGTGTATGCTTTTGGGTTTGACTTCTTTTGATCAACATTATAAGATTTATTCACGTTGTTTTATGTATTAACTTGTTCATTTTCATTGCCTATTTGGTATTCTATTGTAGAAATATACCATAATTATTTATCCATTCTATTGTTGATGGACATTCAGTTTGGAGCTATTATGAATAACAGTGCTACGAATATTTTTGTACATATCTTTTGGTATAGATGTTACATGTTTCAGAAAGCAAAGTTGCTACTCATAGGATACACTGGGTTGGCCAAAAGTTAACAGTTCTTCATGAAAATGAAAATTTTCTTTTATTTTTACCTAAAACCAAGTGAACTACCTGACCAACTCAACAAGTATTTAGCATTAGCAGATAATGTAAACAGTTTTCCATGCTAATTTACAGTCCCACCAGCAGCATACCTCTGGTTTGAGTTTAAATCTCACTATCTATCAGTTACATTAAAAGTAATTTTGGGAGTGAAATGTGTTTCCACGTCTAGGTAACTTCTTTGGGGATCAACAGAGATTTGCCATATTAACTAAAAACCATAAGACTAAGTAGATCTGTTTTTAAATTACTGATTTCTTTAACAATATAGAAAACAGCTTTTACCAATGGAAAAATCTAAGAGGATGTTACAGGGAGAAGAGACATTCATTCCCTGAAGCCCTAAAAGAGTATTTTTTTTTGTTCAAACACTATAACCTGCTTTTAGGTGATACTAAAGCTTTCTGAACAAAATGAATTTGAGCAAGATTAAGATTCTCTTCCTTTAACATCAGTGAAGTGAAAGTGAAGCAAAATCGCTCAGTCGTGTCCAACTCTTTGCAACCCCATGGACTGTAGTCTATCAGGCTCCTCTGTCCATGGGATTTTCCAGGCAAGAATACTGGAGCGGGTTGCCATTTCCTTCAGTGAAATCACCGACAAATGCAGAGCTTAAAACTTTGTCTCAGTGACACCATAGGGTAGAAGTTTGTTTATTATTGCTTTTTGTTTTTGTTTGGCCATACCACACAGGTTGCAGGATCTTAGTTCCCTGACCATGGATTGAACCCGGGCCCTAGCAGTGAGAGCACCAAGTTCTAACCATTGCATTGCCAAGGAACTCCCAGGGTAGAAATTTAAAAGCATGTTAACAGTTAATGTCATTGTATAACCACCTCCACCCCATTCCCCTTTAAGTCACTACCACCTACCTTTATTTGTTTCTGTCCTGACAGCTCCTCGGAAAAGGAAGCTTTCAGGGCGCTGGGGCTGGTTTTTCTGGATAGCAGCAGGAAAAGAATATGCAGGGGAATGATGAACTGAATCAGCATGGAAAAGCAAAATAAAATTAAAAGAGATGGAAAAAAAATTAAATATAATAACAGATGTGACAAAAGTTCAATAAATGATAAATGAAAAAGAAATGTTAAATGTTGCAATGGTATAAAATAGTAATTTTGCTTATTAATAGAAAAATCTGGTATAGGAAAGTAACCCTGAAAACAGGAGGGCTGTTTGTATGCAGTTTTATTTTTTAGGCCACGCCACATGGCTTGTGGAATCTCAGTTCCCCAACCAGGGACTGAACCCAGACTATGGCAGTGAAAGCCTGGAATCCTCACCACTAGGCCACCAGGGAGTTCCCTGTTTGTTTGAATCTTTCACTGGTGCATGGACTCTAGCTGTGGTATGTCGGCTTAGCTGCTCCACGACATGTGGGATCTTAGTTCTCCAACCGGGGATCAAACGTACACTCTCTGCATTGAAAGGTGGATTCTTAGCTACTGGACCACCAGGGAAGTTTCATGTATGTATTTTTAACTGTCATGTTATTCTTGGTGTATCAATAAAGACAGAATGACTGTTAATATATTAAATACAGTCTTGTGCCAACCTACAGCCCTGCTAGTAAATACGCATTTTTTTGTATCAAAAGGCTGAGTAGCTGAATAACCACTTGATTAAAAAATGAAAAATGTGCAGAGTTCCCATATTTGTGCCTGATTTCTCAGAAAAGGAAGCCACAGCCATTTAAGAAGTAATTTATCAGGAAAATCCATGTAAAGAATTATAATCAGGATGTGGTTAATTGTACTTTTGTGTCTATTACCTGTTTCTGTTGTAGGTGAATTTGATACAGCATTAGATCTGTCATCATTCTGTGGAGAAATAAATATATCAGTAATTATTATTCAAGAGGTACTTTCCACATTTGTGATAACTTAGGGATTATAAAAGAAAAAAAATCATGCAACCCTATTCAAAATGAAATCTAGAAATGAGAATTTGGTATAATTAATTTTGAATATTTTTTAATGCCAAATCTCTTACTTGGTTCTAGAGACTATAAGATTTAAGTAACGCATTCTCTAAAAGATAGTCCTAATATGTAACAGGTCTTTCCTAAGACTGTGAAAAATTAAATCATCCTAAGGCAGAAAATTTTATTGGGAAATGTATAAGACAGAATACAATTTTATTTTACAATAGTGTTTTTCTGGGATACTTTCTAAAGTATTTCTCCTCTACTCCTCAAATAATGTTTTAAGAAAGAGTAATGAAGGTTTCTTCACTTCAGCTAGGAAATAAGATGGTGCAAGATGACAGCTGTATTTTGAGACTAGTATTTGAATCCAATTTTTTTAAATTTATTGACAAAGGAACTACAAAGGAGAGAGAAGTAGCTCAACTGGTATAAGGTATATCTAAAAAAAGGGACTGGAGATAAGTTAATTAAAAAAGAAGTATTGGTTAGCTGGGTTAAAGATATTAAAGACATGGCAGAGGAGTAAAATCAACAAAAGCTAGAATTAACAAGTTTTTCAGGCCTTGATATCTAGTTATATTCAATGATTAATGAATTGTACTCAATAATTTATGATACCTGAGACATTTTTTAACAGAATGACTTTAAAGCACACACATACACATATACACACTCCCATGCTTTTTTCTCCTTTTTGGGTTTCAGTATTTTCAGAAATCTTTTATCTCAAATTTTAGTTGGGTAGGTGAGACTAATGATGAAAGGAAATTTTAACTGCTATAAATAAATAATAAACAGAAGCCATGCTGTTGAGAAAATTCCTGGACTGATCTGAAAGACAATTCTGAGGTAATGATTCCTTGATTTTATACTCTCAGGCCAAGAATTAAGACTTAAAAAAAGTAAGCTGCATTCTTTAGTGAAGAACTGTATGTATCACATCTTCATTAGTGAAAAAGACAACACGTTCATCAAGTATAAAGATGCCAGTAAACTAAGTTTAGGATGCTGAGAAGAAATGGGAATTTAAATAACAAGTTTAAAGTAAGAGCAACAGGCACTGGTAAAGGGAATGAATAGGCAAGTGAGGCAAGAGCTGGATATCTTTATAAGTGAACAAAAGACTATCCTTATCTTCAAAGAATATGAGATAGGAAGGAGAAAGCTAGTTAGCTAAACAAAGACCTGTTGAAGGACCAATGGTACAAACTGAAAAACATAAGAAGTAGATATTATTCCAGATACAGAGGGGAAAAAAAATTTAAAAAGACCTATTACTGTGAGATAGATTAGAAACTTTTAATACATTTAAGAATAAAATGATAAAGTTGATAGGCAACTCTATTAGATAAGGATCATGGCATATGGTCCCATCACTTCATGGCAAACAGAGGGGGAAACACTGGAAACAGTGACAGACTTTATCTTTGGGGGGCTCCAAAATCACTGCAGATGGTGACTGCAGTCATGAAATTAAAAGACGCTCCTAGGAAGAAAAGTTATGACCAACCAAGACAGCATATTAAAAAGCAGAGACATTACTTTGCCAACAAAGGTCCGTCTAGTCAAAGCTATGGTTTTTCCAGTAGTCACGTATGGATGTAAGAGTAGGACCATGAAGAAAGCTCAGTGCTGAAGAACTGATGCTTCTGAACTGTGGTGTTGGAGAAGACTCTTGCGAGTCCCTTGAACAGCAAGTAACCCAACCAATCCATCCTAAAGGAAATAAGTCCTGAATATGCAGTGGAAGGACTGATGTTAAAGCTGAAACTCCAATACTTTGGCCACCTGATGCGAAGAACTGACTCTTTTGAAAAGACCCTGATGCTGGGAAAGACTGAAGGCGGGAGGAGAAAGGGATGGCAGAGGATAAGATGGTTGGATGGCATCACTGACTCAATGGACATGAGTCTGAGTAAACTCTGGGAGTTGGTGATGGACAGGGAGGCATGGCGTGCTGCAGTCCATGGGGTAGAAACGAGTCAGACATGACTGAGCAACTGAACTGAACTTAACCAGATAAGGAAGAGCCGAAACACATTCCATTGAATGGCAACAAATGTTCTCACCTCCAGAAGTACCAAGATAACACAGTTGGGTATAATGAAAAACAAAGCCAGACTAGAGGGGACTTATAAAATGGGGACATTTACAATATATTTTTATTGAAACTGTAAATCTAACTGATTTGCATTCCAGTATACTAAAATGATTAGCTCAAACCATGCTGATACTCTGACTGTAACAAATTAACTTTTCTCTTATATACCTTCCTTGAAAGAATTTTGAAAACAGTCCCTCAGATAATTTTCTGTGTTGTTCAAATAAGGAATGTACTGACAAAGGCTAGCAAAGGTTAATACAGAAGAGAATTAGAAAGTCTTTTCAGGAGTCATTCAGGTACGAGTAGCTTCAGTAAGAACCAGAAAGAAGGTTTATCAGGTTTACAGACGTAAGTTGGGGTTAGCATCTGGAAGGACATGACTCAAGATTCTGAAAGTATTCTGGTAAGCAAGAAAATTTTAAATGTTCACAAATAAAAATTAAGCAGGAAAACAGAAGATACAATATTTAGAAATTATTATCATTAGGAGTATAATAAAAACATTTGACAATTACAGTGGGCACTGAGTAAAATGAATACCAAAAAGGAAAACCCCAACCTAACACTCAGTGTTAGGATGTGAATAACCCTGGTTTCATGCTCAGCACCATGTAGGCTCTAATGAGGGAGACCATGGAGCCAAAATGTAGGGCAGAGAACTTGTGAAAGTTCATAAGGACAAACAGGCTAGGAAAGGTACATAAAAGGGCCAAAGCTTAATTTACAGAGAAGACAAGGGAGGCATCATAATCATTTTCAATTAGAAAGGTTCACCCTAAAAAGAACTACTAAGTAACTAGAAAATCTCCACTCTGAAAAGAAAAGAAACAGGTGAGGCGTAATACACAGGAGGACAGATATAAGTTAGACAAGGAGAGGACCTGGTTGACAATGAGGATTATTAATCATTTATGTACCAAATGATAATAAGCATGGAATTATCATCCTTAGAGGGAAGCCTTCAAAAAATAAAATACCACAGGTCTTTAATTTAGACTTACAGGCCATATGATCTCCACTGTAACTTCCTACTTAAGCACAAAAGCAGCCATAGACACATGGTGGCTGTGTGTCAATAAAACAGAAACCGGTGGCCTAGGGACCATAGCTTACTGACCCCTACTATAAAAGGGTTTTGGCAGTAGACAGTCTCCCAGTTTGGGAGACTGGGACTCAAGTTATTTCGCATGCACTTAGCCAACAGAGTTAATTCAAATAAAAACTCATGATCAAAGTAAAATAGTAACAAAGTTACAAAGTAAACTCATGATCAAAAAATTCTTTGATAATAGAATATTTCAAGCAAAATCTCAATATAAAGAATTAATGAAGGCTCTATGTTTCTGCATAATAAAACTTGCAAAAAGTTTCTGGTAAATTACAATAATGAGATATACTGATACCTGAAGAGGCCTGAAGGCAGAAGAATGAGGCAGGGTAGCAGCATAACCCACTTGATTCACACCTGACAGCGACTAAATTGCAAAAGAAAAAGAGAAGAAACAGAAGGCAGCATTTATGTTAGCAAAACGTCAGACAGCCAGGCAGGCAGGCAGGCAGGCAGGCAGGTCTTCTCAATAAAGGCAGAAAAGGAAAGGTCACTGACAAACTTTCAAATGGTTCACTAAGACATTAACAGGGCAGAAAGAGAACACCTGGGAGAAAAGGCCTGTAATTTAACACAGTTTCTCCACCTTTAATTCAACTATTTCAAACCCCATACCACATTAATCAAGAAGTGAAAGACTGATTTAATACAGAAATAAAATAGAACATATATATATATATATATATTTTAGCAAAACAGCCTTAGAAACAAATGAGTCCTGTGCTATTCCTACGACAGGGTAAACAAATGCAGTCAAAGAGTTCATTTTAACTGACCAGAACTGGCATGAATGAGGGCAATAATTTTTCAATGTTAATCCAAATTAGATTTATTATAATTCAGGTTAATGGCTCTGGTGTGAGATGCCAGGATATAAGGGTTTTGCATCACACCTTAAGGATGAACCAGCATTTCATTTCTGCTTCTGTGAAAGTCCAAATGACCTCTAAAACATACAATTTTCCTTTCCTTTTGTTTGAATGTTTTATCCTTTCACCAATCTATGAATACATACAACTAGTTAAATATATTAGAAATACTGTTATAATATATTATACAGAATTTTATAGATAAAAGCTGTTCAAAACATGACAATTTTTTTTTACTGGTGGGGAATGGAAATCAGAAAAGACAAGACTTTCACAAAGGGTGCTTGTGTGGGATTTTACCTGTTAAAAATGCCAAAGGCTTAAAGATATTAAAGTCTTTATAAGTTAAATAATTAAAAAACAAATTAAACTATGATCACAAATACCTGAATCATGGGATAAATGAACAAGAACACAAGTGGTATTTAGAAAAAGGTAAGATGGTCAATAAAATAAATACAACTATAATTTTAATGAGTTGACAGCAATGTTTTTTTCATGTGTGCAAAAAAAAAAAGCATGTAATACTTACAGTAACATTATATATCTTAAGGCAGAAAAAAGTGAAGAAAGAAATGTACCAAGAACAGACTGTGACAGCAGTCTTACATTTTACATGCTTTTACTTGTTTAGATTTCCTGGGCTTCCTTGTAATCAAATGGACTTGAATTACTGTCAATTTCAAGTATGTGCTATGTGCTTAGTCGCAGTCATATCTGACTCTGAGACCCCACATACTGTATGTAGCCCACCAGCCTCCTCTGTCCATGGGGATTCTCCAGGCAAGACTATTGGAGTGGGTTGCCATGTTCTCCTCCAGGGGAACTTTCCAACCCAGGGATTGAATGCCGGGGATCAAACGCAGGTCTCCGGCATTGCAGGCAGATTCTTTATCATCTGAGCTATCAGGGAAGCCCAATCTCAAGTATAAAAAGGTTAAATGGCACTATGTTGGCAAAGGAGGAAAAAAGGAATGGAGAGAAGAGGAAGTGAAATGAGTCTAGCTACTTGCCATTATCTAGAGATGGGACAGACATAGATGTAACATATATGAAAGCAACAGAGCCTGAAGGGCAACCCTAAGAGAATGTTAGTGTAACAGATATTAAACATTTCTAATACTTATATCAAATCCCATATTTCGAAGTCTTTAAATCAGATTCAACATTTACTTGCTCTATCATCAGACCTTCTCATCATGAAACTATATATTTTTTGACAACTTTTTATAATTTTCCTGACTGTGATTTTATTTTTTTTATTTTGCCCACACCATGCAACTTGCAGGATCTCAGTTCCCTGGACTGAACCTTGGCCACTGCAGTGAAAACACCTAATCCTAACCACTTGACCACCTTAACAAATGAGCAATTATTACATATAAAGAATATATAAAACTTCCAAATTATTCATGAATACTTATTATTCAGGAATACTTATTAGTAATTAATAACTAATATATCCCAGGAATTAGATAGGGATTGAATATACATAAGTAAATGCAACAGAGAATATCCCCACGCCCATGAAACTTATAATCTAACATCTATCGTTGGGGAGAGGGATATAAAAAACAATAAACTCCCACCTAAAAGTACTATGAAGGCGAGTAACAGTGGAGAACTGATTTGGGGTAAGCAAAGTGGCAAAAAAGCCATTTTAAGGGTGTGACATTTAAGTTGATACCAGATAGATCAGTGGGAGTCAACCAAGGGGTATATGCATGGAATGAGAGACATTCCACGCAGAGGGAACAGCATTTGCAAAGAACCTGAGGTGGAAAAGGGTTTCTCATATCTGCAGAGCAGAAAAAAATGCTGATATAGCATGAGATCAGAGATGAGAGACAGATAATACCCAGAGTGCACAGGAACTTAGAGGCCATGTTAAGAAGTTTGCAACTTATTCTAAAGGGCTTGCAGACCATGTTAAGAAGTATATGGACTTTATTCTACCATGTGAAGATGATACTTAAACTCTTAAAAGTCATTTAAGAGGAGTTTTGATAAGATCAGAGGAGAGGTATGAATTAAATAATGGCTCTTTGTGTACATGTTGGACACTATTTGGCATGCAAAAATATCTGAGACATGGTTCTTGCTTTTAAAGGCCATCTAATTTACGCCAGGCATGAATACTATTAAGTAAAATACAAGTGTATGTGTTTGAAAATGGCTGAAATTTCAAATTTCACGCTAAGGGGGGATTTTGTGGCTGGTTTTTCCAAACTCCACTTTTTCCTTGATAAAAACGTCTGGGCATTCAGCACTTACTATACGTGTTATTAAATCTCATCTTCAGTTCCCTGAAGTGTTTTCAATTATAGTACAGGAGGCAACATAGCACAGTGTTCATGCAGGTTTTAAGTCACCCAGATCTAGATCTGAACCAGCCTTGTACTATTAGCTATGTGATCTTGGAGAAGTCACATCTGGACAAAACATTCTGTGCCTCAGTAATCATTTGTAAAATGGTGTTAAGTTTACCCTTAGCTCTTTAGGATGCTGTGAGGATGAATGAAATAATGCTGGTACAGTGTCTGGATCATCACAGGCTCTCAGTATTTTTTTTACATTAATTTATTATTTGCTTCTTAAGCTTCAACTAAAACCCCAGAAGCTTATTTCTTTATAAGACTGCCCAGTTAAAATATGCTTTATCCATCATAAAGGAAATGATGATTGCAGAACACAGAGATTTTGACAGTGAAATTTATGTAACAAGAATCTCATGCCGACGGATGTAGTTCATGCAATAGCATGCACAGTGGCAGCAGTTACCAGCTCCTAAGACAGGAATTGCTACAGACAATAGGCTTTTGAACCACTGGTTTTCAATACTACAGTGAAAAAAGTAACATAAAACATGATGGGAAAACCAACTGTGTAAATGGTTAGAATCCTCTTGCAAAGCTGATAAAAATGAGACTCTCAATAGAGTTCTTCTGTTATACTCATTTTCAGCTGATGAAACAGACAATAAAAGTAAACCACTGTGTTTTAAGGTATCTTCTAAATTTGCATGTGTTCAATAAAATCAAATAAAATTAAAAAAGAAAAGCAAACTAATGTTAACAAAGATCACTAGATAGCATTCCAAGTTAATGTTTCCCTGAGTTTAAAACATAAAATGGGTATGGAGGGATAATCTTGAGATGGAAGTATTTTTTTAAAGTTTGGGATTTTCAGTAGCTTAAAATAGATAATAAAATAGGGTGTCAAATATATAGTTGTATAATTAGCATCATGAAGTAATAAGGTAATCATTCATCATACAGGTGACTCACAAAACAAATTAATGATTAACAATGGTCATCTGTAATTAGAAATGACATTTTAAAAACTAATATGTTTTTAAACTCTCCTCCAACACACATACAAAGCCAATATGGTTCTCAATGCAGATGTTTTTACTTTTGAGAACACTAACAAAGGTATTTGAATCACATCTGCAGAATATTTGGAATACTGAGTAAATAATGAAAAGTAATGTAGGGAGACATTCTAACTAGTTGTAAAGCATTCAGTAATGATGCTCATCATGTTTTATGATATTTAGATCAATTCAGAATGAAAAGTACAATAGCTATTCTCCAATCTTGAGACACAGCAATGTAAAACTCCATTTTGTGCAAGGTTCTTACCACTAACAAGGCACTATCATCAGTGTGCTGAGACCTTCTGGATGGGAAGGGACACTGGAGAGGTGGAGAAAAATGAAGCAGTGTCAAAACCAAGCTATGCACACACACGACGAATTTCACAAATACACATGCAGAGAGACATATTAACACAAACTTGTAAAGATGCCAACATACAGGACCACATTCACAATCATTCAGAATTCATGCATCATAACAGCTAGTAAGCTGTGAGTGATGATTTTCTCCTAAAGAGCTTAAACAATTTCAAGTATGATTTTATCGCCTAAAAACTTTCTAAAGTGAGGAGGGAACCGGAAATTATTCTCTGTTCTAAGAAGAGAAAGGTGAAGTACGGATGTAGCAATAACGTTAAGAATTTCTGATTATTTAGTGAGCTAGTGATAAATTCAAAACAATAAACCCAGGAGTGATGCCTCATATTCCAAGCATCTCTTCATTACCTTTCAAGACAAAACAAGGGTACAACTGGAAATTTTAAACTGTACACGTCATTTTCCTGAAGAGCTTTAGTTTTATATAATGAATTACTCCAGAAGGATCATTAAGAAGGAAATGTTCGGGTAAAAAAGGAAGAGTGTATTAACTTATCAAATTCTGACTGTCAAAGGTTTGTACAGTTATTACCATGAGAAGAAAAGACAATTGAAAATGCCTGAGTGAATCTTTCAGGTGTTACCAATGCCCAAGTTCTCAAATAAATGAACAAAAATAGTTATTATATGTCTAATAAAATTTTTTAAACTTTATAATGGATGATTTAAAACATTTCCAATATTTTACCAATCTAGAAACACTTGTGCTACAAAAACACTGTGCTGAAAACTGATGCTTATAAAGCCTCATGTGTTAGGTTTTCAAATAACTTATTTTACAAATAAACAAAGTCATCCCTCACATGAAAAAACACATTAATGCATTCTTAAGGAAGTGGTAATCATAAACTCAAAAAATAAAAAGGCAAAGACAAAGGAAAATAGCTAATGAAAAAGTCAATTACAAGAAAAATACTCATTTAGTAAGCATCAGTTTAACAGATCAAAACAGGTGCACAGATTTTTAAAAAGGTTAATAAGCAATTAATCTTACATGTCAATTTGTAATGAAAATGTACAACTTATGATAAAATTAATGAGGACAAAGTATAACCAATAACATACACACTTAGGAAATGAGCTCCGAAGTGGAAATACTATGTAGAGCTTTTGGTTTAATACTGACACCAATCACCTGTGTTAGATACAGATCTCAGGACCACCTCTCATTACACAGTAGCTTTGAAAATGGATGAGGGAGATGATATTTCTGCTGGGGATGCAAGGAGGGTAATAAGTAACCTCCAGATGGATGTGCATAAATTAAAAAAAAAATCCTGATCTATAGATTGTGATAAACTTCCTGGCCCATGTCTTTTTCTCCCTAGTAAGTAGATTTTTATGAAGGGAAAAAAGAAAATGGCAATAATTTAATCACTGAAAACATATGATAATCACATGCAAACTATTTCATTTTCATTGCAGTAATAAAAAATTTCAAAGAAAGGTGATTATATAAACTTACCTCACCAACTAAGGGGGTGTGTTGTTTTTGTGGACTTTGCGATGCTTTTTGCTATATACCCCACAAGAAAGGAAAGTTGGTTAGAATTTGGAACATTGGAAATGAAAAATTCTATTTATTAAGTAACCATTCACATTAATTTCTGTATCTCTTATGTATGACACTTTTCTAAATTAACTGGTTACTAGATGCCACCCTTTCCTTAAGTAGCTTATATTTTAAATGCAGAAAAGCAGTAAGCTGATAAACAGTACTCTTCTGTGTATACAAGCATCTATAAACAGAACATTTTAAAAACTTTGCTTTTTAAAATATGTACACGGATAAAAACATATTCACAGAGTAGTGATCTCTCACTAAATTCTCTCAATGAAATCATTCTTTCTTTCTCTAATGGCTTCAAATATTACTCCAATGCTAACAGCTTTAGCTCTCTCCCATCAGCCAAATTTCAGGCTTATATTTTCAAATGTCTGTGGAAACTGTCTACCTGGAAACCCCACTGTCATCTTACATTCAACATAACCAAAAAAACCCTTCCATTTCCCGTAATAACTGGCTCTTTCATTTAACTTGCTAATTTCTATTATTACGTCAATAATCTCACAATATCTGCACTGTTTTATAATGTGTTCCTATACACAGTATCTCAAGTGATTCTTATTCTGTGAGATAAACACCATAATCATATTCTTTAAAGATGAAAAAATTGAGGATAGAGAGTTTATATGGTCTGTGCAAGGTCACAAAATAAGCAGCAGAACTCAGATTTGCACCTATGTCTTCTAACTCTAAATCTGACCTTCTTTCCACAAAGCTAATTCCCATTAAAACCATTCTTGTAGCCTTAAAATCTTGCTTTGGAACCTTTTTTTCCCCATTCATTGTCAATAATTTTTCAACATTCATTATACATCTATGTATAGGACATAATGATGCTTCTTCTAAAAACTCTTACTGTTATTTTATAAAACCCTTTGTGGTAGCAAAGGGTGTAGCACATACCATACTAACAAAAGTACTAGCTGCAGCCACAATTATTCTGAAATATCTGATATTTAACTGTTAAATATTACACAAATAAGGAAAATAAAGGCATAGAATGGCTCTGTAACTTCCCAAAAGTCAAGCATATACCTAGCAGCAAAGCTAGATCCAAATTCAGGTTATTTCTGATACAGGACCTTACCAATGGACAACACTGCTTTTCCTTAGGAAACTTAAGAGATTGTCTAGTTGTATGCCTTCATCTAATTCCTGCAATTACTCTCTATTTCATTTTCTTTCTTTCCTCATCTTTTAATATATTCTAACGAGATTAGTTTCTCAGAAGTACCTTCCCTCTCATATTTTTCTCCTGCTTAAGAACTAAAATGGCTCTTGTCTGCCTAACTGTTCAAGATCAAGCTCTAATTTGACCTTTAATCAAGGCTATCTACAATGTAATTATCTCTTACTAGTTATGTTACTTCTACATAAGTCAAGCTAAATGAGTTATTTTATATAAAATGCATAGAACAACACTTAGTGCATAATATGTGTTAACCATTATCATTAACTGAGAATCAGTATAGCATTCTGGTCATAGACCAGGGATTTGAGTCAGCCTGTCCCCCTTTCTTTTTTCCTTCCAGTTTTATTGAGATGTAAGAATCTGCCTGCAATGTGGGAGACCTGGGTTTGATCACTGGGTTGGGAAGATCCCCTGGAGGGGATGGCAACCCACTCCAGTTTTCTTGCCTAGAGAATGCCCAAGGACAGAGGAGGTTGGTGTGCTACAGTCCATGGGGTCGCAAAGTGTCGGACACGACTTGAGCGACTAAGCACATAATTCATACACAGCATTGTATCAGTTTAAGGCGGGGAGCACCAAGATCTGACTTATTGAAGTCATGAAATGATTACCATAAGTTTAGTGAATATCTACCATCTCATACAGATTCAAAATAAAAGAAAAAAAAATGATGAAATGATGAACTCTTAGGATTTACCTTCTTAACAACTTTCACACTTAATATATATGCTGTATTAATACATTACATCTCTAATTCTTATCTTATGACTGGAAGTTTGTACCTTTTAGATACCTTCATCAAACTCCCCCTCCCCCATGCCATGCCTCTGGTAATCACAATTCTGACCTCTTTTTCTATGAGTTTGTCTGTTTTTGAAGTATAACTGATCAACAACACTGTTTTAGTTCCTGGTACACAATATAATGATTTGATATTTCTATATCAAAGTGATCACCATGGTAAGTCTAGTTACCATCAAGAGTTTTTTTTTTTAAAAGAAACTATTAATTTTCCATCTGCTTCATTTCCATTTTCTATTCAGTCTGTCTTGATTAGAATCTTTGATCTGCCACTTACTAGCTGAGTATTTAACCTTAGGAAAACTCTTATCCTCTCTGGGCGTCAAATATCATTGCAGGCTTCATACATTTGAAAAAAATACAAGAATTTATCATGTGTATGGTAGTCAAAGAAGATACACTTTGGCTAGAGTTATGAAACAAGAGAAAGCAATCAGACAATGAGTGATTCATCTGTTCAATCATTTAAAAAGTATTTACTGAGCTTTCCTGTTGGCTAAGGCGTGGTTAGACCTAGGGAAACATCAGTGAATAAACAGGATAGAAAGAACACGTCCCTTTCTTCATGGAGTTTACAGATAAATGGGAGAGACAAATACATATATATGGGCCACGCCACTAGGCTTGTGGGATTTTAGTTCCCTGACCAGGAATCCAACCAGGGTCTGTGGCAGTGAGAGCTTACAGTCCTAACCACTGGACCACCAGGGAATTCCTGGGAGAGACATATATTAAACATGCGAAAATATAAATAATTACTTTAAAAGGAAAAAAAAATCTAAGGTGATTGCAGAACAAAAAGATGTAAGTAACACAGGCCAAAAAAGTGGACCAGATTTAGAGACAACTACAGAGTTTGTTTAAAAGAGAAGTATTAATAAGGATTATTAACTGAGTAGCTGGGAAGAAAACAGAAAGGAAAGAATCTAAGATGACTAAAGTATTAAGCCTGTGAGCCTTGCAAATTTTTGAGGTAAGGAAGTTAGTGATAGGTTCAGATAACAATAGTTTAAATCTTCATGGCACTTTACAGTTTACATAGCATTTTCACTTTCATGATGCACTAGAGATATAGCAAACAGCAGCTGGACAGTAAAGTGATACGTCTAATGATAGACAGCTCATTAAGAGTAAGAGACTGTCACTGTCCTAAAAGCAAGATCAATCACTTCTGATTATCCTCAAGCCTATCTACCTTTGAGGACAATTAATCTAATCACAAAAGGAGACAGTTATACTATTTACTCAAGAATTCTTATGATTATCATTTTTTTTCCCCATGAAAAATAAAACCTGACAGCCTCAGTGAAACAAACATACACTTAATTCTAAGAAGCTTCAGGAGCACCATTCAAAGAACCCAAAGAACTCACCTTGACAAAGTCCAGGACAGCATCTCGCTGAATCTGCTTGGTCCTTATTTTCTCTTCCTCATACTGTAGGGCAGCAAGTTGTGCCTCTCTCCGAGTACGTTCTACTAATTGTTCTTTTCTCCGATGAAGTTCCAGGTCTGTCTGTGAAAACTGGAACAAGAGGATTATTTTGCATATGCAAGCAGGGATAAAGATCAACTTACGAATATTTATCAATTTTGGGAAACTACTGCTGACCCAAGCAATTTTTACTTTTCATTTACTGAGCATTTCTTCAGATGTGCTTATTGCTAATTTTTTCCCATTTCTGTACTGTGTTCTTATATGTACTATAAAGACTTATTTTCTCTCTGGTGTCTAAAACACTGCTACTCCTATCAGGTGCACATATTATATTAATTGTAGATTGAAGAGACAGGTAATAAAATTTACAGATGTTTGGGAATTAACTGCAATTTAAGTATTATAAAAGAAGAAAATCATCTTAATTTAAAAAGAAACTAAAAGTGGAAAATTTTTTTTTACCTGATTGTGACTTGGTGATAGTGATAAGAGAGAAGATGGCTCAGCTGGAACCCTGATCCAAAAAGGAAAAATAGAAAAGAAAAAACTCTTTGATAAGACAGATAAATAAAAGATAAGTGGAATTTTACTGTTAATGTAGCTTTCTATTAATCAGCAAGCAAACTGGTCAACATTGAAAGACCAACTGCATTTTATAAACTTAAGCCCAAGTCATTACATTAAGCTACAGGAACACCTGATGTCTCCAACTCATATTTCACATGATGATATCACCGATCAAGCTATACATATTGAACAACTGTCTATGTCAGCCAGGGCTGATGATAGTTATTTGAGATCACTTTTCAAACAGTATTGTTTCTTTACAGCTCACAGAACTACATCTTCTTTATTACTAGGACTGAAACAAGATCATGTACATAGAGATGGTTTATAAACAAAGCCACTTTATCAACACAATTCTGGAATACTACAGAACCTGTAACTTTATGTGTAGAGCACATCTACTCCCATTTTTAACTGAAGAGCAATTTTAGTAATAAAACTGAAGATTTTGTTGATTTTTATCTTTAAGAAAAATATGAAACCTGATTTGATGCTTAAAAAAAAAAGCAGTAAAATTTGCTTTTCAGTTTTATCAGTGTTAATTCTTATATTTTGGTTTATTTATTTCCTGTTGTATTTCCTAAAGTTTAAAAATATAGTATGTAAGAAAACAAAAACTTAAGCTAGTCTATTGTTCTTTCATGCTATATTTTTTTCTCATATTGGTTCCAAATCTTTGAAGTATTCACAAATTTTTTTTTTAATTTCTAGGCATTAAAAAAACTTTGACAGAATAAATTGTTTATAATTTTTAAAAGGAACAGAATAAATTACTTAGTGGCTACCAAGTAAATTACTTAATAACTTCCTATACAATATTTAAAATAATGTTAAAGATAGAGATTTAAAACTTCCTTAACTTTCTATTAATCCTCGTCAACTCTTATCCTAGCATGCCTAACCAGAGCATACTCAGTCACAGTCTTGCAAGAAGAGAGAGGACTGTATTGGTAGGATAAGATTTTTAACTGGGATATAACCAATAAAGAATGAGAGATGAGTGACTCCAGGACCATGTACTAGAATAACTAGCATTAAGTACAAGTTTGTCCCAAATTACCAACTTCACTGTTAACATTTCTTAAAGCTTTTATTGGCCATCTATAAACTATACCAGAAAGGATCATATAAAACCATCTCAAGTGCGTGTATGTGCCCTGATTTGAACATTTTTCTTTAATAATGCTTTTTAAGCAAAACTTTTTAATATACATCTTCTTTAAATCCTCATTTCTTTATCCTTTTTTACATCAAGCCTCTTTAAATGTTGGTTGAATTCACTGTTTCCACTTCATCTCATCCCATTTTAATTTGAACCCACTCCAATCTGGATCTGTCCTCACAACTTCACTGAAACTGCTCTCTTCAATTTGGGGGATTTACATGTCCAAATCCAGTAGTTATTCTCAGCCCTCACCTTCCTGAACCTATCAGCGGTATGTGAGATTTGCTTCTCTCTCTCCCCACATGTCTTGAGAATGTCTCTTCACTTAGCCTCTGGGACATGACCTTCTTTCTCCTATTTCCATAACCATTCCTGCTTGTCTCTACTACCATACCATTGCGATCATTTCACATGCTAGCAAGGTTATACTCAAAATCCTTTAAGACAGGCTTCAGCAGTATGTGAACTGAGAACTTCCAGATGCACAAGCTAGGTTTTGAAGAGGCAGAGGAACCAGAGATCAAATTGCCAATATCCGCTGGATCAGAGAAAGCAAGGGAATTCCAGAAAAACATTTACTTCTGCTTCACTGACTATACTAAAGCCTTTGACTGTGTGGATCAAAACCAATTGTGGGAAATTCTTCAAAGAAATGGGACTACTAGACCATCTTACCTGTTGCCTGAGAAATCTGTATGCATGTCAAGAAGCAACAGAAATGGACAGAGAACAATGGACTGGTTCAAAATTGGAAAAGCTATGTATTGTCATCCTGCTTATTTAACTTATACACAAAGTACGTCACACAAAAAGCTGGGCTGGATGAATCACAAACTAGAATCAAGACTGCCAGGAGAAATATCAACAATCTCAGACAAGCAGATGATACCACTCTAATGGCAGAAAGTGAAGAGACGCTAAAGAGCTTCTTGATGAGGATGAAAGAGAGTGAAAAAGCTGGCTTGAAACTCAACATTTAAAAAACTAAGATCATGGCAACCAGTCCCATTACTTCACTACAAATAGAAAGGGAAAAAGTAGAAGAAGTAACAGATTTTATTTTCTTGGGTTCCAAAATCACTACGGATGGTGACTGTAGCCATGAAATTAAAAGATGCTTGCTCGTTGGAAGGAAAGCTATGACAACCTAGACAGCATACAAGCAGAGACATCACTTTGCAAACAAAGGTCCGTATAGTCAAAGTTATGGTTTTTCCAGTAGTCATGTACAGATGTGAGAGTTGGATCATAAAGAAGACTGAGTACCGAAGAACTGATGCTTTCGAACTGTGATGCTGGAGAACACTCTTGAGAGTCTCCTGGACTGCAACGAGATCAAACCAATCTATCCTAAAGGAAATCAACCCTGAATATTCACTGAAAGGACTGATGCTAAAGCTGAAGCTCTGATACTCTGGCCACCTGAGGTCAGAGCTGACTCACTGGGAAAGAATGAAGGCAACAGGAGAAGGCGGCAGCAGAGAATGAGATAATTAGATAGCATCACCAACTCAATGGACATGAACTTGAGCAAACTAGGAAACAGTGGAGGAGAGAGGAGCCTGGTGTGCTGCAGGATATAGGGCGGAAAACAGATGGACACAACTTAGCGACTGAACAATAACAACAAACAATCTAGTTGTTTAAGCCTTAATTCTCTCCCCTTTACTCTAAATTTATATATCTAGACCTGCTTACCTGGTAACATCACTGAATTTCTAGCAGCATCTCAAGTAGAACATAACCACAACTTAATTTTCATCTCACACTTCAAAACTGTTCTGCCTTATTTACACTCCTTACACTTCTTCCTTGGGAGAAGGCAATGGCAACCCTCTCCAGTATTCTTGCCTGGAAAATCCCATGGATGGAGCAGCCTGGTAGGCTGCAGTCCATGGGGTTGCACAGAGTCGGACACGACTGAAGCGACTTAGCAGCAGCAGCATCAGCGTTCCTTGAACACACTAAGTATGTTCCTCTGTCATGGCTTCTGCTTAGACTGTTCCTCCCCTAGATAGTCAGAATCCTTGATCCCTCTTTGGGGTTTTGATCAAAATATCATTACCTCATAAAATTGCTCTTGCTTTCCCCTCAAACTGACTCAGTATTAAGTCTTTCATCCTGCTTTATTTTTCTTTGTAGCACGGAGCAGAACCTGACAAGTATTTGTTACATATATTTGTCTGTTATTGCGTTGTTAAAGGTTAACTACGTGACATCAGGGACCTAGAACATAACCAGACTATGCTGGTTATGAAGACTATGCTCAAGAAATATTGTTTAAACAAATGGCAGTGGTATCTTCCTCTCAAAAATACGGGATATTGATACAAAAATACAGGTTTGTAATTATGCATTTTTAAATCTTGAACTTATTTGAGCTGGGTAAACCAGAACTGTACCTCTGTATGACAGACTCTGAACTGCCCTTCTGCTTTTCTTTGTTCATGATATCACATTTAATATAGTAGCTTTTCTAGTTTTGTCTATGTAAAATGAAACTAAAAATATCCAGGTACTTCTTTAATACTATACTGCTTCCAATAGAAATTAACAAACTTCATAGGACATAGCCTGACATTATCATCTCTCCTGAACTAAAATGCCAATCAGGTTATAAGTGAGCCCTTAAATTTTTTTTTGATATATAAAATAAATGACAGTTTTGTTATGTTAACTAAAAATTTATTTACTCCCTTTTAGCAAACAGTTATAAAACACTTCCCAATTTATCATAATACTCTTAACATACCTCCTTAACTTTCTTAATCCTCAGGCAGTGTCTGTGTTTGTGTGGGGGAGGGGGAGGTAGGAAGGAATGTACATGGTGCACCATGGGAGGGGAGAATTGGGAGGAAAAAAGCAAACAACTTTTTTCCCAGCAGTGACCAACAAGCAAGTAGCAGTCTAGAAACTAACTCAATTCCTTTCAGTCTTTGTAAAAGAAGGATTGATCTACACTTTGTAGGTTAACATATTCCTCAGGTTGGGAAGCCCCAATGGCTCAAGAGGTAAAGAGTCTTCCTGCAATGCAAGAGATGCAGGAGCTGCAGGTTGGATTCCTGAGTTGGAAAGATCCTCTGAAGAAGGAAATGGCAACCCATTTCAGTATTCTTGCCTGGAAAACTCCATGGACTGAGGAGCCTGGCAGGCTACAGTCCATAGGGTCGTTAAGAGTTGGATATGACTGAGCACACACATGAAGCAATGCAACATTACTCAGGTTACAGGCAAGTCTTGTGAGCCTGAGAGTGGCCAGCCATTCTGAGGTGATTTTGTTTTTCTAGGTTCCAGTTCATGATTCCATTTGAGGAGGATAGGAACTCTGAAATTTACAGCTATTTCCCAATACCTAAAAAAGTGCTTAGCACATATGAGATATTTAGCAACATGAGGTTTGCATTGATCTTAAAGCTCAACTGATGACAGGGATAAAGTATGGAGTTCTTATCCAAAGACTGTATTGATCTAGAGATTTGAAACACCTAGTTAACAGTAATCATTGATTCAGTTTCTAGCACTGTGGCAGGTTACATATTCTGAATGACTCTTCCAATGGAAACAAAAAAACTATTCAATAAAGTAATCTTTTAAAATGCACTACTGAAGTGCCAAAAAGAAAAAAAAAATCCCACAGATTCTAAAAAGAAGTTAAGAAACAGGAACTCTGGATTAAGGTTTGGTAGGCAGATTTTTGGCACTCAAGATCTCCTCCCCCGGTATTACTCCAATAAATACATTACATATCAGAAAAGGACTCTGCAGATGAAATTAAGGTTACTAATTGGTCGACCTTATCCAGGTGGGCCTAGTATAATCATACAAGTCATTAAAACCAGAAGAGGAAGGCAAGAGAGTTTGTGAAATGTGGCAGAAAGGGAAATCACATTTAAAATGTGAAGATCCGACCTGTCACTGCTGGCTTGAGATGGAGGAAACCATGAACCAAGAAATGTGGGTGGACTCTAGAAGCAAAAATGACTCCCAGCTAACAAGGTAATGGAGACCTCAATCTACAACTGCATGGAACTGAATTCTTCCAGCAACCTATATGAGGCTGGAAATGGATTCTCCTCCAGGGTCTCTAGGTAAGACTCTAGGCTAGCCAACACCTTGACTTTGGCCTTGTGAGGCCCTAAGCAGAGAACCAAAACAAGCCTGCTCAGACTTCTCTCTCTCAGAACTGTAATATAATAAATAGGTGTGTTTTAAGCAACTAAATTTGTGGTAATTTGTTATATAAGGGTCAGAGACAGTACTTTGCCGACAAATGTCCATCTATTCAAAGCTATGGTTTTTCCAATAGTCATGTATGGATGTGACAGTTGGACTATAAAAAAAGCTGAGCACAGAAGAATTGATGCCTCTGGACTGTGGTGCTGGAGAAGACTCTTGAGAGTCCCCTGGACTGCAAGGAAATCAAACCAGTCAATCTTAAAGGAAATCAGTCCTGAATATTCATTCATTGGAAGGACTGATGCTGAAGCTCCAATACTTTGGCCACCTGATGTGAAGAACTGACTCACTGGAAAAGACCCTGATGCTGGGAAAGACTGAAGTCAGGAGGAGAAGAGGATGACAGAGGATAAGATGGTTGGACGGCATCACCAAATTGATGGACATGAGTTTGAGCAAGCTCCGGGAGTGGGTGATGGACAGGGAAGCCTGGTGTGCTGCAGTCCATGGGGTCGCAGAGTTGGACGTGACTGAGCGACTAAACCTGACTGAACTGAAGCTTCAGAAAACTAAAACTTTAGTAAGGCAATTGAGCAAAAAGCTGGCTTTCACCTTGAGGGTGTGTGCCATATCCTGGAGATCCTGAGCTTTACTTATAATAGACACAGAAGGTAGGAGGGGCCAAAAATAAAGCAGAGGTCTATCCAACATGGGGAAATGTAACAAGAAATCCCCACATGATACTGGAATCTCAAATAACCACATTTTCAGTAAAGGGACACGTTGGCAACTAAAAGGTCATTTTGAGATAAATTTCAAAGACATGAAATGTGTCTAAATCTTCATGAACTAACAAGATTTAAAACAGCCAAGTTATAAGATTTCTTTCTTTCATTATTCTCCCTACAGTTTCTTCATCTATAGCTCAGCCTTCTAAACAACTTTAATATCCTGTCAAGTATAAGTAAAGAATGATGTATGACACTTTCTATACAACAAATTTAATGCTACTTAAGAATGGACTTATCAAGCCTACTTTTTTAAGATTTAAAAAAAAAAAAAGGAAGCAAAAAAATCAAAGGCTGAGAATCTTTCAACTATTGTGATACAGTTTATGACAAAAACTTTTTGGTTCAAGAATAAGAAGCAGTACTCTTGAGAAAAAAAAAGCAGCAGCGGCAGTATTCTAAATGACCAAGCTAATTTTAGAAATATCCTGCGAGGCAGTAATTATAGATAAAAGATTACTTCAACTGAGATGGGAATGAAGAATATATCGTTTTCTCTATTGTTCTGTCATCTAATCAAAAGTTTAAGTAAAATCGCTGGACTCCTAAAATTCATGTAGCCCTATTTATGCATAAATCCAGATATATCATTATAAACTTTATTAAGTATCTTCAAATAATTATACAGATAGTGGTTTAGGTAATCTGAATTTAGAATCAGCAAGTCAGTTTTACTTCATATTCTAGAGCACAAAGGTACATTTCATTTAGCTATAAATACATCGTATTTAAAACACGTAGTATCTAAACACCTTCATTATACATATATCTACACAAAACCAAAATCATTTCATGCTCTTATTACTGAGTTTTAAAACAGAAACAAATGACTAGCACTGGTTTTTCAAACCTATTTTGATGTGAATATCTTCTCATGTCTTCTGTTTTTTGAAATTCCCTCATGGGTATTGGCTTTATTGGTGAACCCTAGGCCAAAAACAGAAAAACAGATCAATTTAACACATATATCCAGAAAAGTGTAATTACACAGTTCACATTTCAATGGCATTTAGGGATCAGTATATTATATTACACTAAAAATATTTTAACAAAATCTTGGAATGTGAATTTTCATGTTAGAAGAATTATAGGCTATATCACTGCTTTGGTAAACAGAAAACTGTTCACAGTCCAAAAACATTTATTTTTAAAGATGAAGATTTTCTTCTCACTGTATTTTATGATTTATAATGACCATACAGTACTATTTACAAAACGATAAGATGTGAAAGTTGGAAAGAATCTTAGAGGTCATTGAGCACAAATTCTCCTCTAGAACAGGAACTCCTACCGATTCTATCCTGATTTTTGCTCAGCCTCTCTTGACTATTCCTGGTAACAGGAAGTTCACCGGGGAGATTACATTTCTTTACTTCATCATCATCATAAATTGTACTTATGTTAGACAAATAGTCCTGGGGATGCTAGTAGAATATCAACATAAAAAGTAATTTCTTCCTTTTTCTTTAAATATTTATTTACTTATTTTATTTATTTATTTCCCATCCATTTATTATGATGGGTCTTTGCTGCTGCACGCAGGCTCTCTCTACTTGCGGTAAGCGTGGGCTACTCTTTGTTCTACTGTGCGGGCTTCTCACTGAGGTAGCTTCTCTTGTGGAGCACAAGCTCTAGGAGTCTTGGCTTCAGTAGTTGCAGCATATGGGCTCAGTGGTTGTGATGTACTGGTTTAGCTGCTCAGCAACACACAGGATCTTCCTGGACTAGGGATGGAACCAGCATCCCTTGCACTGCAAGGTGAATTCTGTTTTTTTTTTTTTGCAAGGTGAATTCTTAATCACTGCACTGCCAGGGAAGCTCAAAAGTAATTTCTGTTTATGGTAAAATATGATACTAACTGGACTTCCCTGGTGACTCAGCGGTAAAGAATCTGCCTGTGATGCAAAAGATGCAGGAGACTCAGGTTCAACCCTTGGATGGGTAAGATCACCTGGAGAAGGGCATGGCAACCCACTCCAGTATTTTTGCCTGGAGAATCCCATGGACAGAGGAGCTTGGGAGGGCACAGTCCACAGGGTCGCAAAGAGCTGGACATGACTGAAGCGACTTGACGAGCACGATGGTATTAATCAAGGCTTTCCTGCTGGCTTGTGGTAAAGAATCTGCCTGCAATGTAGGAGACCACCTGCAATGTAGGAGATGTAGGTTTGATCTGTGGGGTGGGGGAGATCCCCTGGAGAAGGAAATGTCAACCCATTCCAGTATTCTTGTCTGGAAAATCCCATGGACAGAGGAGCCTGGCAGGCTACAACTTAGTGACTAAACAACCACCACCATCATGGTATTAATTAAAAGAGAAATAGTGGCAGATGGTAAAGAATCTGCCTGCAATGCAGGAGATCCGGGTTCAATCCCTGGATCAGGAAGATACCCTGGAGAAGGAAATGGCAACCCACTCCAATTCTCTTGCCTGGAGAATTCCATGGACAGAGGAGCCTGGCAGGCTACAGTCCATGGTATCACAAAGAGCTGAACATGACTGAGCGACTAAAACACACATTTATAAACTGAAGGGTAAAGGTCATTTAAAAAAATTATTGATGAAAACTTAACTGGTTTAAGTTATATGGCTTATATACTGAAAAATATAAATCAAAGGTAGAGACACCATGTATTCTGTCAAATGAGAATCTATAAAAACAAAATAATCCTACTTGAACACCAAAGAAAATCATCAAAATGGGTATTGTAGAAGGGAAAAAAAACAAACTTATTCCCCCTAAAAATCTAAAAGTCAAATGTAAAACTATTTACAGTCTATCTCAAAGAAACAGGTACATCACACATAACTAGAAAATCTTAGGTGAATTACTCCAAAGGGCTAAAGCTGATTCCTGTAAAATGTGGGCGTTAAGGATCATACTAAATGAGACACAATTCTAGAATCTGGATGAGAGAATATTTATTCTAATTTTAGTGAATTTGACTTTTTAAGTAAACAGAAATCTCTCTTAGTATGCTATCAGCGACTTATCACCCAGGCTTTACAATACTGTGATTACCTAAAATTACTGCAAGAGGTACATGAAATTTTCATGACAAAAATGAATGCAACATTAGTTTAATTAAAAAAGTAAATATGTTACAGTCTATAGAACATACCTCAATTTAAAATAATATTTCTATGCATGTGACAGGTATTATGATAAAACTTAATAGCAGAGCGTTTAAAATCTAAAATCTCAAATAGTTTTTAACAACCCATTTTTAGGCAGTACCAAGAATATAAAAAAATATTTCTTCACTGGTTATTAAACCATTTAAAATAATACTGCTTCATTTTATTTTTATATATGGGTGGGTGGTTTAGTCACTAAGTCGTGTCCAACTCTTGCGATCCCATGGACTGTAGGCTGACAGGCTCCTCTGTCCATGGGATTTTCCAGGCAAGAATACTGGAGTGGATTGCCATTTCCTTCTCCAGGGCATCTTTCTGTCCCAGAAACTGAACCCGGGTCTCCCGCATTGCAGGCAGACTTTTATATACGCCAAGCTTCAAAAGCCTTATGACACAGAAGTCCTAAAGAGCCTTATGACAGAATCATAAAGACTACTATACATAATAGGTTGATGGAATCAAAAAACAGATGATTAAAGAAATGATTCTACAATTTTTCACCAGCAGTATAACAGGCATTTTCACTTTTACTAGAAATACCTCATCTACACAGGATAATTAACCATAAAATAGTCAAAGAGAAAGACTACAAGAAAAGAAAAAGGATTCCCTTTAAGATTATAATGTGGGCGTTGTTAACTTAAATTTTATTGCCAAGTAGATGCCCTTTGCTCTAGCAGAAATGCTTATAGTCTGAACCACAAGTAGTTTCATTAATCACCCATACACATTGCTATCTGTAGGCTGCAGGACTTTGATTCATAGCAATGGACGTTATCGGCTGGTTTCATCTTTTGAGATGTCAGTCACCCATAGTCAACCATGGTCCAAAAATATTAAATGGAAAATTTCAGAAACAAACAATTTGTAAGTTTTATACTGCATGCTGTTCTAAGCAGTGTGGTAAAATCACAAGCTGTCCCACTCCATCCCACCTGGGTTATGAATCATCCCTTTCACCAGGGTATCCTGCCTGTTAGTCAGTAGCTGGCTCAGTTAAGTTTCTCTCAATTATCAGATTGTCACAGTACAGCAGTGCTTGTGTACAAGTAATCCTATTTTATTAATAATGGCCCCAAGTACAAAAGTAGTAATGGTGGTAATTCAGATATGCCTGAGAGAAGGCGTAAAATGCTTCATTGAAGTGAAAAGGTGAAAGTTCTTGAATTAATAAGGAAAGAAAAAAATTGTATTCTAAGGTAAGATCTATAGTAAGAACAAAGCTTCTATCTGTGAAGTTGTGAAGAAGGAAAAAGAGACATTTATGCTAGTTTTGCTATTGCACTTCAAACTGCAAATGTTACACACCCACAGTGTGTGTAAATGAATGCTTAGTTAAGATGGGAAAGGCATTAAATCTGTGCAGTGAGATAATGAGAGAGTGTGAGTGTGCACACATCCAAATTCACATAATTTTTGTTACAGTATACTGTTGCAAATATTTATTAGTTATTATTCTTAATCTCTTACTGTGCCCGATTTATAAATTAAACTTTATCATAGGTGTGTATGTATAGGAAAGAACAGTACATATAGAGCTCTACCATCCATCCACTGGTGCTCTTGGAATGTATTCCCCTCAAATATGGGGTGGGGGAGTAACGTATTTATCAAATTTAAATACAAGAGTGTCTTTTGACCAACAAAAAATACTGTGTTCAAAAGTCTTCAGATAGGAAAACCAAGCTTTTTTTTTTTTTAAAAGAATGATAATAACACTCTATAACATGTCCCACTTGAAGTGACTATTCGCTATTTCTAAAAGACTAAATACATCATTCTTCAAAAAGGCCCCAAGTGTTTCTCAAATACTCCCTGCTCAGAGTCTGGGACCAACTCCAGACATTAACATCACACACACTGAAGTGGAGCCATTTTATTATGCTGACTAGATACACTGAAGAATGCTATTTCTACTTGAGACCCTTGGGGAACTGGCAGAGACTTCGCAGTGGGCTGAATGCTCATTTGTTTTCTAAGGCAACTCAATGCTCCACTATAACAGACACCCAGGAATTTTAATGGCAAACAATTTATATTCTGTGTGACTTGGCATAAAAGCACCAATATAATTAAGCTCATCATAAAATTCTATGGTTGAGTTTGTATGTTGCTCCAAAAGTCTGCCGTTGGTTCAATTCTTAATTACTGACCAAACTATGATTTATCAGTTAATAAAAAAGCATTAAAAATGACAATAAAAAGCATCATATTCCTTTGCATTTTCTTAGGACTTCTCTTCTTTAAAATTCTGAAATCTGTCTTCTTGTTTGAAAAATAAATCTCAACTTTACTTAAGACTACTGTCTGATTTTAAAAATAGTTTGAAAAAGTAAAAAAATTGGAACTAAAGATAACAAAACAAATAATTGAGCCTAAACCAACAAATCACTGATGTGACAGAAATTTAGACTATCATAAATTGTTTTTACTAGGGAATGGCAACAAATTTAGGTTTAAATGTGTATACTACCTCATGAGAGATTCGCCGTTGTTCAATATATGCCATAAACTGCGAACTGAGGCTGTCCGACTCCAGGCCCTTGTGTGGTCTCACCTCGTCCTCGTCTTCCTCTGCAGTACAGCTGTCAATATAGTCAATCTGATCCAGATCATGTTCCACTGTCCACATGACACAAACACACACACACACACACATCAAAAAAAAAATTCAAGTTAGACAGCCAACAAAAAACATTAAATTGCATTCTTTCCTTTTCCTTAACATTTTCTATTCTGAAAGTGGGAAGAATAAGTTTAAATTACATAAGTCTTTATCATTTAGTCCATGGTCACTCACAAGAACAGGCTAAAGAAAAGCCCTTGTCTTGATTCACTGTAAAGAATGCAGTAATTGATGGTAATTAGTAGACTTTAGACCTCTAGTATTTCTTTTTTTTTTTTGGCTAGCTCTTGACTATTTTAAGCAAGTTTGACTCTGTGAGACAAAGGGAAAGAATAATTTTTTAATGTTGAAGGGTATATCTTCTTTTAGGTTTTGTTTCATTTTTTTGGATGTTTTAGGTTTGGGGCTTAATCATATCTCTGAAGAATTAGACAGAAAACCTAACACAATCAACTCTAAATAAAAGTGAAAAGACAGGAGGAAAGACTTGGTGATAAAGAAATAGATACTGATGACTGTTCCCCTTATTGTAACTGCTGTCCATTACTAGAAAAAAAGATTTTCCTATTTAGAAAACTATTTTTTACAGGTCAGTATTGCAGGTATGTTGCAGCAGTTTATGGATGCAAGGGAATCATTTGAGGAATTTTTGCTTCTCAAAATGCTCTGAGGTGAGAAGCATATAAATAAGATTCAGATGCCCTTAAAGAGCACAATTTCAGATGAAAGACAAGGCAGACATCAAGAATACACTGAATTTCTAAAAGAGGTCACAACAATGATCACAAAGAGAATCTTTAAAAAAGAGAATACTTCTAAGAAGACCATGGTTAAATCAAGATTAGCAAAGATCAGGCTTCCACTATGGCTCAGTGGTCAAGAATCTGCCTGTCAATGCAGGAGACACCAGTTTGATCCCTGATCCAGGCATTTTCCACATGATGTGGAGCAACTAAGCCTGTGCATCAAAACTATTAAGCCTGTCCTCTACAGTCCTGGAGACACAACTACTAGCCCATTTGCTGCAACTATTGAAGTCTGAGCGTCCTAGAGCCCACACTCCACTACAGGAGAGGCCAGTGCAACAAGAAGCCCACACACTGCAGCTGGAGACTGCGGTGTAAAATGCAGCGTATGATCACTGAAACTAGAGAAAAAGCCCACGCAGTAACCAACACTCAGCACAGCCAAAAAAAAAAAAAAGAAAAGATTAGCAAACATCTATTCCAGATAAACTGTCCTTAGTAAAGTTCTCTCCCAAAATAAAAATAAGAGAAAAACATTATATTTTGATTACAAGCCTGAAAACAGAGAAATTGAAATTTAATCCTAATAGAAAACATTTTTTTTTTCTAATCACATGAGAAGAGGAGGGAGGTCTCTAAAAAAAGAATGGAAGAAGTTACAGATAGACAAATAAAAGGAATGGATGTGAAAAGGCCGTTTAAAAAGTCAAAGATAAAAAAGATTTTGGATGTTGTCAGGAATCATGTTTACCTCCACCATTTGTTACTACTAAACTGCTGTGATTCTCCTGGTATTGGCTTTCTCTTCGTAGTCTTTGTTCTTTAGTAATTTCGGCTACTCGAAGAGGCAGATCTGAAAATTCATCTGTAGGCTTAAAAAAATAGTAGAAACATTAAATCACTTCAAATTTTAGACAAGGTATTTATAGCATAAACTCAGAATTTATATTTTTTAAAAAAGAGCAAAATAATTCCAAGATGTATCTAGAAAGATGCACATATTATTCAACAATATGAATGTACTTAACGCCACTGAAATGCACACTTAAAAATGGTTAAAATGGGGCTTCCCTGGTGGTTTAATGGTTATGAATCCGTCTTGCAATGCAGGGGACACCAGCTCAATTTCTGATCTGGGATGATCCCATACACTGTGAGGCAACTAAGCCTGTGTGCCACAACTACTGACTTTGTGCTCTAGAGCCTGGGAGCCACAACTACGGAAGCCCACGGGCCCTAAAGCCCGTGCTCCAGCAACAAGAGAAGCCACTGCATTGAGAAGCCTGCACACCACACCTAGAGAGTAGGCCCTGCTTGATGCAACTAGAGAAACCCTGAGAGTAGCAACACAGACCCAGTACAGCCAAAAAAAAAAAGTATCTTTTTTGATACTGCCACAATCATGTACACACCCAACTACACACAAATAGCCAAGCAATTTCAAATGACAAATGGGCTGTATTCTAAAACTAATTTGTTTTAGACTCCAAATAAAACAATGTTAAAAATGGTATACTACCAGTCTTGCTAACAAAATCTTTTTATTAGTTAACCTAATTTATAGCTAAAATATTATACTTTAGTAATTTAAAATGAGGGAAAACGTAATACTAATAATTAGAAAAAAAGAGAAAAATGATATAATTAGCTGAGAAAGTTACTTATTTATCTTGAGCATGTAGATAACTTCATTAGGTTCTTATCTTATTACCCATCAGCCTATAGTTCTACTTTCTCACCTAGCAGATCTTCTATCCATCTCTGCTCAAGATTACCCAGGCACTCAAATTTTAGGTTTCCCATGTAACTGGCTCAGTTCCCATTCAGATCTTCCAGGATATAAAATGATTTATATGAGACAATGAGATAACAAACATGTAAAACACAATATGCTAAAAAGACGATGAAGAAACATAATACCATTTCTGAGTGACAGGACTATTTGGGAGTTTTACACCTCATTTGGCTTTTCTATATTTTACATAACAAGAAATTGAGTCCAATTAAGACACTTTCCATTTTCATCATTTTACTTCCTCTTAATCAGAAGTTGCAACATGTACAATAAATACTTACTTCATTCCCTGACCATCTCTTATCACCACTGTCCACACTGTTAAAACCTGAATCAAGTGCTCCATAGGGACGACCTGAGTACAGTTCTTCATGGCTGCCGAAAAGAAACTTTAGTTCTTATTGTGGAGTTTGATACTTTAAAAATTAACATTTGAAATAGATGCAATTTTAGTAATAAATATTTTCATGGCATTTAGGGACTTAATTGCTTAGAATGAAGTGAGTACTCCTTCAACTTTTTAGTATGAAAAGTTCCAAATTCAAAGAAATCAGGTAGAAAGGAATAATGAACTTTCATGTCCTCATTATCCACCTTCAAAAATATCAACACTCTTACTTCATCTATTCCTCTAGCCATTCCTAATGTCCCTCTCCATTATTTTTGTTTTTAATAGCACTCTCTTTCTTAAGGTAAAATTTATACACACTGAAATACACAAATCTTTGACAAATGAATGCATCTTTGTAACATACACCCCTATCATGATATAGGACATTTCTACTTCTCCAGAAAATTAGCACACATCCCTTCCCAGTCAACTTCCCTCACCTCATCAACTAAGAAGCAACTACCGTTCAAATTTTTTTTTACTTTAAATTAGTGTAGAAGGTCAAATAATTGTTCTCAAAGATGTCAAGATATAATCCCTGAAACCTGTAAATATGTTACTTTACACTATAAACAGGAATTAAGGTTGGAGATAAAAGGCAGGCTGCTAGTAAGAGTACTTTAAAATAAGGAGATTATCCTGAATTGTATGAATGGGCTCAATGTAATCACAAGGTTTCTTGAACGAAAAAGAGGGAAAAAGAAGAGGAGGATACAATGCTGGCTTAAAGACAAAGGAAGGGACAAGAACCAAGGAAAGCACACAACCTCTAGAAGTTGAAAAAGGCAAGGAAACAGTCTACTCAGAACCTACAGAAAAGAATGGAGCACCGCCAGCATCTTAATTTTAGCTCAATGAGACCAAAATTTAGATTTCTGACCTATACCATATAATGATTAATTTGTGTTGTTCAAACCTTAAGTTTGGGGTAATTTGTTCTGTTAGGGGAAGCATACTGAAACCACCCACCCTGGCCAGGCACCATAGTAACTATTTGCAAGAGTTGTTTTATGACAGGAGATCCTGATAAGGAATATGGAACTAATAAGCCACCACCAACCAGAAGAGTTTGGGAAAGGTCGAAAGGAGACACTGCCTGTCCGTCCACTTCCCAGAATCCCTCTCACCAGCATCTGTTTTGGCTGAGCGATGCGTGCGCCACCAGGAAAGACTCTGAATTAAAATGATTGGCCAAAGGCCACCCGGCAGAGCAGTTCTCCTGGGTTCCTTCACCCTCCTGCTCTCCACCCGGGTGCCTTTTCCAATAAAATCTCTTGCTTTGTCAGCACATGTGTCTCCTCGGACAATTCATTTCCGAGTGTTAGACAAGAGCCCAGTTTCGGCCCCGGAAGGGGTGCCCCTTCCTCCAACAGTTCTGCTTATTCTAGAATGCACAAAAATGGAGTATGTACTCTTTTTCTACTTGGCATCATGTCTGAAATTCTTGGACGTCAGTGAATTCATCCTGGATGAATGAATTTATATGGTAAGTGCAGGTTTAATTTAAAAACAAAAAAATGCCAATCTGTTTTCAAAAGTAGCTGAATCATTTTAAATTCCCAACAATATACCGGAGTTCCAGTTGCCAACACTGTACTGCCAGTCATTAATTTTAGTTATTATTCTGATGGGTGTAAAGAGTGATGTTAATTTGTATTTCTCTGATGACTAGTGATATTTAATATTTTAATGTGCTTATTGTGAGGCTGCCAGGGCTAACACCATGTCAGGCGGCCTGGACCTAAGTTTCGGCTTCCCCCGAAATGGTAAGATTCCCTACCCCCATCAGGCAACCTGGGGCCACCCAATCAATATGCGCCTAGTAAGAAACAAAGGGAAAGCTGAAAAGCCTGCCAAAGCCCAAGTTTGAAAAAGGCCCACGAAAGTTTGTACCAATAGAATTGCTTTGCAAATATGTAACCAATCCGTTTAAGCTAGCTACCAACCGCTTATGCATACCCTATAAATTCGGTTAATAGCTTGGGCGCATGGCTCTCTGACCCTGCACCACTGTGTTGGTTGCGGCGGGGCGGGAGCCCTGGCTCGAGTCAGTAATAAACTTCCCTTTTTTTGCGAATTGCATTGTCTTGGAAGCCTTCTCTCTTCCTGCTCAGGGATTTGGACATCGGGCAAAACACTTATTGGCTATTTATTTATCTTCTTTTATGAAATGTATGTTCAAATCTTTGGCCTATTTAAAAATACAACATCAATAATCTTGAAAACAGCTTGCTAAGTAAAAGCCACAGACAAAACGCTATATGATATTTGATTTCATTTCTATGAAATTCTAGAAAAGGCAAATGACAGAGAGCTGATTAGTGATTGCCTGGGGCTGAGGGTGATTAAAAGAAAATACGAATCCTGATTGTGTTGGTAGTTTTGTGACTATATCCATTTACCAAAACTCACTAAATTGGACACTTTTATTTTATCTCAATAAAGTTGTTAAAAAAATCGGCCAAACTAACTTTCCAAAATGGATGTTCTGATTTTACTTTTTTACAACTCAAATTACATTACATAAGCAACATGAGAGCACTGGTTGCTCCAGATCCTTTCATTTGGTGTTGTCGGTCTTAATTTTATTCTTGTGGATATGCACTGATAGCTCATTGTGACTTAATTTGCATTTCAATGATGATTAATGATGTTAAGCACTTTTCTGTGTGCTTACTGCTCAGTTATGTATCTTTCTTTGTAAAGTTTATTCAAGACTTTTGTCCAGTTTTCAGTTGGGTTGTTTGTCTTAACATTAAGTTGCAGGCTTCCCTGGTAGCTCAACTGGTAAAGAATCTGCCTGCAATGCAGGAGACCCTGGTTCCATCCCTGGGTTGGGAAGATTCCCTGGAGGAGGGCATGGCAACCCACTCCAGTATTCTTGCCTGGAGAATCCCCATGGACAGAGGAGCCTGGTGGCCTATAGCCCATGGGCTTGCAAAGAGTCAGACACGATTCTTTATACAGTCTGGATATAAGTCTATTGTTTTATATGTATTTTGCAAATCATTTCCCTCAGTCTGTGGTTTGCCTATTTTCTTAACAGTTTCTTTTCATAAATAGATGGCTTTAATTTTCATTAAATTGAGTTTATCATTTCTTTTTTAATGCTTATTACTTTGTGTGTCCTCAGAAATCCTTGCATTCCCCAAGTCACAAAGATTCTTCTACATTTTCTTCTAAAGTTATAAAAGCTTTAGTTTTTGCTTGTTCTTAAACATAGTTTTAAAAAGTTAGCTTAATTTGAAGTCTAAAACATGACAAAACCTAGGTTAAAAATTGGTCTGTTAGCGTTTTATTTAATAAGATGGCCTAGGTTGAAAAACAACTTTCAATGGTACAAAGTTAAAACATGTAGTGTTCTTCTGGTATCCAATTTTGTATTCCACATATTCTTACAGTTTGTGTATGCAACTTTAAAAAAGTTACTATATCATGCTGTCACAATGAATCAGAACTTAAGGTACAAGGAAAGGGCAATGCATTTGAGGGACTTGCTTGGTGGTCCACTGGTTAAGAATCCACCTTGCAACGCAGGGGTTAAGGTTCAATTCCTGGTCAGGGATCTAAGATCCCACGTCTTGGAGCAACTAAGCCCAAAGGTCACAACTACTGAGCCCACATGATGCAGTGAAGATCCTGTGTGGTTCAGTGGTTAAGAATCTGCCTGCCAATGCAGGGGACATGGGTTCAATCCCCGGTCTGGGAAGATTCCTCATGCCTTGAAGCAACTAAGCCTATGTACCAAACTACTGAGTTCATGCTCCAGAGCCCACAAGCCGCAACTACTGAGCCCATGCACCTGGAGCTTGTGGTCCACAAAAGAAGTCACTGCAATGAGAAGCCCGCACATCACAACTAGAGAGTAGCCCTGTCCACATGCAGCAACAAAGACCCGTCGCAGCCAAAAATAAATAGAAAACTACCCAACAGTACAGAGATTCAGAGCTAGAACCAAGGCCATCTAACTCCAGGACTGCATTCTGAATAAATGCACTGCTAACTACAATGCAACCTTATTAATCTGTACCTTAGTAAGAAAGGACATGAAAGTACAATGTATCATTTGTTGGTGCAAGAGGAGCTGAAGGAAATATTTTTCTTTTATATACATATATATATATATACACACACACAACATATATATTGATATATATATAAACCTATAGGATATTCTGAAATAATCACAAATACAGTAACATAACTCTGTAAAAATAGAAAATGCAGAGGAAAATCTATTGAGCGTAATTAGGGATTATATAGGGATTGGAATATATTAGATCTGTAATTACTAATTCCTTTGAGAAACATGATATGTTTATGCTATCTAGACTTCCCATTTAGGTAAAGTTTCTCTATTGATTCAAGCCTTCTTATATCTCTTAGCAAACACAAATCTCTTCCCATGAATTTTTTATGTCTGTTTTTTAAAAGGAAAATAATGAAGACTGCAATATTCAAAGAAATTAGGTGAAGACTTCTTAGTCCTCAAAACTAAGGACAGAATCAGAGAGAAAAAGATTCTGTAACTAGCACTGTGGCCCTCAATCAAAGCTCACTGCTCAAATAGGTAATGATGTTTCCTCCTTGGTTTCTTCAGGTATGCCCTGTAATCATTACACATACACACACCCAGTAATCACTATTCATCTTCTCACATACAAACCTCAAGGCAACAGCAGCAGTTTAATATTCCTACTCTGCTACTTCAGGAGAGGAAAACTTTTCCTTTGCAATGGTTACTAACTCCAAGGGAGAAAATAAATTAGTGTATATATAAAATAAAAACTACTTGGGAAAAAAAAGATTAGTGCTATTTACTTTTCTGCCCACACCTCATGGCATGTGGGATCTTGGTTTCCAGAAGGGGGATCAAACCCAAACCCTAGCAGTGGAAGAGCTGAGTCCTAATTCCTGGACTACCAGCGAAGTCCTCTGAAAGCTACTGTTTTTGTTGCTGTACATTTTTTTTTTTACAGGACAGGAATAGAAACTTTTAGAAATATTTAAATAGGAAAAACAAAAGTTTCTTCTAGAGATAATGAGTTCCATATTATAAGCAATGAAGCGAGCTAAGAGGAAAAAGAAATGAAAGGGAAATAATGGAGAAAATTAAAAAATTCTTGGTATTAGCGGTCTGGCTTTCCTCATATCTTCCCCACTGCCAAAATTCTTCCTCTAAGAGAGACCTAGATCAGCACACTGTAAGACCTAATCTCCCCCCCTCCCACCATCTTTTGGAAACCTTTTTTGTCTTCCTTAACACCACATACCTGCTTTTAGTCCTCTCAGAGTCAAAAGTGCTAGTACTGAGGATGATCTGGTAGGAATCTTTTATGCATATGCATCATTTCTCCCTGTACTTGTGTAAGTATACTAAATCAAAACAACTAGATTAAAGCTGGTGTTCCCAATGTCCTTCAGTCTATACAAATCTGCAGTCTAACAGCCAGACCAAAAAACTCCTAATATCATTACAAAGCTGTTTCTGATGACTTTAGGCAGAGAAAGCTAAAAATATAGTTTAAAAAATTTAAATTATAATATGTATTTCCCTTTACTTGGAAGATAAATCTTAGCATTTTCTTAAGTAGCACCAATTACTGTACAGTGCTAAAATATAGTAATAACTTAAAATATTACTAAAATATGAAGGGTACTTTACATATATGCCTGGTGATGTCAAACTGCTATGTTTCTAGAGCTTCATTGTTTTTAAAAACCTTATTAAAATTATGAAATACCATATAAAATAAAAGAATAGATATAACTGACGGAGCTTTTAAGGTATGGTGAGACATGAATACCTTTAAAGCTCCCTTATGTCTCTTTCACTTAAATTCTGAAAGGGAGAAAGATTCCATCATTAATTTTAATTTTGTTAATATGCATCTGCTTTTTATGGTTTTACTTTTTCCTTTGAATTATTTTTGTATTTTTAATATGTCTGCTTTTTGAAACTCTAATAAAATAGAAGTTTGTTAATCTGTTTTAAATTAGGACACTGAGAAGGTCAGGACTGTGCTTTTACGTAAAATGTGACAAATTCTAAGAGAATGTCTAAAGGGTTCTCTTGAGTAAAGTTTATTACTATTATTACACCTTCACTGAGATATCTATTTTGCCTTTAAAGACCTTATGAATTTAATTCCTGCTACTTAAGACTGCTGCAATGGTTGGGAATGCCAAGGAAATGCCTTTGAAAAGTCTGATGCTGTATGCAGCTGAGGGATTCACAGGCTAATAAGATCCCAAAGTGACATTAATGGTCATCAAATCCAACCCCTTCACTCCCTTTGTGAAAAATGAAGCCCAGAAAGTTTAAATGAGTTGCCTTAAGTTATAGAGTTAGTTAACAGGAGAGCCAAGGTTAGTTAGTATTAAAGTACTTAGACCAGCAGTTTTCAACTGAGGACCTCTCAGGATACTTGGTAATAACTGGAGAGACACTTTTGTTTGTCACACTGGGAAGGTGCTACAGAAGCCAGGGAAGCTGTTGAGTATCTTCCAGTGTACGGGACAGCTCCTCACCACAAATAATTATCTATTTCAAAATATCCACAGTGCTGAGGTTTCTTAACCAGGGTTTCTTAACCCTGACTTAGAACTATACTTGGTCACATCTATGTAATCAATTTTTTACTTAATATAAGCATTCTGAGAAAAATAACATTAAAATAGGTTATTTTGCTTTGGTCAAACAAACTGTCAGGCAAATTTAAGGGTCCCATTTATTTGATTCTCTGTGAGATGGAAATAATAAATGAAAGAACACAATATACTCACCAGGAGCCAAAACCCATGGGTCTCCTATCATAATCTGGCAGATCTGGAGCAATCTTACAAGCCTGCATGTTCAGGTATTTAAATATGTGGATTTTGCCTTTTATACATATCTAAGTAAAGTAACATATAGAAACAAATTATTATTCATCTGAAATATATGTGTACCCGAACCTTTTTTCCTTCTGCTCCTTTTATTCTTTTTAATTTTAAATTTATTTATTATTTTTAACTGAAGGAGCCCCTGCCTTTTAAATCACAATCAGCTTTTTATTTAATGTATATTGGAAATAGAAGGTATTTCTATTAAGTATGTATGGTAATATTAAAAATTAACTCATTATAACACATTATATCATTTGTTACCTTAGGTGTTTAAGTGATATAAATGTAGGTTTTTGTTTTCTAGTCACTAGTAAGTTTCAGTAACATAATATACATAATTCATGATTATAAACACTGTTAGAATAATACCAAGTAAACTTATATTGACTAGTTAGGCACAGTTAAGAGATTTAAAGCATTGCTCCCCATGGATTCTACTGGCAACTTTTGTTTTTAGAAATCCAACAATCATGCACAATTATGTTTTCAATCCTACTTCCTGTAAGAAAGAAAAGCAGGAAATGATTAAATATTAAAGTCATATATAGTTCTGTTGCCACCTATTTATTTCTGTCCTATAAATCAACATATAAACTCTTCAGGGATGTGAGGCCTTTCTGTAGTTATGAAGTTTACTCAAACACTTTAACAGCTGCCACACAGACACTTGTACAAGGCTGAATCAACTGCAGAGTAAGGAAAGCTACGGCGAAAAATATAAGACAAAAAGCTTTTTAGATTGTGCAATGTCTGAAATCTGTATGTAAAGCTACCTTATAACAACTTCATTAAGTAGTTTCATTTCAGTCACTAATAAACAAATGACCAAACTGACTCAATGAGGAACTTAAGATTTTAGAAAACAGGAAGGTACAAAGACAACGGTCATGAGAAATACACTGATGATCTTTAATTCTGTAAGCTGAGTATTTTGTCTTTAGCATTCACATTGTCTTCATTTAAGTTTTACTAGAAAGAAATAACTCAAATTTAATTAGAAAAAAAAAACTTTAAGGAAGAACCCTTCAAATGTGAAAAAGTCAATTTAGTGAAAGGAAAAACATTTTTGGAACATTACCTATTTCTCATCTCATTTACTTCAAGGCTTTTAAAGAATACATGTGAGTGTGAATTTATTTTAAAAGAACTTAATTTCCGACAAAAAGTAAATACGTATGACTTACAACTTTTAAACTTCATCTTTTGTCCAAAAAGTTTATAACATACTTCAAATCAACTGTGGTTTACCTGTGCAGGAGGAGACTGGAGTGGATTGTTATCTAGGGTGATCATCTGCAGGTGCCTGAGATTCCGATAACAGACAGGAATTGTTGTAATTTTGTTGCAGGAAAAGTCTAACCGTATCAAAGGCAACTCTGCTAGTTCTGCAGGGAAGTAAGGTGGAATATACAATGATATTTCAAAGCTAGACATTTTTTTCTTCAGGAGCTTCTATCTAAATATAATTGATTTAACCTAAGTATTTACGTCCATCCTTTCTTAGTGATTAACTGATACATAGCAAAGTGTCATAAAATGAAATCTAGGTGCTTAGGGATGGTAATATTAATGAAAAGCAAACTGTTTGACCCCTTATGTTGTTGCTGCTGTTCAGTCACTCACTCGTGTCTGACTCTTTGCAACCCCATGGACTGCAGCATGCCAGGCTTCCCTGTCCATCACCAACTCCCAGAGTTTGCTAAAACTCATGCCCATTGAGTTGGTGATGCCATCCAATCATCTCACTCTTCGGCACCCCCTTCTCCTCCTGCCCTCAATCTTTCCTAGGATCAGGGTTTTTCCCAATGAATTGGCTCTTCAATCAGGTGGCTGAAGTATTGGTGCTTCAGCTTCAGCATCAGTCCTTCCAGTGAATATTCTGGTTTGATTTCCATGCTGTCCAAGGGACTCTCAAGAGTCTTCTCCAGCACTACAGTTCAAAAGCATCAATTCTTTGGCACTCACCATTCTTTATGGTCCAACTCTCACTTTCGTACATGACTACTGGAAAAACCATAGCTTTGACTAGACCAACCTTTGTCAGCAAAGTGATGTCTCTGCTTTTTAATATGCTGTCGAGGTTTATCATAGCTTTTCTTCCAAGGAACAAGTGTCTTTTAATTTCATGGCTGCATTCACTGTCTGCAGTGATTTTGGAGTCCAAGAAAATAAAGTCTGTCACTGTTTCCACTTTTTCCCCTTCTATTTGCCATGAAGTGATGGGACTTGATGCCATGATCTTCATTTTTTGAATGCTGAGTCTTAAGCCAGCTTTTTTCAATCTCCTCTTTCACCTGCATCAAGAGGCTCTTTAGTTCCTCTTCGCTTTCTGCCATTAGGGTGGTGTCATCTGCATATCTGAGGTTATTGATATTTCTCCCGGCAATTTTGATTCCAGCTTGTAATTCATCCAGCCCAGCATTTCACATGATGGACTCTGCATATAAGTTAAATAAGCAGGGTGACAATATACAGCCTTGATGTACTCCCTTCCCAATTCTGAACCAATCTGCTGTTCCATGTCCAGTTCTAACTGTAGCTTCTTGACCTGCATACATGTTTCTCAGGAGGCAAGTAAGGTGGTCTGGTATTCCCATTTCCTTAAGAATTTTCCAGTTTGTTGTGATCCACACAAAGGCTTTAGCCTTTAGTGAAGCAGAAGTAGATTTTTTTTTTTTAATTCCCTTGCCTTTCCTATGATCCAACGGATGTTTTTAATTTGATCTCTGGCTCCTCTGCCTTTTCTAAACCCAGTTTGAACATCTGGAAGTTCTTGGTTCACACAGTGATGAAGCCTAGCTGCAAGGATTTTGAGCATTACCTTGCTAATATTTTAAATGAGTGCAATTGTGCAGTAGTTTGAACATTCTTTAGCATTGCCTTTCTTTGGAATTAGAATGAAAACTGACCTTTTCTAGTCCTGTAGCCACTGCTGAGTTTTCCAAATTTCCTGGCATATTGAATATAGCACTTTAACAGTATCATCTTTTAGGATTTGAAATAGCTCAGCTGGAATTCCACCACCTCCACTAGTTTTGTTTGTAGTAATGCTTCCTAAGGCCCACATTCCACGATATCTGTCTCTAGGTAAGTGATCACACCATCATGGTTATCCAGGTCATTAAGATCTTTTTCGTCCAGTTCTTCTGTGTATTCTTGCCACCTCTTCTTAATGTCTTCTGCTTCTGTTAGGTCCATATCATTTCTGTCCTTTTCTGTGCTCAACTTTGCATGAAATGGTGACCCCTTACGGAAAAACAGAAAGTCTTAGAAACTAGGTCTGATACCACAGAAAGGTGGGAGTAACAAAAGGATTAGATGACAATCTGTATAAAAACAAGTTAGATGCATAGGTTTTCAATCCCAGCTTATGCATGCTCCTTTTCATTCACAACAGGAGTCAACAAGTTATCCTTTAGTGAAACTGAATTGAAAGCCTCTGAACTCAAGGACCGCATGATGGAAAGTCAGGATGAGTTGCTTGCTAAAAATAGAGGATTTAAGTGAAAGTCTACAAACTTAGCAATAAGACCTCAGCACTTTGCTACCCAACCTCACCCCATTTCCTAGCCTTGAATGGCAATTAGTTAGGAAGATACACAACATAGAAGAAAGAAAACATCTTTCTCTGGACAAACTGTATAGTCCCATACAAAAGGCCTTTAGATACTGATATAGAGTTTCCTCCAATAAAATATCCAGCTTACTGCTTAATACAATTTCTGCCCAGTATACCTGGAATTTCTAATTAGCTTTGTATAAATAGCATATGACCCACAAACATTTAGAAGAGCTTTCAACATATGAGAGAGAAATCAAAATATGCAAAACAATGGGAAAAAATGAGTGCAGAAAAAAAACAGGTTAGCATACAGGAAACAGAAAAAAACTCTGAAAACTAGAACTAATGTCTCCAATTTCAGAAGAACAGAATACTAAATTACTGAAAAAGGAAAGGATTTTGTTTTTAAATCAGCAAAAAGTAAGGGTTTTTAGAGATGAAAAATTAGATGGCAGAAATTAAAAATTCAGGAAGAATGGTTAGATTATAAATGGTTGAACTGTTACCACCTGGTTAAACAAAATGACAAAGAAATGAACAATAAAAAATATAAGAAAATCATAAGATCAATTAAGAGTCCACTATCCAATTAGCAAAAATTCTCAGAGAAAACAGAAATCAGAACACAGGAAATTATCAAACAGATATAAAACAATTTCTCAGAATGAAAGATGTGAATCTCTGATGCAGGAAGAATCACTGCAGATGGTGCCTGCAGCCATGAAATTAAAAGATGCTTGCTTTTTGGAAGAAAAGCTATGACAAACCTAGACAGCGTATTAAAAAACAGAACCACTTTGCCAACAAAGGTCTATGTAGTGAAAGTTATGTTTTTTCCAGTAATCATGTATATGATTTATCAAAAACATGTGAAATTTCTCTTAAGTAGTTATGCCAAATGAAACTTCCAGAGACCCTACGTTATCAGTTAACAGGATCTAAAATTACCATCACTACTCAATAGTTATTGGAGCTTTTCAATCAAGAGTCTAGCTTTTAAAATCTACAACAGAACAGATAGCATGTATTAAATAAATCATTACACCTCAAACACTTGCTGTAACTTTTATATATTTTTGATGTGCAAATCAGTCTGAGAGATCTTTAAAATAAAAAGGCAAAAAACAAAACAAAACAACTATTTCACAGTTTCTTACCTTCAGGCAAACGTACTAAGTGATTTCTTCTTACATTAAGGTCTCTCAAGGCCTCCAAATGACCAATTTGGGAAGGTATTGTTTGAATTTCATTGCAGCTCACATCCTGTTTCAACAACACACACAGTAAGGAACTGTACTGATATTACAAACTTGCCAGCTTTAAACTATCTGCAAAATGAGGTTTGGACAGCATAATACCCACGATTGTAAAAAATACTATGATTTTGTGTCCAGGAATAATTCCAGTTTGTACTAGAATTTGATTTTTTAAATGTATAGGCTTTTGACTGATGGAAGCAGTGACAGATTTTATTTTCTTGGGCTCCAAAATTACTGCTGACAGTAACTGCAGCCATGAAATTAAAAGATGCTTGCTCCTTGGAAGGAAACCTATTATAAACCTAGACAGCATATTAAAAACAGCATATTAAAGACATCATTGTGTCGACAAAGGTCTGTACAGTCAAAGCTATGGTTTTTGTCAGCAAAGTGATATTTCTGCTTTTTAATACACATACATATATACATAAAACAATCAAAAAATTAAATATTCACTTACAAGTTCTGTTAAATATCTGAGATGTCCAATTTCTTCTGGAAGTGAGACCAATTTGTTATTACTAGCAATTAAGACTTTCAATGGTAAATCACACAAGTGTACCGGCAATGTTGACAGTTGGTTCCGACTAAATGGGTAAGCAGAAAAAGAACTAAGTCAGAGCCCACCACTCAGGGAAAAAATTGCCATCTTTCTCATTCTACACTCTGTATAATAACAAATGTAAATCTTACAAGAAAGAAACAGGATATTATATTTGAGTTTGAAAAAACAAACAGATTTGAGCTCAAGTTTGTTACTTGTCAAACTCACTTGTCAGCTTTGTTTTTTAGGCAAAGCATTTAATTTATCTGCATCTTACACAGATTCCTCATCTGTAAATCACAGAGTTTATAGGACTCTTGCACCATAAAACTCCTTTGCAAATAATGAAATGTCTCATAAACAAATCATATTATTCTATTACAGTTCAATTTATACAGGAAAAATTATTTTAAAATAGGGTAGGTAACTAACATCCTCTCCTCTTCTTTCCAAAGAGTTATAAACATTACGAGTATTTGTAGTTTACTTGCCTCATTATTACAGCATTATAACCAAATGTATATAAACAACCCAAATATAGTTCTATGGGAAACAAGGGACAGATTGTGAATTCAGATATATATATATATATCTAACTGAAGTATAGATAAGAAATCTTTTATCTAAACAAAAGTATACAAATCAGAACTGGAAGTAAAAAAATATATCTATCATAAGGATAAAACTAAGTTAAAATTTTCCTTATGCATATTTAACATTTAAATCCTTAGTAACAACTGCCCCCATTTGTAAGATCTTTTGATGATTTTATTAACAGCTCATGAGCCATTAAAACTTCTAATATTTTCTAATAGGTAGATATTCACATATAAAGCTGTCTAATAGTTCTACTTTTGTGAGAAAAAACTGAAAGAATAAGTAAATATCTGAGAGCAAAAATGAGTTTTAGAAATACATAAACTGTACATTAAAATGATTACATATAAAAAATATTTCCAAAGGATATTTCTTGACAAGGGGAAAAATTTATTCAAAAATTTGACTAAAGGCCTAGGAAAAAAAGGGAAATTTTCATCTATTAATTCAGACACATTTTTATGGATTTCCTTTACATTTCTAAATTTATTTTCTCCAGTCAACATTTATAACTTTTTATAATGAAATAACAAAAGAAGTCTTGTAAGATGTGAAACAACGGAGTAGAGAAGTTAAATAAATGCATTTATATGCTCAGAACTTAGTACACAAAAATACATAATCACAAAAATCAAAATAATTTCAGATCTATCATTCTTATTTGATGAAAACTTATTTGAAAATATAACTGGACAACCATTGCTACAAGACAATTAGCGTAACAGCTCTTATTACAGTTTAACTATTGCAAAGGCAAAGACAAAGGGAGAAACTAGAGGAACCCAGAAAATACTGTTAATTTAGCCTAAAAACGAAGAGATACTGCTGAGATAAACAGATGATGTAATCTTTGAAAAAAGTATTATTTTTATTTTTTGGCTGCAAGGAATGCAGGATTTTAGTTCCCTGACCAGGCAACAAACCTGTGCCCCCTGAAATGGAAACATGGGTCAGCCACAGGACCACCATAGGGAATTACTCAGATAACGTTGACTTTAGTGAAAGGGATGCGGAAAATTGAAAACACCACACAAAACTAAAATTAAAAAAAAAGTTCTTACCTAATATTTAAGAAAGTTAGCGCTTGTAGGTTTAGAATTGCCTCTGGTACATATCGAATACAATTTTGGTATAAATTGAGATTCTCAAGAGAAACGAAGTGACATGCTTCTATGGGAATTTCTGAGAGGCGATTTCGTGACAGATCTGAAACAAACAATTTTAAAATTAATCCCTGGAACTTATTTTATAAAAATTTTAAACAAAAAGTAGGTTTCATAATTTTTAGAATTTGCCAGAGTTCCTATTGTGGAGTTTGGTCCAGAGTAAACATTCAAATATTAACTGATTGAATAAACCAGCTTAACATATGCCTCTACATCTGTTGCTGAAAAATGCTGGTTCCTTTTGTGTGTGTTAGTCGCTCAGTTGGGTCTGACTCTTTGCGACCCCACAGACTGTAGCCTACCACGTTCCTCTGTCCATTGAATTCTCCAGGCAAGAATACTAGACTGGGCTGTCATGCCCTTCTCCAGGGGATCTTCCCAAACAAGGAATCGAACCCAGGTCTCCCATACTGCAGGCCGATTATTTACAATCTGAGCCACCAGGGAAGCCCCGCTGGTTAACTTTTGAGTCTCCATAAATACTAAATGGGCTTCCCAGGTGGCCCGAATGGTAAAGAGCCTGCCTGCCAATGCAGGAGATGTAAGAGATGGGGGTTTGATCCCTGAGACAGGAAGATTCCCTGGAAGAGGGCACGGCAACCCACTTTAGTATTCCTGCCTGGAGAATCCCATGGATAGAGAAGCCTGTTGGGCGACAGTCCACAGGGTTGCAAAGAGTCAGACATGACTGAAGCAACCAGGCACAGACACACACATACTAAAAAGATAAAACCATTATTCTTTGCAAGTGACATAAATTCCAAGGAATATCAGCCTCGGAATTTCATTTCAAATCACATCACAGATCATGCTAAATATCAAATATCCTAGAAAACAAATGGATCCCTAAAATCCACATTCCCAAAAGCACAGACAACATCCTGAGATTTTCTGAAAAATGAAGAAAAACAAAACAAAATACTGTCTCTTTATCAGTCAAAAAGTATCAGGGTCACATCAAAAGGACTCAGGAAACATCTTTGCTCCCACTGGCCAAAGATGAGACAATGAGATTCAGTAAAGATAATAAATGCAGCAGACTGAAATCTATAACATGCTACTGAATTATAGGAGTTTAAAATAAAACACTCCTCCAAAGATGATAAAGAACCAATTCATTATCTTGTAAGCTGACAAAGGGGAAAAAACAAACATTTATGTTATCTCCTTTTGTAATCCAGTAGTACACCTTGCAGTATTTTCTGGGTGTGCGCGTGCGCACGCCCACATGTGCGCACACTATGCTGTGCTTAGTGGGTCAGTCCTGTCCGACGCTTTGTGACTCCAGGTTCCATCTATGGGGATTCTCCAGGCAAGAAGACTGGATTGGGTCGCCATGCCCTCCTCCAGGGGAATCTTCCCAACCCAGGGATCAAATCCAGGTCTCCCGCATTGCAGGCCGATTCTTTACCATCTGAGCCACCAGGGAAGCCCATATATATATGTATACACATGCCTGTATATATATGTAACTTGATATATCTTCTTTTTCAGATTCTTTTCCATTAGAGTTTATTACAGGGTATTGAACATAGTTCCCTGTGCTTTTACAGTAAGACTTTGTTGTTTATTTTGTATATAGTAGTCTGTATCAGCTAATTCCAAACTCCTAATTTATCCCCACCTCTTTCCTGTCCTTTGCCCTTTGGTAGTCATAAATCTGTCCTCTATGTCTTAAGTCTGTTTCTGTTTTGTAAACAAGTTCATCTGTATCACTTTTTAAGATTCCACAAATAAGTGATATCATATGATATTTGTCTTTCTCTGACTTCCTTCACTTAGTATGATAATCTCTAGATCCATCCATATTGCTGCAGATGGCATTATTTCATTCTTTTTTACAGCTGAGTAATATTTCATTGTATACATTTGTACCACATCTTTATCCATTCATCTGTCGAGACATTTATGTTGCTTCCATGTCTTGGCTATTGTAAATAGTGCTGCTGTGAACACTAAAGAGCATGTATCTTTTCAAACTAGAATATTCTCCAGATAAATGCCCAGGAGTGGAATTACTGGATCATTCTGTTTTGTTCTGTTTGTTAAACTTGCCATTATCTCTTCTAATAGTTCTATTTCATTGAAGTTGCTTTTTTCTAGATGTAATCCTTATTCTTCCTCTCTCCTGCTGCTAGAGTTCCTTTAAGTGAATTATTTTCCCTTGCCAATTCATGGTTTGCCTCATCCTTGGAGCTCAGATCAAGCTGCTGGAGTACCTTGAATGGCATTTTATACCAAAATAGTGAAACAACCTCTATGATGCACTGGAACTAAGTTTTCCACCTGGGGCAGTTCTTTGTGACCCCATGGCTCCTGACTTGGAATTCTTCAGGTAAGAATACTGGAGTGGGTAGCCATTCCCTTCTCCAGGAGACCTTCCCGACCCAGGGATTGAACCCACATCTCCTGTATTGGCAGGCAGATTCTTTACTACTGAATTATTTGGGGAGTCTATGTGAGTTTGACAAGAATATTTATTCTACATTGGAACAATGTTTTGGTTATGTCTATTAGGTTGTATTTATTTAACTGCATTGTTTAAGGTGCATCCTTATTGATTTATTTTTTGGTCAGTTTTTTGTATCTACTGCTGAGAGTTTTGTATCAACCCTGAGAGAGAAGGGTATATTACAGTGTTTCATTTTTATTGCTATCTCGTCTATTTCTCTCTATAATTATTCAACCCTTTCCTTATGTATTTTGGAGTTTTGGGTTTAGGACCCACAAAATTTTAAATTACTATTTTCTGACTCATTGGAAAAGACCCCGATGCTGGGAAATATTGAAGGCAGGAGGAGAAGAGGACGACAGAGGATGAGATGGTTGGATGGCATCATCAACTCGATGGACATGAGTTTAAGAAAGCTCTGGGAGCTGGTGGTGGACACGGAAACCTGACGTGCTGTAGTCCATGGGGTTGGAAAGAGTTGGACACGACTGAGCGAATGAACTGAAAAATCAAACGTTTTATAATTCTTAAGTTATTCCTTTTATTCCTAGTACAGTTATTTGCTTTGAAATCTCTTCTTTTGGTTGGTCTGTTGGACTGACGTTAATGTGACTCCCATGATCCTTATTAACACCCTGTATAATATCCCTTTCTCCACTTGAGTGTAGGTGGGCCTTAAAAAGTAACCAACTTGCTCCTAACCAATAGAATATTGCAAAGATGATGTGATGCCATTCCTGTGGTTATGACTCTCTTATCCAATCTATTCTATCTCTGTTGCCAACTTTGAAGAAATAAGTTGCTGCAAACTCTACAGTTGCAAGGAAATAAATTCTGCCAACAACCTGAGGGAGCGTGGAAGCAGATTCTTCCCTAGTCATACCTCAAGAAGAGAACTCAATCTAGATCAACACCTTGCAGTAGACCAGGCTAAGCTGTGTCTAGACTTCTGATCCAAAGAAACCATGAAGCTCCTCAAGCTGCTAGATTTGTGATAATTTGTTATACAGCACAGAAAACTAACAATCAGTATTTCTACAGAATACTTTTTCCTATTCTTTAGTTTTGAACTTTCTGGAATATTACACTTTGAACATGTTTCTTATAAACAACCCACAGGTAGATTTTCTTTCTTTTATTGTCTGACAATCTTAATATTTTAACTGAAATCACTCTATATTTAACATTATCACCCAATCAATACACTTCCCTGGTGTCTCAGATGGTAAAGAATCTGCCTGCAATGTGGAAGACTCGGTTCAATCTCTAGGTCAGGAAGATCCCCTGGAGAAGGAAATGGCAACCCATTCCAATATTCTTGCCTGGAAAATTCCATGGACAGAGGAGCCTGGTAGACTATGGTCCATAAGGTCAAAAAGAGTTGGACAAGACTGAGGAACTAACAAGGAGACCCATTCAATATATCTAAACTTTTTAAAGGGCCATGTTATTTATGAAAGATGTAGTTCATTGCCCTTTGAGTATCTATGCTCTTTCCTTCTTTCTTACTATAAGAATCTCAATTGTATTCAAAACAGCAAAGGTCTCAGCTAGACTACTAATATTTCCAATTTTATTAATCATTAAAGTTCAAAAGAAGGAAATAAAGGCTGAAATAAAATTTTAACCATATTTGACTTGGTAACTAAACTGATATAAGAAATTCTCATTTTATAATCAGTGTCCTGAGTTTGTATGTAAACTGAATGCTCTGAAACTACCTCATGTATTTCCACAGAGGTAAAAAAGACTTGAGCTTCTAAGGACTAACTTCACATACAATGCCACTGAAATGTTACATATGTGCAAATATACTCCTTTTGCAGTATTTCCTTTCTCAGTACGTGATGCTTTCGTCTATCCAATTGCTTAAGTCAGGATTCTGAAAGCATCTTGACACCTTTCTCTGTTCCCTTGCCCCCCAATATAATCCTATCAACAAACACTCAATTTCTTGGTCCAAATAAACTGTGAGCCCAACCATTTTTCTTCATCTCTTCTGTCACTGCCTCTTAGGATTGTTCTAAGAATCAAATCAAATAATGCATGGAAAATTACTTCTGTAATTATACTGTAAAATGCAAAGAGGCACACGCATAAAGCTATCTTCATAAGGTTGACAGCAATACAGCAAAAATACCACCACCTCACCAATTACATGGTATTGCGCTATGCAATAAAATATAGCGGAGTACAATAAAATAATTATGATTTTTGGTCACCAAAAAGAATACTGCTTTCAGTATACTTAATTTAAAAAGCATAAAGGTAGAAAACACTTAAGATTTACATTAAAATGCTTAACAGTTTCCTTATCTTTCAGTAAGGTTAAATAAAGAGAGGTTGCTATATTTTTGTATCACCAGAGTAAATTTGATTTCACACATATGGATAAGACTAGTTATTGCCACGAGCCCTCTAAATTTCCATCTCTGTGTCATGTAGTCAGTTGTAGGCTGTTTTCCAGACTGCAAGCTCAGTTGAGATTTGCCAAGTATTGTAAAAAGCCACAAACTGGATAATAAGCAACTTCGCAAATTAAGCTATTAAGTTACTTCTACATATCATATCCTGAATGTGGTCTTGGT